GCTCCTCAATGAGCCCCCAGAGAAAAGCCGTCAGTCACTCCCGTCTCCCTGGTCTCCGGCCGCACTCCGTGCTCACCCGGCCTGTGACCACGCGTTTCTATCTCTGGCACCCGACCCCGGGTGGAGTCTCCAAACCCAGCAGATCCCTGTGGTGCACTCCCGTGAGGCTCCTCCCCGGGGAGGAAGGTGAGTCTCCCCGGATCTACCGCTTGTGGGGTCCCTGCTGGAGGAGCAGGGGCCCGACTGTGCCGCGGATCACGGTTTATGGCAACCCCGAGCTGAGAGCCCGCGCCTGGGCTCCGCCTCTGCAGCTGGCTTCCCTGCTCCATTACCTGGGAGCTCTGCCACACTCAGGCACCCCCGGTCTTTCTGTGACCCCGAGGGTCCTGAGACCACACTGTCCCGGAGGGTCCCACCCCCCGCTTAGCCACCAGAATGACGTCCCTCAGTGGAGCAGACTTTTAAAAGTTCCAATTTTGTGCTCTGCGGCTCTATCACTTGCCAGAAGCGGCCGACGGAGGCCCCTCCCCCGCCATCTATCCTCCCGAATATCGCCTCAGATTCACTTCTCCGCACGTCCTACCTTCCAGAAAGTGGTCACTTTTCTGATGAGAGAGTTGTTGCTCTTCTTTTTTTCGATCTCCTGTTGAGTTTGTAGGTGTTCAGAATGGTTTGATCCCTATCCAGCTGAATTCCTGAGACCAGACGAAATCCAGGTCTCCTACTCCTCCGCCATCTTGCTCTGCCGCCCCCCCTCCCCCAATTCTTCTGCTTCTAAAGGCTTTCTCTAGCCTAACTGCATTGGTGTTTTATATATATTAAGGCTACATTATTAGGTGCATACAAATATATAATTTTCTTATTATTAGGAAGTGACCCTAAGCCAAACAAGTGACCAATAGACTGGTGCCTGGCTATAGACACATGAGCCAGCTCAGCCCCACCTTTCATCAAATTATAATCACCCCAAAACTTAGTGTTCTAAAACAACAACCATTTATTTAGCTCATTATTCTATGGGTCAGCAATTTGTATTGGACTCAACTGGGTGGTTCTTTTGTTCTCAGTTAGGCTTGCTTCTTTTAGATGCCTAAGATAAGAGATGAGCTAAAGAAGAACAATTTAGTTTGCATCCAGAATTTAGAGAGACTATAGGGAGCAAGAGATGTGCCTCTCATTTTCAGTCTCCTCAGCCGCAAAACACCAAGGCCCAGAAAAATGGAATGAGTTGCACAGGTCACCAGGGAAGTCACAGAGGGAATCAGGGGCTGAATTCAGGTGCCCCAGTCTTGGTATTTCCCATAACACCATAATCCTAACTGTGAATCCCCAGCGGCATTGAAAGCATACCTCTGGGACTCTTCAAAAACCAAAGGAATAACCCACCATGAGATCACAAGATGGCAAAAAAGTAGCAAAGGAGAAAGGCTAGGAAAGTGCCTGGTCAGCATGAGCCCTACTCAGGACAGCTCAGGAGAAATCCTTGGATTCATTTTTATACTTTAAGAGATGGCTGGGAACCAAGTTTGGAGCCTAGCAACTCTAAACCCTCTGATTCTCTGGAATCAATGAAATCCACTATATGTTTAAAACTACAAAGCGATCAATCCACACAATGATTAAAACCTTTCCACTTTGCAGAGGGAATCAGGCAGATGCCACATCAGTTTCAAACACATTTTAATTCTAATTTTAGGCTACCAACCTAATTCATTGCATGAGATTTGATGTCACTTGACCTTTCTACATCTTAATTCCTTCATCAGAAAAACCAATATCCCCACAGCAATGCATAGTGATGATAACAGATCCAGGGAAGAAATTAAAAACACACGAAATTTTTTCCACTTGGCTGATGGAGCATTGATGCCCTGATGTCTGGAACAAATGCAGAACATCTACAAAGCAGAGGCTTTTTCTAGAGCAAGAGGTATGGAGTGAAAGAGTCAAGCAAGTGGTTCATATCTAATAGTCTTTGAAAACAGAGAGTTACAAATTCAGGACCCAAAGAAAATCTGTCTGGCCCTGTGCAGGGCAGGCAGTTCCAAGGTGAAAAGGCTCACAGTCTAAGGAGACTAATGGGCAAATGGTGTAAATATGATGGGGGAAAAAAAAAAGAAGTGTGTACAAAGCAACCTGTAGGAGGTAATGACTAATTCTTTCTTGAAAAGGGTAAATTTTCCCAGAGGCAATGAGAGCTGAGCTGGATTTTGATACAGATAATGGCCCTGGTAGATAGTAGATACCTATGAAATACTTTTCAAACAAATGAATTAAATGGGCACTATCCACAGAAGTATCACCACAGGCAACAGCATGGATGAATGGGGTGTGGAATTTCCAGGAAACTACACATGATTTTAGTATTGCTCAAGTGAAAACTTGGAGGGACAGAACAACTGTCACCATCGATGAGGCTAGAGACTGATCTCTGAGGCCTTGAATGATGCACTGATGCTTCTGAGTGAGTCCTTTTGGATTTGGGAGGCTTTGGAAATGTGGAAACAGAATGCAAAAGGATAGTCCCCATAAAGGGACTGTGATGGAGATGCACTCCCCAGAACCCCCCTTAGCAGAGGACTAGTTGCCCCAGCTGCTAGGCGTGCTGTTGGCAGACAGCCTTCAGCTGGACCCCTTCAGAGCTGCCTCACCATGAGCATGCCCTTCCTGGGGCAGCCCACTTCCAATTGCCAATGGAGGCAGGAGATACAGGCCCAGCCAGTTCCACACACCCTGGGGCAATCTGGCAAGCCCTTTAGCTCCAGAGCTCCAGAGCTCCCTGTGGGGTTCGCCAAGGCAGTCATTAAGACTCCCTGCACCATAGTTCAACTTTTCTTTCAGTCCATTCCTGCTGCTTCCTCTCCCAGACTTGAGCCAGACCAGAACCCCCAGGGGTTGGTGGGGAGCATCTGAGGCAGACAGCAAAGTCAAGCTCCTTTATGTGGAGCAGGAAATTTCTCTCTTCTGTCTCAGTCCATACTCCTTGCCCCACCACCCCTAACCCCCACAACTCTGACCTTCAGAATTCTCTGGTGGCATCTAATGCTTTGGAACAGTGGAGTAGAGCCTAAGGAGCACTGTTCTTGGGATCAAAAGGAATTCAAAGCCAGTTTCCGTTAAGTGCCTGGTCAAGACACTTCACTTTTCTGAGAATGGGAAGAACAACAGGAAAAAATCAGAACAATACCAACATCCAAGATTTCGTGGTGGGAGTAGGTAAATACATGAAATAATGTCGGAAAGCACCTTATAAACTGCATGATATCATGGTTTCAGATCCTTGGTAAGATTGTCTCTCCACCTCGGCTTCTCAAGTGAACTTTCTGCTAGGGTCAGAGGAGCTCCATGGAAGGGTTATACCACCATCTTGTAAATGCTGGGAGAACTGCAGGTGGACCTTATAAGCGTTGCAAGAATGAGAACAAGCAACACCTGAAAGTCTCCTCCCAACATTCCTCCTTTATTGAATCTTTGCCTTTGGGTTTTCACCTTCTAGATGCTGGAAGGACAGGGTGGGAATAAGAAGTGGAAAACAGATCACAGCTCAACTCACATACCCTTCTCAGGATAGATACACTCAACTCTTACCTGCATCCTGCAGCTGAGGGTATGCCTAAAAGAAATGTATACGCACACCTGCATGATGAACAGCTCTCTCAAGCAAGATGGAGCATGTGCCATTTCATTCCCATCATGAACATTCCCATCATGAACATGCTTTAGCCAAAAGCAGGTACCATGTAGTATGTTAAGGAAGGAAAAAAAAAAAAAGATAGTATTCCAGTCATTCCTGGCTTATACCAAAATGATTACCTTTGGGAGTAAAGATTATAAGTGATCTTTATTTCTTCCATGTGCATTTCTGTTTTACAAATTTGTTACCATGAACACATAGTTACCCTTTTGTGATCAGATAAAAAGAATTGCTACAAAAATTAAATAAAAATTTTAATGTTTCTATGATTATTTTATATAAAGCTGGTTCCCATCCCATCTCCTTTGTCACTGGGCTGAAAGGAGGAACAAATAGGATTCTAGAAATGACAGCTTTTGTTATTGAACCAGGAATTGCCAGAGAGCAAGCGCCACTCTGGGTCCCTAGAGGCAACCACCAGCTGCTTGTGATCCATTATGCACTGAATGTCTGTGTCATCCCAAAATTCATATGCTGAAGCCCTAATCCCCAGTGTGACTGTATTTGGAGATACAGCCTTTAGGAGGTACTTAAGGTTAAATGAGGTCATAAGGGTAGGGTCCTAATCCTATGGAATTAGTGTCCTTGTAAAGAAGAGACACTAGAAAACCCTTCCTCCCTCTCTTTCTCTCCTCTTCTCTCTTTCTCTATCTCTCCCTTCCTTCCTCCCTCCTTCTCTCTCTCCATAGAGGAAAGGCTATTTGAGGACAGAGCGAGAAGGCAGCTTTCTTCAACCCAGGAAGGAAGCTATCACCAGGAACCAAATTGGCCACACCTTGATCTTAGACTTCCAGTCTATCTTAGACTTCCAGAATTGTGAGAAATAAGTTTCTGATGTTTAAGCCACCCAGCCTGTGGTATTTTGCTATGGAGGCCAAGCTGATTAATACATGATCCCCCTGAGGCCCCACACCAGGGACCCTCAATATCCAGAGCTCTAGAAGTCCATGCAGTGCCCACTTCTGCCCTGAGGCTGGGCCCAAGTTAGAGTCCTTGAAGAAACGGAATAGAGCCATGAAGCCAGAGGAAGATCTCACAAAAACCATAATTTCCTCCCTATCTTTATGGAAAAATTCTTCATCCAGGGTGAACCTAGACCCTTCATTTCATATGTGCATTGATGACATCAGGTTTAATTGTTGAGTCACCAAGTTTCAAAGAACAAGAGTCATTGTAATTGATGACAAAGGATCGGTCCCATGGCAAACTCACTGCTTCCTCTCCATCAACTGCTATGTCACAAAATATAATACAGAATATAATGCAGTAAACAGGTATCACACACAGTTTCACATCAAGTGGTTTAACCAAAATACCTTTATTTTTACGCTGAGTGGCAAGGATTAAATATCACATTAAAAATTTCCAGACCCCCCACTTTGACTAACACTTCCACCTTCTCTAGGGATACACAAGAATTCAAGTTTCAACGCATTTTCAAATTAGGTTCTAATCACTGCTTACACTGAGTTTTCTTTTGCTACAGAGCCGAAAACAATTTTAAGTAATGTTATAGGTCAAGTTAAGTTTATTTTTCATTCAGTTGTAAGTCCTTTACAAACTTGCAGGAAAGTTTCAGTTACTCTTTTAGCTACTAGAATGCAGTCCTTCTCAAGTCACAAATCACCTGGCCCAAGTCCTCGCTGGTAGGAAAAAATTCAGGGGTTAGGAATCCGACCTATGAGCTACATAACTGATGAGCTGCATGGCACTGTCTCAGGAAAGGTAAAATCGTTTTCTTCGGCTATGAAAACAGAAGAAGCCATAATGAGGTTCTGCCCTACAGGGGTGTTGGGACACACCGCGCCTCACACTCTTCCTTGGTTTCGAACCGGTTAGTGTTGCCCCCACAGCTGCCATACCAGAACTGTTGGCAGGTCTGCTTCTCCTTGTTGTATTACCATTTCAGGGTGTAATCCTGGCACTTTCCTGCCATTGGATCCATGGAACAAGGACCTGCAGCAAAACAAAGGCAGGGAGAGATGAATTTCCTGCATGAGCATGATAGCAAAGGAATGATGGTTTGGAAACACAGGTTGGGAATGAATCCCAACTCACCACCAACTGGCTGTGTGAGCCTGAGCTTATCCTGAACTTATCCTCTCTGAGCCCCAATTTCTTCAACCATAAAAGCAATGAAAAAACCCACGTCACAAATTTGTCATAAGATGGCACAGAACATACATGAAAAGTGCAATGCAAGTACCGCTATTATTTTGCACAGTACCCACCGTATGGAAGATACACTAGATAATGTGCAAATGAGTGAATGAATGCATGAATGAAGCTTTCTGATACCAAGAACTCCTCACTTGCCTATTATGCCCATTTCCCTCTTTTTTCAAACCATATCAATCCCTTGCTTAATCCCAAACCCATCCAGCCTTCTAGGGACCTAGCAAAATATCCAGCTTATTTAATAGGTACTATACCCTGACACTTGCCCAAGAAGTTAAGATTTATCTATTATAAGAAAAACATGTTGTTCCTGAAAAATGAAAAATAGTATTTATAATTAACAAGTTACAACAGAGCAAGATCTGAGATGCCCTGAATTTTAAATCAGACGTTAATTTCCCTGTGTATGTAACTTCTGCCTTCCAGGGAGAACAGATTTCCTTGGGTACACTTGATATTACAGAAAAATAGGCTTGTCTTAGGTTGGCAGCCATGCAGCATAGAATAATGGCATCCTCCAGATAGTTTTCCCCTGGGCCTTCTAAGCATGACCAAATAAAGACGATAATGTCTTCAAAAAGTGAGAGGCTAAAATTCATTGTCTGTTCCTTGGAAGACACCTCCCATTGGTATAATCAGCACAGACCAGTTTTCTTGAAGGAGTGGCCAGATGTGCTGGGCCCAAGGGAATGAGATACACCCATGGTGAGGTAAACAGTTGGTCATGGAAATTGTCCAGGAGAAGAAACCAAAGCAAATGCTTCTCAAAAACTTGTCAGAGTCAGTAGGAAAGTACTCCAAATGTGAATTTTTGGCTGTATTCTGTAGATTCAATAAATAGATTTGGGGCTCAGCAATCAGCTGACACCCTCTACCATTACAAACTAATTTAAACAGACAGCCAAGGACTTGTTTAAATAGATCATTCACAAAGCAGAAATAAATTATTGGGACTTCATCAAAATAAAAAAACCTTCTGCCCAGCGAAGGAAACAATCAACAAAACTAAATGGCAACCTACAGAATGGGAGAAGATATTTGTTTGCAAATGACATATCCAATAAATGGTTAGTATCCAAAATCTACAAAAAACTTATCAAACTCAACACCCCAAAAATAAATAATCCAGTTAAGAAATGGACAGAACACATGAATAGACATTTCTCCAAGGAAGACATATAGATGACCAACAGACACATGAAAAGATGCTCAACATCACTCATCATCAGGGCAATGGAAATCAAAACTACAATAAGATGTCACTTCACACCAGTCAGAGTGGCTAAAATTAACAAAACCGGAAACAACAGGTGTTGGTGAGGATGTGGAGAAAGGGGAACCCTCTTGCACTGTTGGTGGGAATGCAAGCTGGTGTAGCCACTCTGGAAAACAGTATGGAGGTTCCTCAAAAAGTTAAAAATAGAGCTACCCTATGATCCAGAATTTGCACTATTAGGTATTTAGCTAAAGGATACAGAGTGATTCAAAGGGGCAGATGCACCCCAATGTTTATAGCAGCAATGTCCACAATAGCCAAATTTTGGAAAGAGCCCAGATGTACATTGATAAATGAATAGATAAGGAAGATGTGGAATACATATATGATATGTATAATATATATGAATATATATAATGGAATAATATATACATATGCATTACATATATTATATGCATAATATATGTATATATAATGTAATTATATATAATATATATAATAGAATATTACTCAGCCATCAAAAAGAATGAAATCTTGCAATTCACAACAATGTGGATGGAACTAGAGGGTATTATGCTAAGCAAAATAAGTCAGTCAGAGAAAGACAAATATTATATGATTCTACTCATATGTGGAATTTAAGAAACAAAACAGATGAACATAGGGGAAGGGAAGGAAAAATAAGATGAAACAGAGAGGGAGAAAAACCATAAAAGACTCTTAACTATAGGAAACAAACTGAGGGTTGCTGGAGGGGAGTTAGGTGAGGGGATGGGATAATTAGGCGATGGGCATTAAGAAGGGCACTTGATGGAATGAGCACTGGGTGTTATATGCAACTGATGAATCACTAAATTCTACCTCTGAAACTATTAATACACTATATGTTAAATTGAATTTAAATTTTTTTAAAAGTCTTTAAAAAAATAAATAAAAAAGAAATGCCCAGTGTCTACTAAGCATTTGAAATGTGGCTATTGCAACTAAAGAACTGATTTTTTGGGGTTTGTTTTATTAGCCATCAGGGAAATTCAAATCAAAACCACATTGAGATACCACCTTACACCAGTTAGAATGGCAAAAATTGACAAGGCAAGAAATAACAAATGTTGGAGAGGTTATGGAGAAAAGGGACCCTCTTACACTTTTGGTAGGAATGCAAGTTGGTACAGCCACTTTGGAAAACAGTGTGGAGGTGCCTCAAAAAATTAAAAATAGAGCTACCCTATGACCCAGCAATGGCACTCCTGGGTATTTACCCCAAAGACACAGATGTAGTGAAAAGAAGGGCCATATGCATCACAATGTTCATAGCAGCAATGTCCGCAATAACCAAACTGTGAAAAGAGCTGAAATGCCCTTCAACAGATGAATGGATAAAGAAGGTGTGGTCCATATATACAATGGAATATTACTGAGCCATCAGAAAGGATGAATACCCAACTTCCCAACTTTTACATCAACATGGATGGGACTGGAGGAGATTATGCTAAGTGAAATAAGTCAAGCAGAGAAAGTCAATTATCATACGGTTTCACTTATTTGTGGAACATAAGGAATAGCATGGAGGACATTAGGGGAAGGAAGGGAAAAATGAAGGGGGAAAGTTGGAGGGAGAGATGAACCATGAGAGACTATAGACTCTGAGAAACAAACTGAGGGTTTTAGAGGGGAGGGGGTGGGGGGATGGGTTAGCCTGGTGATGGGTATTAAGGAGGGCACGTACTGCATGGAGCATTGGGCGTTATATGAAAACAATGAATCATGGATCACTACATCAAAAACTAATGATGTATTGTATGGTGACTAACATAATAAAATAAAGTTAAAAAAAATTATTTAAATAGCCAATGTGGCTAGTGAGTGGTCAGTGCAACTATAGGTCAGTAAATCCTGATGCTTTATCTCTGAGGTATTCTTTATAATCTAACACTCAGGGAGCCTCTGACTCTTCAGTTTTATTTTATCAGTAGGATATGGCATTGGGGACCAATAAATGTTCACCCAAGCAATTATTGCTAGCTTCCAATTTCACATTTCCATTATTTTTACTATGAATATTAACTTTTGCCCTCTTAGAAAGATCCTACAGCAGTGTTACTCAAACAGGTCCATGAAATCCAGGAATAAAGGAAAGATGAGTGTTGGATAGGAATGGGTCTGTCTCCTGGCATATATGTCCTATAGTGTAGTCCTGGAGGAAAAACAAAAACAAAAAAATAGATCTGTGTGCTTTGGAGAGAACACTAGAATTGAAAATATACCAAGATCAGCCTGGTTCTGTGAAAAGAAAGGACAGTCACTTAATTCATCACAAGTACAATAAAAGATTGCCAGTGTTATGGCAGAATGTGGCTGAAGATAGAGGGGCACAAAGGAGGCCATGAAAATTTAACACTCCCTGGAGCCAGAATGGACTCTAAGTAGAGGTGAAACTTGAATAGTGAAAGGTGAGTAGAGGTAGTCCAGGTGGATACCATGGAGAGGAGGCAGTCAGGTGAAGGTGAGCACCTCCATGGCGACAGGGAATAAATAACGGGGCATGAGGGGCAAATAGGGCAAAAGGCACCTGCAGGAGAGTGGTGGTCAGTGAGGCCCCAGAAGACCATGGCCGGGGTCCGATTGCAGAGGCCTGTGTGCCTTACCCAGGCACGGGGACACTATCTTCTAAACGATGGGGAACTATAGAAGAAGAGAAATGACATGGCCACATGTGCAGGCAAGCTAGAAAAAAATAATTTGGTGCTCAGACAGGAATTGGGAATGGGACAAATTGGAAGAGATGAGATCAAACAGAGAGCTCCGCAGTTACCCTTGAAGTGAAAGCCAAGGTGCTGGAAAAAAGATGTGGGAAAGGGATGCTGAGAAGGAAGTCACACCAAGATCTGGCCACCAGCTGGAGGGGGGAGGCGAGGAGAGGAGAATGACCAGCGTGATGTTTGGGTTTTGCCTTTCCATTCTTGGGCCGATGGTGGTGCATTCCAGTAAAGGAATAGAGGAGGAGAAGGTTTGAATGGTAAAGATGAGTGGAGCTCATGTAACTGAGTTTGTTTGAGATGACTGAGGGGATGTACCATCACGCAATCTGGAGGGTAGATTGGAGGATACATTGGTCTGCAGTTCAACAGAGTGAAGGTAGAAGATATGGATTTGGAGTCATCAATCCAAGGGGTTAGAGCCGAAGTCCTGGCCGGAAAGCTGCCTCCAGGGTGTGCACAGAGCATTCAGGGGGGCTGACCATGGGCCCTGGGGAAAAGCATGGCGGGTTTGCTCTGAAATTAATGAAGCCTAAGCTTCTGCACCCCTCACTTGCATAAGCCTCTTCTAAAGAAATACTCACTTTGTCCTTAATTTTAATATCTTTGTTTTCTTTTTCTTAAAGAAAGGCTTATATGTAGGCATTGTATCAACATCAGATTCCATAAAGCCCAGATCCCTCTGTAAGGATGGACCTGGAAAGAGGAGTCCACAAGAATGAACTGGTCAGAAGTGGAAGATCAAGGTAAGAATGCTGTTTCTGAAGCCCAGAGAGGAGGGGGTTTGGAGAGGAAGGTAGTGGGGAAAGTCCCAAGGAGCTCAAGTCAGGTCTGAAAGAGCCCTTTGGTCTTTTTTGACAGTTCGCAACACACTTGAAGACAAGGGCTGGCTCTTTTCCCTGAGCCGAGGGCTGGAGGCAAGGGCGTGCAACCAGCCATCTAGGAGGTCGCAGGAGGTTGCACGTGGCTACCTTTATTTCTTTTGAAAACAAAAAATAAAATAAAATAATAAAATAAAATAAGGGCATCTGCTAGAGAAAGAGACATGGGGGAAGGAGCTTGAGGAGGTGGCAAAGGTTTAGAGTGCCCTTGGAATGCCACGGGAGGGGAACTGGCCAGAGCCAAGTTACCCACTGTAGGACACTGCGGGGAGCTTCCGGCCTCAGTGTTTGGCTGTGAATAGGACCGGATGAGATAACCAGTAATCTCTCCTCCATCTCCTTCACCTTGAATTTGTAGGCAAGGGTGCCTTAGAAGAGTAGTTCTCACACTTGGTTGTGCAGTGGACTCCCTGGGTAAGTTCCACACACAGAGATTCTGACTGAATGGGTCTGCGGTGAGGTCTAAGCATTGAGAATGTTTAGATTCTCAGGCGATTCTAATTTACAGCCAAGACTGAAAATCACTGCCTTGGTAAGACTACCTGAGGATAGTACACAGTAGAAAAAACAAGAACTAGCAAGATCAGGTGTTCTATGCGTAATGTTTAGCTGCCCATGCCAGGAGAACCAATTCCTGGGTCCGTCTGGTTTTGTTATTTCCCTTTGGACATGTATTTGTTTGCTTTGGAATCTAAGAGGTAGGACATATCATTGACATCTTAACTGCTAACTTGTACTGTATCCTTCTATGTGGCAAACACACAAATTATCCGGTTTTATTCTTAACATAATCCTATGAGGTAGGTATTCACATAATCCCCACTTCACAGATCAGAAAACTGAGCCCCTGGAGAACCATCTAGTCACATTCAAAACTTCTGGGCAATTATCTCTCATTTAATCTAAGCAGGACTGACCCCCACCACTCACGAGAAACCTCTTTCAGCTATGGAAAAGATATGTTTACTGTTTTGCTTAATTTGCTCATTCCATGTAAGAGGTAACATGGCATTTGCATTACCACCTGCCGTAATCAAAATCGATGCTACGCTTGTTTTAGATGGATCCAAAATGTTACTTAAACTTGGTCAGTGAATATGTAGCCACTCATACAGGGATGAAGGAACCTTCTACTTTCCTTCAAGGTCAGGAGTATGTTCTGTTCGCCACTTCTGCAATAGATCATTGCTTCTGGGCAATGAAGTAAACCCTTCACGGGGTTTGTCTCCATAATAATACTCCCTGAAATAACTGCTGTTCAGTTCTAGTTTTATAGTCAGACCTAAGTCAGCCTTCGTATGTTTTCTTAAATTAATGTCTTTAGTTACGTACATGACTTTCTGCATCTGAAAGTGACTAAAAAGCCAAAATTTGCATGCTAACACAGTGCACAGGGATTTTTTTTTTTTTTTTTTTTTAATGAAGACAACCTAAGGAGCAAGAAATAGTTTGGTTTTTACCATAGGCAGTGCCTGAATTTCTTTCTTTTCCAGTTTGTTTTCGTCTTGCAGGCCTTTCTTGTCCATTTCCTTCAGCACCATGTCCATTCTTTTCATAATTTTCAAGTGCTTCTTGCCAAGTTACAGATTTCACTGTGGCTTTTCTATTCTCCTCTAGCAAAATGTCTGTCCCTCCAAGTGCTTCCAGATCACCCGCAAAGCCAGATTGGCCAAATTGGAGCTTGGGCAACCTGTGTAGAAACAATTCCGTCTCAAATTGCAAAACTGAACCACAAAAACTGGGAGGTTCAGTCCCCAACTGATACAGGTGGGCTCAAAAAACCAGGTTTGAGCATTTCCGGGTGACTTTGGTGTCAAATTGTCTAGTTTCTTAGGTTTGCAGAGATGCTTGCACACAGATCAGAATAATACGGTTGGCGTTATTAATTTTGCCTCTGGGACATGGGATTAAAGGCTTCGGAGGATGTAGTAGAATGAGAAATTGTTATTTCTTTGCTTTTATATACTGATGTGCCCTTTAAATTTGTTATATTGGCCCTATATTACTCTTAACATTAAAAAAACCCAAAAAACCCTCAAACAGAGGAGCATCCTAGCCCCAGTGGTTTGGGTCAGGTCAAGGACTTGGCGTCACCTGTGACCTTTCTTTAGGGAGAGAGTCTTCTGCAGGGGACAGAGCTGAGGGGCAACCTCAGCTCCGCCTTCAACCTACCTCCTGACAAGCCTAAATGGCTGCAGCAGAGTGTCCCCTCGGTTCGGGCCCCCACATTTTCCAATGAGCTCGGGGGATGGGTACTGGTTTATTCCACCTAAAAATAAAATTAAAAAATTAAATCAAGTCAAAGCACACATAAAGTAATGTAAAACTTAAAAATAAAATAAACATACAATAAAATAAAGCATAAAAACAAAATACTATCCATAAAGACATAAAATTTAAAAAACAAAAAGTCAAAGCATAAAATAAAATAAAATACACAATAAAACAAAATAAAAAACAAAAAAAATAAAAATAAACTCAAAACATAAAGACCAAAAAAATCCACTGACATGAAATGAAAAAATATATATATAAATTCAAGTAAGGCATAAAACAAACACCAAAATAAAAGCAAAGAAAATAAAATAAAAACCAAGCAAAATAAAAACGTGAAATTCATCCTATCACATAAATTATATAAAATAAAATCAGAACATAAGAGTATACCAAAACAAAAAATTAAACCTAACACAATAAAATATTTAAAAGTTAAGTAAAATGAAATTGAAATGGACTAGAAAAGTGATTCCCTCAGCCTGCTTCTCAGAGTCACTAAGCCACCAGCCATCTATTAGAATGCTCTCCTCCACCTCCTACAAAGATAAGGAATCAGAATGCACATTTTAACAAGATCCCTGAAAGGTACATGTGCACGTTAAAATTTAAGAAGCACTGTTATATGCCACTGGATTCTGTAATCCATATTCCTGGATATAGGAATGACAATAACTATTCCTTATATTTGTTCAACGCTGGTGCTTTCAAGGTCCGTCCACACGTATATTTGAATGTAGGCTTCACAAATAAGGAAGAGACTGTAATTCTCATTTTGGTAAAGGACAAAATCAAGAGGTTAAGTAGAAGAAACCTGAGGCCTCCCAGCCACCAAACGAGAGGTTCCAGATAAGAAACCAGCGCTAGGTTTGGCATAGTGTCAGGGCAATGATAGCTCATGGTTTTTAGCAAATTGGATGAAGGTGCTTTCTGGAGACTCCCCAGAGGACACACTCAGCAAGTGTGAAGGTACAGCGGGTACCTACTTGCCCAAATACCAAGCTCTAGTAAGTTCCTCTCCCCACCTCACCCAGGGCATCCCCAGTGCTTACTTTTTAGAAGGTTCAGGAAGGCCCTCGTGAATCCCTGGGCATAGGCTACTTCCTGGCCTGAGATTCCCTCCAGACGTAGCAGGTGCTGCTCGGTGGGGAGGCTGGCCACACCCTCCAGCTCAGCCAGCTCATGGGTACCCACACCTGGGCCCAAGGCCAGCACAAACAGAGTGATGCCCTTGCACTTGGCCTCCAGGGACAGAGTCCTTAGCTTCTCCTGGTCCCAGCTGCTGGTCTCACTGGCCACGATGGCAAAGAGGACCCGCACCTGCCTGGGCAGAGGGGCTGCCAGGAGCACCTTCTCCAGAGTCCACTCCAGGGCGTGTCCCAGGGCGGGAGCTCCCTGCAGAGGGCGGCCAGAAGCCTCACGGAGGTACCTCCGCATCTGTATCTTTTGGCCATAGGAGGTCAGGTGGAAGCCCTCCAGCACAGGGGGGCGCCCTGCACCGGGCCAGAAGCCTGGAGTTGTGTACATCACCAGGGCAGCACGCGCCCCATGGAGGGACACGCTAGGCTGCACGGCCACCTCCAGGTCGTCGAGCATGGCATCCACTAGACTCAGGGCAGTGCGGTACACATCAGCACCAACGCCATAGGAGCTGTCCACCACAAATACCACGTCCATGTCCCCTGCCAGGGGTCCTGGCGCGCTCCGCTCACACTCTGGGTCTGGTCTGCACTTGTCTGGGGGAGGAAGTGCCAGGAGAGGTTGGGGTTACCACGCATCCCTTTCCTTTCCATGCAAACACATTTCCAGACTCTCGGTAAGAATAGACGCTGCTGAGCACTACCTGCATTGTGCTAACAAGGTAAGCTGATGGGCAATGTAAGTAATCATGCCCATTTTTCAGAAAAATGAATTCAGACAATCTAATCCTACGTGTAATGTTTTTAACCACTAGGCCACGGCTTTCTAATCTCTAGGTTCACAGACACCTGCCTGGTTCAGTCCTGGCTCTCGTATTGGGCATGTGACCTTGGGCAAATTATTCAGCCTTCCCCATGCCTGTTTCCTCATCTGTCAGATGGAGATAATGATGATAATAACAGTATGTACCTTATGAGGTTGTTTGTGAGGTTTAAATAAAAAATGAGTTAATATATGTAAGTGCTCAGAACAATGCCCAGTGTGTAGTAAGAGCTCAAGCTCAATAAATACCAGCTAGGCTTATGCTTCTACAGAAGGGACCAAAACCCAGAGAGACCAGGTGTCAAATGATTTGATGGGTATGAAAGCAGCTCATCAACTGTAACATACTCTACAAACGGCTGCCACTGTATTTGACTTGACCAAGTTCTCAGGGCCAAATCTCTCATGGCAGTGTTAAGTGTAAGTGTGGATCGACTAGAGGGAATGATTAAATCCCCTTTCAATTTCACCTAAAGGACTCACTCTGGCCCCGGGTGCCATGGGTGTGGATGAGAGCTCTACACACTTGGGCATGCATGGGCTTCAGCATGAAGTTCTCTCTGGCACAGATTAATATGAGTGCAGGTATAGTGATGGAAGCCAGAGATACAGAGACATTGCATGACTTGCCAATATCCCACTGGTGGTCAATGGCAGTTCCAGGCTGAGAACCCAGGATTCTGGACTCTTAGTTCAGGGGTCTGCCTTGCACACTAAGGGGCCACTAAGTAAGGAACACAAGCCCAGCCATCTACAGGAGACTGGCAGGACAGGTAAATAAGCAGAGCGGACCAGGGGTAAGACAATAGGGATGGAAGGGACTGTGGGGCACTCATATCAAAAGAGGTCAGGCACAGCTCAGTTTGGGCTGACTGTGGCCACAAAGGAATACAGTGTCTGTGATTCTCAAGACGATTCCTAAGAAAAACTGGAAATCCGGACTTGATAAGAATTCCCAGGTTCAAAGACTCTGCACATATTCAAGTAAATACACATCTGCAGGGCAGATCTGGCCTGTGGCCACTGGTGAATTCATCCTGTTGTAAAGACATCAATCTGATCAGAAACGCTGTCTGGGCTTACCATAGCAGAGAGTGCAGTGGACCATGTGCTCCACGTCCTGCTGACTCTCGGTCTCCCAGACAAACAGGTGAAATCTGTTGGTTCCATCCGTCTAATCCAAACATATACGCAAAGTTTATCAGTAGTGGAATTAAATTTCAAGTCATGTTTTTCATGCTTTTTCCAATTCAGATGAGAAAGACATTCATATGATAGTTTTAGAGAATATATGTAATTATATACCGATAAATAATTTGGTATTACCTATTACAGTTATTTATTGTCATTTAGTTCTCTAGTTCTAACCTGGATGTTAGATTATCGTTGCTGTGGGGACACGTGGGTCTTCAGACTCCCGATGTGTGTAAAACTCAGCCAGTGTTGTGCTGTGTTAGAATGAGGTCAGGGAGTTGAAGATACAATCATTTATAAATTCCATATATGTTCAGTGATTGTCCACAGTATGCAAGATGCAGTGTGGTGGGAGTTATAAACACGAACAGGCAGACCCTTCAAGGAGATGGTCATACAGGTCATACACCATTAGAATGGAATGAGGTAGATACCACAGGGGAGGCCTCTCTAGCATATTCCTGGTGTTCAGGGCTGGTACATACCAGAGTCAGAAGGCAAGAGTGAGGAAGACTCAGGGAAGGCTTTGTAGGGATGGCAAATCTATTTATCTCCTTCCTTCAACCTTTCCAATTATGATTAATGTAATAACTGATATCAAAGCTTAAAAAGCAAACAATAATAACAACAATAAATCCAACAAGTTCATGTGACAACTAGTTAATCAATAAACCCATTCCCTCTTCTTCCTAGGGCCACAACCAGACATTTCCCACCGTCCCTTGTAGTTAATTGGGACAACAAGTAGGGTCTAGCCAATGCCATGTGGGTGGATGGATGCCATTTCTGGCACATGCATGATACTCTGTGTGTGCACATCTGCCAGCCAAATGTAGAGGACTCAGAAAAAGGTTTAGAGGCCCTTCGGTATGATGGGGCCATTGATAGGATCCCAGGTCCTGAAACGGCTGCACAGAGCAAAACATTCCTCCCCTCCACACCCATATCCAAGGATCCACATTCACTTGTGACAGATGCCAGAAAGAATACTTTATTATGTTAAGCCATTGAGACTTGGACATGAATGCTTCCACAGTTAACCTTCCCTGGCAAATGGAGATTATTTGCAGGACTTCCACCTCACGATGAAATTCGGAATGCTGTCAGACTATTTCTCTCCAGATATGAGGTGAATATCTAAGATTAGTCCTGTCCATCACATTGTCTGCTCTCTGTCAAAACATGAAGGATAGGGCCCCGCCGCTCCTCCCCCTTCATCCCTGTGGCCAGGACCAAGTAGGTTCTGGACCCTCCTCTAGAATCAAAGTGCTAGGGACATGAAGCTGTCATGCTAGCCCTCAGGGAGAGAAGATAGGCAAAGGTTACTTTGGAAAAGAATTTTCCATAACATGTCCTCCTGACAGAGCTCTTCAGTCTTTCTGCTTGGGACTGCAGCATATCCTCAATTTTAGCTCTCAGAGTGAGCTTACATGAAAGAAAAACCCATGTGGAGAAAGAAATATAAAGAGCTGAACTTTTATTCTTGCTAATGTAACACAAAAACAACATGGGTACTTTCCCAAGACTTGAGAAGAAAGGCAAAATGAATCCTTTCTTGTTCCTCACCTGGTTATGCTTTTTCCTGACTCAATTCAAATCAACCAAGACTGATTAAACAGCTACTAAATAGAAGTCTTAACAAGCCCTGCAGAGATACAAAAATGACAGTCACATCTTCAAAGAGCTTAAAACCTAGCAGGAATGAGAGACAAACAACTTTCAAAAAAGAAAGAGGTCCAATAATATGTTTTAGGGACACAGGAAGAGGAGGTTCATTTGAAGTGACGGCAATAGAGGGAGCCTGATGAAGACAGTGACATCTGGCACTTTGGGAAGAATGAGTAGGATACTTACATAGCAAAGAAGCAGGTGAAAGAATTACAGTGTGGAGGAACAGCATGTACAAAGGCCCAGGGGTAGACAGAGGTTGTCTACAGAATTCTCCTTAGTGTTCCCGCTCCCCAGAGATTAGAGAAAGCCCACCTCCAGTGTGCAGCTACACAGCACATCTGAAACCCTGGAACCCCCTGCCAGATGGAGGAGACTCCACTTGAAGAAAAAGGCAGAGTTGCCAAAATTCAACATTCAGAACTATTCCACATGGTCATCAGATCTGAGTACCGACCAAGCCAAATGGACTTAATTAATCACCAGGGATTAGAACAGTAGAGGCACATTAGTAGCTTTACTGGAAATCACATGAGGCAACTTGAAAAGCTGCTGAAATCAGGATCCATGGCAGTGTTCCAGGAGCTATGGGAAGACTGAGATAACCCTAGGAGCATCCATTTTATTCCAAGAGTTGTGGGGAACCACTAAGTTCGTGTATATTATTTTTAAATCACAGGAAACCTAGGTGAAGTGTGCTATAAAATGCAGAGTTTGTGTGAATTTTTAAGGTAGTATGAAAGACGTCAAAGAAATTTAAACATCCCCCCACAAGTTTGGTCCATGGGAAGAGTCCAATGCAGCAGTAACAGATTTGGTGTCAGGATCCCAGGTCCTGGTCCCTGATCTGCCATGGTTGGCTGCGTGACCTTGGACAAGGCTCTGGTGCCTCAGATTCCTCAACAATAGAGTTGAGGGTCTGAATGGATGCCACAAGTTTTCTTCTTGTTTCAACACCGCCTGGTCCTCAGTTCTAATCTTCTGTATTTGCCTCATGTTCAGGACACTGTGTTACCTTTTCTACTCCGAGCAACTCAGAGGATGTAACTCTTCCATCTGTTGTCTGCTTACTGGGAAATTACCAAATTCAACTGAATTGGAATAGTTACAAAACTTACATTTTTTAAAAAACTTTTCTTAGGGAACCATGAGAGACTATGGACTCTGAGAAACAAACTGAGGGTTTTAGAGGGGAGGTGGGTGGAGGGATGGGTTAGCCTGGTGATGGGTATTAAAGAGGGCATGTACTGAATGGAGCACTGGGTGTTCTATGCAAACAGTGAATCATGGAACACTACATCAAAAACTAATGCTGTAATGTATGGTGACTAACATAACATAATAAAATTAAATTAAAAAAAACTTTTCTTAGGAAGAATAATTTTGTGATCACGCTTAAAATTTGTACTGTTCTGGCAAAAATAAAATTGTGGGAACAAGTACACAAAAACACAATGAAAGTCCATAGGGGACTATGACTCAGTATAGATTCATCCATACTTAGTTGTCATTAATGAACCTCTAATTACTTTGAATTTGGACTTGCCAGCACGGTCCTAGTCATTGATTCCTGGGAAAGCTCAAGCAGAGAGACAGTGTGGGAGGGAATCAGTATGAGGAGAGGAGAAAATTGGCTTGTTGAGTCTTAGTGCAAACTCCCATCAGCACCAGAGAAGGAAATTTCAAAAACAGAGTACCTTAAACACAGACTAAGTGATCTGCTCGAAGCGCAAAGCTTTATGACAGTTTGAATCAACGCCTTTGGCGATTCTCTCAACCAACTTCATTCCTGAATGTCCAGCTGTGGTCTGTTGGGACTAGTTATATACTAAAGACAAGAGTGTATGGAGGGGAGAAGACATGGCACATGGATTTGCATTCACGTCCTCTTTTGTTTCATAGACAGAAAGATATATTTTCAAAGGATTCAGACAACCCTCAAACCCCAGCCCCCAATTTTTAAAGAAGTCCCCATGAGCCCTGAGCTGGAAAGACCCACAGGGTTCAATCCAATGTTTCAGCTGCTGTCTAAAGCTGCCAAGGTCATGGGACAATGTTCATTCCTGGGACTGAGCTGGAGGAGGCTCTTGGCTTGGATGGGAATAGAAGGGAAGAAAGCGAGTGCCAGGGAGGAGGATTTGCCTTGGACAGAGGGAGAGCTAACTGGACCCTAAGGAGGGAAACAGAAACCATCTGGCTTCCAGTTGAGGCGAGGACTTGGGGAACAAGGGAAAATGGGCAAAATGGGGAAGGAGGCAGACAGAGAGAATAGTCATGCAACCTGTGACTGACCCCAGGAGCTTGAGTCCAGCCCTGACTCCTTGCAGTTGGCATGGTCCCATCTCACCAAGACTGCCGTGAAACAGCGGCCTCCTCCTGGACTTCCCAGCTAACGTTAGGGGTTGGCATCGGATTGAGGTGGCAGGTGGCATAGTGGAACTTGGAAACCTGACAGATTGGAGTGCAAATTCCAGGACTATGCAGTTTAAAACAAGTTGCTTTACCTCTGACCTTCCCTTACCTCATCTGGGAAATGTAGATTATCATTATTAACTTATGGGATAGTTATGAGAATTAGACCAACACTCCTCAAACTTTAACACTCATGCAAACCATCTAGGGATCTTGTTAAAAATGCAGAGCCTGGGATGGTGTCCCCATCAGGCTCCAGCCCACTCTCAGCATGGTGTGTGCTTGAGAGTCTCTCTCTCCCTTTCCCTCTGCCCCTCCTCCTGCTCGAGCGCATTCTCTCTCTAAAAAATAAATTTTTAAAAATCTTTTTAAAAAATGCAGAGCCTAATTATGTGGTTGGTGGTAGAGTCTGAGATTTGGCATTTTTCATGGACCTGGGTAATGCTCATGCTGCTGGTCCCAGGACCACATTTTGAATAGTGATGGGTTAAGGTGACAAGGCATGAAAACCACGTAGCATGGTGGTTGGAACTTCATAGGTGCTTACTAAACAGAAGCTGTCTAATTTAATAAAGAGTTACTGGGTGAAGAGGCACTCTTCAGGTCCTTGAAGAGATGGTAATAATAATGGCTATCCACTGAGTATACACAAAGAAAGTGTCAGTTCGATGTCAAGGTAGGCACTACCTTTTAGAACTCTTACAACAAATCTGTGAGTTTATCCCCATTTTATAGGTGACTAATTGAGGCCCCAGTGTCAAGAACACATCCAGATAACACATGGGACAGAAACAGAGTGTGAAGTCTCATTGCCTCATTCCTTCCCTTGGTTGCTGACCCTGGCCTTAGAGCAGTAACAATCTAATGGAAAACAGCAACCCACAAGGCCTCAGCAGCAGGTTATCCACGGCCTCTGAAAGAGCCTCTCTAGGCAACCCAACACTTTCTTTAAAAAAAGTCCTTCCATAACTTTTCTGAATCCTGAAATTACACCAAAATTTAAAATTACCTCCCCCATTTTTTTTTTTACCTTCCTCTTAATGTTTCTATCCTCTAAAGCTGATTTTTCTTGTCTCCATGATAGCCAGCACTCCATTCTTTGGATTCTTCTTTTTTAATACACAGAAATAAAAATAGGGCTAGTTCAGAGATTTATCTCACAGTATTATAAAGATAAAATGAATTAATACATGGGGAGAATTTAGAACTTCTAAACTCTCTTCCTGCTCTTGAGTTTTGAACTCAAAATCTCATTGCTGATGAGAATTCCAGACCTTGAGCAAGTTATTTAACTTCTATGTGTCTCAGTTTCATCGTCTGAGAAATGGGCCCATAATAGTTATCTCACTGGGTTGTTATAAGGATTAAATGAATCAATAAGTGGAAAGATCTTAGCACAGTGTCTGAGTCAATAAATGTGAGCTATTTTCCTGGGTACTGTTTCAAGGGAACATGTACTAGACTTTTGATAAAGAAAAATGAAATTTGAAACCTGGCACTCAAATTGCCTTTTCCCTGCAATCCTCTGCTTTTTAACTTTAAAAAATGGGGCAAATATTTTGAGATACACACAGGCAATTGGATCTAGGCACAATAGTCCAATGCTGCAAAACTGATTTTTTTTTTTTTTAGGGCTAAGATGACTCATGGGTGGCTTAAAAAATCTTTTCAATATGCCCCCACGGCCTCCGAAAACGTTTAAATGGACTGAGAAGTTCGGGCATCTGTTTATATAATCATTTCAAATTGAACAACCATCATTTTTCCAGAAGAAGCATGTGGGTGTTGTTCTGTGAAATAAAATAACATAGAGGTGAAAGACAAAAACCTCACAGAACGTCAAAGAGATTCCTCAGGCAGATAATTCCAAAGACAAATGATAGGATATTCCTACTCTCCTAATAGGATCCCCCTAAGGCTGACACACAGAGTAGGGGGGAGGTTAAGGGCTGCAATATGCCCAGTTATGAAGAAATGAGGCTTTTTCTGACAGGCCCTGAGAAGGGAGTTTCTCTCCTTGCCGGTGTCAACAAAACGAGGTCACCCGTTATATGTGAACTGGCAAGCAACAATGTAACACTTCTACATTGTTACATTTAGGAAACAGAATTGGTTTCCAGCATCCCGGGGCAAGAATATGTCCAAGAAACAGAAAGGAGAGCAGACAGAAGTGACAGAGCTGAGGTCCAAGTATTCTGAAGCTGGTAGATTCTTTTCACATACAATTATACCCTTTTACCTGGAACCCAAAGCAACTAAGAGGCCAAGGACATCCTGACCAAATAGTAACCCTACAGCAGATCCCAACAGTCTGCCCAGGATCCTCTCAGAAAGCCGCACTGATGGGCATTTGAGGAATGTAACTGTACCCCAAGGATCACTCTCCAAATGTTAGGGAGATGCCTTTCTGAAAATAGATCATCACACCAGGGAGGGAGCTCGATAACATTCACTTGTGACCCCCTTTCCATTTTAGAGCTGAGCCAAATGAGACTCGGAAAGATGAAGAGACTTTTCCAAAGGCACCTCATTGTTGATGGAAGAGCCACTCTCTAATTTTAACTGTTATTTGGTTGTACCCTGCCTTTATGCATCCATTCAGGAAGTTATTGACAGCTGCCCTCTTGCTAGCCCGTCTCTGTCCACACAGCCTACTGGACAAGAGAGGTGTAACAGCAAACAAGGAACTCAACGCTCTGCATTTTAACTTTGTTTCTCAAAACCCAAGGCATTTAGTCCAAAGGTTTGCAAGCTATCATAATTTTACCTATTGATTCTTAGAGGCATATTCACAGCTGTGGTAACAGTGTCTGTCGCCTACCATTTCTCCTTAAGAGAAAATTAAATGGTCTAGTGCAGCTAAATTGATTAGCTATTAGGTTGAACCATATGACATTTCCACTTTTGCTGGTCCAACACAGTTGAATATTGGCAATGTCACATGGTTCAGTCTGACATTCATAAGCATCCTGGAGTCTCTTAAATAGAGAACCACTATTTATTTTGATAGATCATCCCATATATTCCATGAGAATGTGTTACATGGGTTTCAGTTAGAAAAGTCAAGTCTGGAGAATAGGTAAATAAATTGTGGTATATACCCACTTAGCGTAGTTCAGAACAGCAGTAAAAAAGAACAAGTTCCCCACATGCACAACATAGATAAACAAGGAGAACAGACATCATGTTGAGTGGAAGAAGCCAGATATGAAAGAGTACTATATATGCTATAGAATTCAATTGAAATGAAGGTTCAGAACAAGCCAAACTGCTTATTTGACTGCAACAGAAGCCAGAAGAGCAATGACTCTGTGGAGTGTGTGGTTTGGGGAAACATGAGCAAAACTTACAGGATGTTGAAAGGGTTCCAGATCTTGAATGATGTCTTGGTCACAAGGGTTTAAACATTTATAAAAATCCATCCAGCTGTACATTTTAAATTAAAGCACTTTGCCCACTTTGTTATATGGGTATGTGTTTTATACCCCAAGAAAGAAAAGAAAGAAAGAAAGAAAGAAAGAGAGAGAGAGAGAGAGAGAGAGAGAAAGAAAGGAAGGAAGGAAGGAAGGAAGGAAGGAAGGAAGGAAGGAAGGAAGGGAAAGAAAGAAAAAGAAAGAAGAGAGAAAGAGAGACAGGAAAGGAGAGGAAAGGAGAGGAGAGGAGAGGAGAGGAAAGGAAAGAAGAGAGAGGAAAGGAAAGGAAAGGAAAGGAAAGGAAAGGAAAGGAAAGGAAAGGAAAGGAAAGGAAAGGAGAGTTACATTCTACAGACTCTCCTGATACAATTTAGCATAGTGGGGAAGCATAGGCTCTAAAGGCAGATAATATCAATCTGCTACTAACCACATATTTGACTTTTGATGGTATACTTAACCTCTCTAAGCCTCAGTTTTCTTATCCCTGAAATGGAGGTATACAGTAATACCCACCTCATAGAGTCTTGGGGATATTAAATAAGTGAATGTTTGTGAGGCACGCTGCACAGAAGAAGCGCTCAAGAGTGGCCAGTTGGTACTAGTAGTTAACACTAGTAGCAGAGTCCCTAACGAGGATCCCGCCCACCCCCCCACCCCCGCCCCACCGCGGCCCCTGCATACACATCAATGCGGTCCTTGATGGAAGGGTAGGAAGCAGGTACTAAGCGCCTGCCTCCCAGGGGCTCCCCCGCTTACCAGCAGGACATCCGGGAGGTTGTGCTCCTCTGTGAAGGTGATGATCGCAGAGGTGATGTCCAGGGCACTGAGCTCCAGAGTGGCAGTGCTGAAGGCATCCGTATCGTGAGCCCAGCCCGCCTGGAAGAACACAGCCACTTTCCTCGCGAGAAGGCCTGAGCGCACACGTTTGAATACATGTCTTGCGACAAACCTCATGGCCTCCCCAAGGTTCCTGCTGCCAGAGGAGCCTTGCAGCGCGATTGTCCTGACCGCCTGCAGGAGCGCGGGCTTCCCCTTGTGGTCTGAGAAGCGAATCAGGTAGTCTGTTTTGGCGTTGTACGAAACGACGGCCACTCTGGCGCCCGTTGGGCAGTTACTCTCACTTATTTCCATCCTCATCAACAGAGATAATAGAATGTTTCTCATCCTCTCAAAATCCGACTGGGAGACGTCATTGGACATGTCCAAGGCAAAGACCACTTCGCTAGGGAACGCTGGGCATTTGGAAATACCTTAACACAATGGACACGCAGATTTAAGATTTTCCGTAATGCCTCTGAACAGGTGACATTTGAGTGAACAAGAAGATATATTACTTACCTGTTGAACAAGCTGGAAGGGAAATTGTTTTGGAGAAAAAACAAGACATTGCTAGTTTATAGTTGTCCAGTTTCCAGGTGAGTGCTTCAATATTGAAAAACCATCTCCTCTGAGAAATTCAAGCAGTGACCTTCTCTGACTCCTGCCTGAGTTTGGCAAAGACCTCGATTTGCTCCCCAATCCATTTTCCCTTTTTTCTATAGTAGTAGATCCTCAGTCTCTGGGCATATGGCTGCCTGGAAAAAAAGACTCCATTTCCCAGTGGCGGAGCTATCCTATTACATTCTGAACAATAGAATAAGAGAAATGGTTGAAACGACTCCAAAAAGATATCCATCCCCTTTCCCTTTCTTTTCCTGATAGCTGGACCTTGGCCAACATCTTGGACCTTGAGGTGATTTGGGAAACAAAACACCCTCCCGACAATGGCAGAGCAAAAAAGAATAAAGAGCTCATGTCCCTGAATACTGTGGAGCTCCATATCAACCCCAGACTGGCCACTTCCTGGCTTTGATCTGAGAAATACCTTTGTGTCATTGCTATTGAGCACTGAGGTCATGCTGTATTGAACTTAAACTTAACTAATTCACTGAGCTATTCTGAAACTATACATATATATACACACACACATATACATATACACACACATCTAAAACTATATATAATATACAATATATATCATATACTATATATTATGTATAAGTGTGTGTGCACATGTAATATATTTTTATGGAAAATATCAGAAAACAAAAAATTAAAATTATCCTTAATTCATAATGTCTATGTATGTATTTGTATAAATTTAATTTGTTATTTTATTTTATAAAAACTTGGACCTTAGTATATGTCTTATTCTGAATCTTTTTTTTACTTAGCATATGATAAACATGTATTCTTTTTTTAATTTTATTTTATTATGTTATGTTAATCACCATACATCATTAGTTTTTGATGTAGTGTTCCATGATTCATTGTTTGTGCGTAACACCCAGTCTCCATGCAGAACGTGCCCTCTTTAATACCCATCACCAGGCTAACACATCCTCCACCCTCCTCCCCTCTAGAACCCTCAGTTTGTTTCTCAGAGTCCATCATCTCTCATGGTTCGTCTCCCCCTCTGACTCCCCCCCCTTCATTTTTCCCTTCCTACTATCTTCTTTTTTTTTTTTTTAGCATATAATGTATTATTTGTTTCAGAGATATAGGTCTGTGATTCATCAGTCTTACACAATGTATTCTTTTCATCAATAAATTTAGAGCAGTATCACCTAGTCCACCATAGATGTCTCATGATACTCCCACCAACATCCCTTTGTGATGAGCATGCTTGTACATGTATCTGTGCATCTCAGTCCAATTGTGGTCCTCTATAAATCTCTATAATTATGGCTTTTGATATGCAGGGTCCAATTGCTCTTCGGAAAGGTTGTACCAACTGACACTCCCACCAGCAATATGCATTTTATACATTTCCCAAATTTAGATAGAAAATTTTTTCTCATTTTAAAAATATTTCCAATTTGAGAGACAAAAAGAGTATCTCATTTTTGTTTGTATTCTTTGGCTTCCTGTGAGGTCAAACATTTTTACAGGTTTATTGGTCATTTGTATTTTTTCTTCTCTGAAGCTTCCATTCGTGTGTTTTGTCCATTTTCAATCTATGAGTTTTTTTTACATTAGGTTCAACAAATATGAAATATCTGTGCTTGTGGATAAAAATGATTGAGTGGGAGCAATTGTATATATTTCGACATGACAGAATTCACAAAATTAGGTCCTTGGCTTGGGTCCATTGCTTATATTGTGTATATTTTGTTCCCCACTTTTCTCTTTACTTTCGACTTCACAGTGCTCTTCAATATAAAGGGGTTTTAACTTTTGATATGGTCAACTCTGACATTCTTCCTTTGTGGACAAAACTATGGTATTATTTTTTGTGATTTCTAGAAAAAGGACTTCAGAATCTTCTTGAACAGAAACTGAATGGGAATGGACAGAAGATGGAGTTTGAATAAGCAGGGCTCGGTGTCTGTGGAGAGAACCCAAGCACCCAAATTAAGCACTCTGCCAAATCACTGTTCCCTCCCTATTGCTAGTGAGTGGAGAAATGTACATATGCAAATATCCAGGAATACACTGAAGACACTAAGTAAATTCCAGTCTGGGGATGTGACCAAATATTAAGATCTGATGATTTGTAATTCCATTTTTAAAACATAAATGCAAATAAAAAAGGACATATTTCTTATTGAAGGCTCCCTGGTGATCCCTCTTGTTTAAATGGATGGGATAAAAATAACAAAGCTTTTCTTTATTTGTTTTGTAATAAGAAGCACCAAGATGCAGACATGCAGGTATGCAATTGGCATTGCCTTTCATTCCACATGATAATGGAATTTCTCTTCGCTGTTGAGACAGCATGCCTTTCAGCCACTTCATTTCTGAGACCACATTGGCGAAGATTACTTACCCGAAAGGAGATTGAGCCAAATATATTAATTTATAAGAGCCTTTCATGATGGGGCCCCTGGGTGGTTCAGTTGGTTAAGCATCTGCCTTCGGCTCAGGTTATGATCTCAGGGTCCTGGGATGGAGCCCAGTGTCAGACTCCAGCTCAGCAGGGAGTCTGCTTCTCCCTCTCTCTTGCTCCTCCCCCACTCGTGCGCGCGCGCACGCACTCTCTCTCTCTCTCTCTCAAACGAATAAATAAAATTTTTTTTAAAAAAAGAACCTTTCATGATAGACAATGGTACCTCCCAAACCTCAGTCAAATCCACAGGTGATTTATGTCCCCAGTTCATGACCATGATTCATCCCCACTTCACACCACTGGCTCCCATTTGAGCCTTTCCCAAACAACTTACGGCAGTTCTCTTGTATGATAGCAATGATTTCACAAGGCTGTTAGAAAGATGGAGAAAGAGGGAAAAGGAAAAAGTATTTAATTTGAAGCATATTCAATCTCACTCTCATGACTTAGAAATGTCATCTGGGTATTATCAGTTTCTTTCTGAAGCTTTTTAAGCTACAATAGAAAACACAAAAATTGTTACAGCAGATGAAATGATCCATAAGTTATATTTCTAGATACAGTGGATATTTAAAAATATTTAAAATATATTTTATATACCATAGAGTGCTCATATTATTAGAGATAGGTAAATAAGGGGAACTCTTTCTTATTTTTTTATCTGCCTCACAAAGCAATGGAATCAAATTTGACTTTGAGGAAGTTTCAATCCAGAAATCTTGGCATAAAAGGCAAAGAAATGTCTTCAAATCCTGGATCTCTGTGTCAGCAATTCCTGGAATTTTTCTTTAGAATGACTGCCAAGACATGGACCCTTCACACCCCTTTAGAATTCTGCTTTGTTCCTTTGATCTCTTCCTCGGTGTTCTGTTTATCCCTTGACTCTATTACTTCTTGGTTCTCACTTGTCCCCACTTCCTTCCCTCCGCAGTAGTATTTCTGTGCTTGTGAGATGAAAAACCATCATAACTTTTCAGATTGTTTTCAGGTGTGTCATGACACATGAAGATAGACTCTACCATATGTTGGCTTATAAATACTTTATAAGCAACTTCTGAACTTTACAAAAAGGCATATTGTGTAGAAGTTGTAGCCTCAAAGTCTTTCTCTTCATGTCAACCGGTAGTAGTACTCAAAAACATCCAGATTGCCTCCATGACTTAAAATATTATTCTGCTCTTTTCATTGATGTGATTATAACATTTCAGAGGAAAATCTATAAACTTAAGGTACTAAAAGAATTTATAAGAGGAGAAACAAAAGAATCCTTACAGATTTCTACCTTATGAAAGTGGAAAGCCTCATGTGCTAAAAAGAATAGGTTTAGAATTAAAATGTTCACCTACCATCATATCTGCCAAGCCTTTGAGCCCCTTGATGCCCTGGGAAGAATAGAAATGAGTCTAAAATGTAAGATTCTGAGGTCCAATACATTATTCTCTGGAGTTGGCAAAACATCCTCAGAAAGATATCATAGTACATAGACCCCCTTCTTCCCCTACACTCCTGGCCCTGGAATTCTGGCTGACCCCTTAAGGAAGAAAGTTGGAGTGGCTAGGAGGTGTGTCTCAGACCTCAGAGTCTAGGATATCCAGGAATATGCTACATAAAGACTCTTAGAAGATCAGGTCATCTTGAGAACAAGCCACAGTTTAGGATCCAATTCAGGAAAAGGCCTTTCAAGATCTCAGGACCATACAGTTCTAAAGTAGACCCCAGCCATTCCCTATCCCTCCTCCTCAGGCTACCCACCACCATCCTAACTCTGCTCTAGTGCTAAACAAGTCATCCCTGGAACCCTTCAGAACAGATAGGCCTGACTGAGGTACTCTGGGAGTCTAGAGATCTTTGTTTTTATTTAGATTCTACAAGGTAGCGATTTGTCACTTCAGGCAGGTCACTATAATCTTCTCAGCCTTTGTTTTCTCATCTGTAAAATGGGGATGTGCGTCATTCTACTTCAAATTTTTGATTCTATGACTTTGTGGCTCCTCTACGGTAAACCCTAAATGCAGTGAAACCACCGGGTTCAGCCCCTGGCTCACTCACTGTACCATCTCTCATGAAAGGACAGCCTAGCCTCATAGGACAAGGGGTGGTGCAAAATGACAATAGCCCCAAAGTCTTTCCCTTCATACCATTCATACCTTCATGACCTCCCAGGGAATTTTAAAAATATGTGTGGACTTGCAACATTGTCAATTTAGTTCAGATTATATAAATGTCACATTTTGTTAGGATTTCCTTCTAGTGTTTGCATAAATCTTGTTGCTCATCTTGTTTACATTGATAAACTCAGTCTCCAGTGAATTTTATGTATTATGTATTTAGACAGGTTTATAAATCTCCAGCCGCTCTAATATCTTCCCCATGTTCAAGTAAACAATATACATTGAATAAATATACTGTGTAAGGACTTGAAGCTAATGTCCTCAAAAGCAAATTTGGCTCATTCCCTATACAGATCTTCTAGTGCCTCCCAAATGTTCATTTCTTCATTCGGATGGCTCTTAGCAAATCCCTTATTCACTTTTACACAAAGGTTGAAAATAAAAGAAAGACGAGTCCATGTTACCACTGGTCCTGGAGGGCCTTGGTCACCTGGAGTTCCAATAAGTCCAGGAAAGCCAGCATTACCCTAAAAATAGCCAAACCAAAGGAATAAGCTTCTCCTCTTGAATACAACTCAATTAAAACCATCAGACCCAGTTTGAGATACTAAGTTGTCATTATTTCTAAGATCCAATGAGTCTGCTATGGACCATTTAGTTTATGAACTGTATCAATGGAGTGAGACACCAATGGTAGAAAGGGAGGCAGTCTCCTTTGGGAGCCATCTAAATTGCCCCCTACAGACTTAAGCCCAGCCAACATGTGGACATACACACAGACACGCACTTCTAAACCCAGCCTTAAAGGATGATCAATACTCAGTTTAGACTCCAGGTCATATAGTTAAAAGAATAGGAAATATACATTGAGAGCCTGACATCAAGAGAAAGGAAAATTTCTTTCACCACCTTCTAGTCTTTAGAGTCTGAGAAAAGGTGTATGCTGACCACGGCTCACTGCTTGTCTTATAGGTATTTGGACTGACATAGCATTATCTGCATGTAACTGATGCTTTGTCCTTTTTTATTTGAAACCAGAGACATAAGTTTAGCTGAGCAGGGCAATATTAGCCAGCAGCAAACCAAGTTAGGCATAGATCAATTTTTTTCTTTATGTCCTTGCCAATGTATGAAAATACCAATTATTGAGTGCCCCTAGATAATAAATATTCTCTTTCCTCTTTTCTGCACTGAACATAGTCCATGTCTTTTTCCCAGAAGGCCTTGCTCTCTAATGTCTATCTGATAAAAACTATCAAGGTTTTAGATATCCACAGGCTCTTCCGGAAAAGAGCTGCCAGTGATTGCAGCTTTTCGAGATTGAATCTTTGGAACCTGAGGGAATGGATTTTTAATGGTGGACTCTACAAAGCACAATGAAAACATGGCTCAAAGTCCACCAGGATGGCAGCCACATTCCTGAGAGTCTAGTCCTAAATTAGCTAAGAGAAAGTTAAGGTTTGAAAAAATCTTACAGAAATAGCAATGTTCGCTCTGCAGCTAAAACAATACCCTTCCAAATGATATCCAGACTTACCATAGATATTGATATTGTGTGACTGAAACTCCAACTTGGATTTTCTGTTATTACGCTTTGATGAGCTGCATTTGCATTCACAAGATCAATGAGAGTGGTATTAAGTGGGGGGTGGGGAGTGGGGATGGCCTGAGAAAGGTGTAGAACGTTTACTGACTGAGGAGAAGAGCTTCCTGCTGAGAAGTCCATTAACCCAATAGAAATGCTCCTGTGAGGAGTGTCATGATGTGTACCTCTATAGATCTTGGGAAATTCCTTTAATTCTTACCCTCCTTCCTCTGATTCCCTTTGCCCCCTTCTCTCCTTGGTGGCCCCGATCACCATCTTCTCCCTCAAGAGAATCAAAAGCAAAACCTTGAGTTTGAAGAAAAATGACTACAAACAAATGACACATGCTGCATACCAGCTGCCAGACCCAGAAAGATAAATTCTTACTTGTGCACCAGGAGAGCCAGGAAATCCAGGTTCACCCTAGTGTTGGAAATGAGATAAAGTTCTGTTTAATGTCATGAGATTAAGTCTTTCTTTGACATTCCTCAGGGAAAAAGAAGAAACAACTATAATTTTGAGAAAACAGACTCAAAACAGGTGCCAGGAAAAACAGCTATAGCAATAGTTGTTATCTTGAGCTACTCCCAAGTGGCCATTTTTTATTTCTATAATTCAATGTGAAACAACTTGCAAATGATTTTTACCAATTCTTCCCCTTCCTTCTTTGCCAGAGAGGAAGGGAACAATGGGACAATGTATTACATATTGTGTAATGGAACTTCCTTCTTAAGCATTTTTATCTAGTGGTCTAAATAACCAGAGGTCTGATCCAACAGAAACCAAAGGAAGGGGTACCAAATTGACTGCTGGAAAGCAGGTGCTCGTTGTCAGATCAAAGCACACTATAAAGCAACTGTTCATTCAACAAATATTTAGTTAGCACCTACTACATGCCAGGCACTTTTCTAGGCACTGGGAATTGAGCAGTGAACAGAACAAAGACCCTGCTATCATGGAACTTACCCGCTAGCAAAGGAAAAATGTATGTCAGGGAGAGATAGATGCTATTCTAGAAAGGGGATTAAGGGATAAAGAATGACATAGATAGGTTTGGGAAGGGGGTGACTATTTTATATAAGGTGGTCAAACAAAGCCTTTTGGTAATGGCAGCGTTTGGGCAAAGACCAGCATAACTTGAGGAAGCCAGCCAAACAGGTATCTGGGAGAGAGCATTTCAAGCAGAAGGATGAGTGTGTGAAGAACCCTGAGGCAAGAATATGAATATGTGCTGTGTTTGAGGAACCCTGGAGCAGAATGGCAGGAGGGGAGCAGGAGGAGATGATGTCAGGGAGTTCACAGAGGGACCAGATTGTATAGAGTCTTGTAGGCCATGTTAACAGGGGGGTTAATTCTGAATTAAATCAGGAGCTGAAGCTGGGCCTTGAGTAAAGGAAATGACATGATCTGATTATTCATTTAAAAGATGGGTCTGGGGATGCCTGACTGGCTCAGTCAGTAGAGCACATGACTCTTGTTCTCGGGGTTGCAAGTTCAAGCCCCATGTTGGGTGTACAGATTACTTGAAAATAAAATCTTAATAAAATGAAATAAAATAAAATAGGGCTCTGGCTGCTGTTCAGAGGACTAACTAGATGAGGCAAGAGTGGAAGGAAGGATGCCAGTTAGATGGCTTGGCCCAGAGAGTGGCAGGGGCAGGGGTGAGAAGTGATGAAATGCTGGATGTACTTGGAATGTAGACTCACAGTATTTGTTGATGGGGAAATATAGTAGGTGAGAGACAGACATTTATTAAAGATGCAGCAAGTGTCTGCCTTGAGCAACTGGCAGATGGGAGGCTCCACTCCCTGAGATGGGGAAGGCTAGAGGAGGGGCAGGTTGTCAGGGGAGTCAGTTCTGACTGACCGGATATTTGATGATATTAAAAGATTATTGTTAATTCTTAGGTTGATAATGGTATTATGGTTTAAATATCTATAAAGAATCTTTTAGAGATACAACTTGAAATATCTATTCATGGAATATATGATATCTGGGATTGCTTCAAAATAATTGGGAGAAGGATACATGTATGGTGGAATACATATAAAACAATATAAAACTGGCCAAGGGTTTTTCATTGTTTGAGCTAGGTGATGGGTACATGGGGAGAGGTGTCATTATATTAGTCTCTCCACTTATACATATGTTTGAATTTTTCCATAATCAAAGGTTAACAAACAAAAGAAGAAGAAAAAGGAAGGAGAAGGAGGAGGGGGACAGAGGAGGAGAGGGAGAAGAAGGAGAAAGAGGAGGAGGTGGAAGAGGAGAAAAAGGAGGGGGAGGAGGAGGAGGAGAAGGTTGTTTTGGGACACGCCAATTTTAAAGTGGAAACATGTTTAGAGTTTAAGAGATTGGTCCAAGCTGGAGAAGTACACTGGAGATCACATGATGATGATACTTGATGCCATGGAACTGGATAAGGTCACCTGAGAAGTAAGTGAAGAGGGGAATAACAGAAGTATAAGGATAGAGTCCTGAGTCCTCTAATATTTAGAGGTCAAGAACATTCAAAAGAAACTGAGAATAAGGAGCCAGCAAAAAACAGGGAAGTCCTGTGTTCTGGAAGATGAGAGAGGAAAGGTTTTAAGAACAAGCCCATGATCACCTTTGTCAAATGCTGCTGAGACTTGGGAGTATGAAGTGGGCAGAGAATAGACCACTGGATTCAGCACCATGGGTTTTACCTTGACTAAAGCAGATGTCATTGAGTGGGCAGGGCCAAGGAACGAAGGTTCAGTTGTCATCAGTTAGAGAGAACCAGAGGAAAGAAAGTGGAGTTTCTCAACCTCGGCACTACTAATATTTTGGACCTGACGATTCTTCTTCATTGTGAGGGGCTGTCCTGTGTATTATAGGATGAAAAATAGTATCTCTGGTCTCTATCCACTAGGTGCCATTTGCATCCCCTCCCCCAGCTGTGACGACCAAAATATCTCCAGACATTGCCAAATGTCTCCTGGAGGGTGAAATCACCACTGGGTGAGAACCACAGATACAGATCTAATCCGTCAAAGAATGTTGCCAGAGAGAAAGGGAACAATGAGACTATGTAGTTAAGTGAGGGGTTTTTATTGTATGTTTGTTTTTTAGATGGGCTATATTCCCACCTCTTTGTATACTGACAGGAATGATCTATGGAGAGGGAAGAAAATTTGATGATGAAGAAGAGAAAGGAGCCAGGACTTTAACGAAGCAAAAGGGAATGGAATCCAGTCCATGAGGGACACGATCAGTCTTAGATGAGGGCATGGACTCACATCCATAGCAGTAGGAGAGAAGGCAGGGTACAGAGGGAAGTTTGTTGGCCTACGTAGTGGTAGATGTACATAGAGGTTCTCTGCTCATTTCTCCTATTTAACTAATGAAACAAGAAGCACAATTGTTTGCTGAAATGTGGAAGGGAAAGCAGGTCTTAGAAGTTTGAGGGAAGGGGAGAAGGTATGAAACAGTTGATTCAGAGAAGAGAGTGAACAGACAAGGGGAAGGCAGCCTGCCAATGCTGTTTAAGGTGAGGCCATTAAGCCTTGCCAGGAAAAAACCATGAAATGTGGGCAGAATCTGTGTGTTCCACAGTGTTAGCCACACCACAATAAGCATAGGCTGCCTTTGGATTTAGTGCAGGGCTGATAGGTGGCTTAAAATATGGACATTTGAATTCTACCCAGAATTTCCCTGCTATGCAAACTCCCCACTAGAGAAGAAAGACTTAATTTGCCAGGATGGGGATCCCATGGGCTAGCTTCTACACTCAGATCTGTGTGACCATCACATATGTGTGACCATCATATGTGACCAGCTGTGTGACCATCAGCACATTACATCACTTCTCTGCACCTCAATTTTCTTATCCATAAATCAAAAAGGCTGAACTAGATGATCACTGAGGTCCCCATTGTTCATCACTGCACAGCTATTTACTAAGAGCTTACTATGTTTTGGGCATTTATACCCATTAATTATACTCAGGGCGTTTTCCTGATCAATAAAATGGCATTAGTGCCATCAAAGGAAATAAAAGAATTGCAGGGAAGCCAGCCCAGAGTTAATTAGCTGGGCATCACTAAACATCCTACCGACTTCTTATGTTGTGAAGCAATAAATGGTTACTTGTAGACTGAAGCACTCAGAATAACTGTAGCAACTGACATTTGATATGTTCAAAAGCTTCATGTAATTTCCATTCTTCAAAACCCCTGTCAGCAACCCATTAACTACAACATGCTAAAATACCATCTTCTTATGGGAGTAGAAATATTCAAACATACTTGAGTACCTACTCTGTGCCAGGCTAGTTCCAGCAATACAAAATTGAATAAGGTAAATCTACTGTCAAGTTCACAAACTGGAAGGTAGACATATATGTAGGGATAAATTATAATATAACCTCAATGGAAAGGGGCTACCATAGAAATATGATCAACACACTTTAGGAACACATAGAGGACAACCAAATCTGCTCATGGAAGTCCAAGAAGGCTTCCACAAGGAAAATTGATATTTGAGTTGGTCTGAGAAAAAGAGTAAAAATTGTGGCAAAGGAGGGAGATGGGTAAGCACATCCTAAATAGAGGCAAGAGTGTTTGCAAAGGCAAGGAGCTGGGGAAGTTCCTAGCTGGGGGGGAACTATCTGGCACAGGCAGAAGATGAGGAAAGGAGTTTGATTTTTAAATAAAGCAGTGACAAAATCAGCTCTTGTTTTTTAAGGAGGAACTCTGGCAGCTACAACATGTCATAAACAGCATTCAGAAACCATTTCTGGCATACCACCTGGATAATGTCTTAGTCTAATAAAATAAAATAAAAACTATAGTTTTTAGTTCATAATACTCTGTAAGGCAAGCCTCACCTTTTTTCCTTTTCTTCCCAGATATCCATATCCATCTGGACCTAAAAGGCCCTAAGAAAATGACACAAGATGAGTGGTAGAGTTATCCATATCGGTACTTGGTTGATTATATTATCTGAACCCTTGGATTAATCAGCAGTGCAAGGAAGTGGTGAAAGCAGAGGGGCTTGGTAAAGGCTTATCCTATCCCACAGGATAAACACTAAGCTACCTTTATAGGGTAAGGAGAGGATAAAGGTTTAAAATTTTAAAAGACCATGGTATAAGTACTTTTTTTTTTTCCAGTTTTTAACTCCTCCTTCAGCAAGATTCTATACCTTGGCAAGATGATACCACAGTTGTAGGAAGCCAAATCACCACACAAAATCCCCCTTGGGCTTTTCTTGCAGGATAAAGTAAGAATGGCAAAAGCTCTAGAACTTGGTAAATCTCTAGAGATAAAGACAGACTTTAGGGGGAAAATGCCAGCTCAGAGAAAGTACTTGAGAAAGTAGTCATTATTCTGCTGCTGACGGTGCAGTAATGATAATATTGGCAGACAAGTAGTACTGGTGGTGGAGGTGATGGTGGTGGTAGAGGTGATAGTGGAGGTGGTGGTAGCAGTGGTGGAGGTGATGGTGGTGGAGGTGATGGTGGTGGTAGAGGTGGTAGTGGAGGTGGTGGTAGCAGTGGTGGAGGTGATGGTGGTGGTAGAGGTGGTAGTGAAGGTGGTGGTAGCAGTGGTGGAGGTGATGGTGGTGGAGGTGATGGTGGTGGTGATAGCAGTGGTGGAGGTGATGGTGGTGGTAGAGGTGGTAGTGGAGGTGGTGGTAGCAGTGGTGGAGGTGATGGCGGTGGTAGAGGTGGTAGTGGAGGCGGTGATGGCAGAGGTGGTGGTAGCAGTGGTGGAGGTGATGGAGGTGATGGTGGTGGTGAAGGTGGTGGCAGCAGTGTGGTGGTAGTGGAGGTGATGGTGGTGGTGAAGGTGGTGGTAATGGTGGTCGTAGTGGAGGTGATGGTGGTCACAGTGGTGGTGATGGTAATTTTGGTCACGGTGAGGGTGTTGTTGGTGGAGGCAGTGATGGTCGAGGTGGAGGTGAAGGTGACGCTAACAGTTATGAATATGTTGATACTACTGAATCTTAGCCTCTGTACATATACACAGTGCACTTCCTATCTTAAGGAGAGAATTCAGAACCTTTTAGGTGCTTTTTGCTGAATGGACAAAAACTGCACCTAAACCAAGTAGTCAACTGCGAAGGACAATTTTAAATTTTAAGCCACAAAGATCATTCTTGTGGCCTAAAGAAGAAAATTTGAAATGTTAGAAAATAAAAAAGAATAAGATAAAGAAGATTGCCAAAGATGAATTATTGGGGGGCAAAAAGGATGCAAATGAGGTTCATTTGCTGTTACTCCATCTTTTCTCCACTGAAGGACACACAGAGCCTCAGGCATCTACAACCCCAGAGACCCAAACTGTCTATTTTGGAGATATCTGCCTTTGATGTTCCTGAAATGACACTTCCAGAAAGGCAGTGCTCCCCAGCTTGGTCTGTCCCAGGGAGAGATCAGTAGGAACAAGCTTTGCATTATTTTAAATCAGGGTATTTTCACACAGTTAAACAGTGCTAACTTCATCGTCTGGATCAAGTGTAGATGCAGAACACTACTTGTCCCAGATTCCATTTGACAACAATCCTGTTCTGTTCTTTCCCTTTCAATGTTTAAGTTTAAGCTTTTAAGCCTGCTTTTTTCTCCTCCCCTGACTAACAAATGCAATTTCAGTGCTGAGTGCAAAACAACAGCAGGTTTTGCCCACAGTTGACGAAAGAAATCTCAGAAATAAATAGGAGCTGCAGGAAAGACAACATTTTTCCATATCATAAAGCTCATTCCAATGAAATGGTGAATTGAGAATAGTCATAAAATCACTAACGTGCTCTCATGTTTAGAAGGGATGACTAAGGGAGGTATAAATGCATAGCCCTGTCTCTGGTAGTAGTATCTGTTGAAGTAAACCTCTGACGATCCTTGGTCTCCAAAGGTTATTTCTGGGTAATTGGGCCCACGCACTTAAAAGTTTGCAATTCTGATTGCCTGTCTTATGTGTTTCCCTGGAAAAAATGTTTCATAGAACACGTCTGTATTCCAAATAGTCTCACATGCTTGTAAAATAGCCTTGTCAAACAGAAGAGGCTCATTGGCACGTTCCTCTTCAACAGCATGGGGAGAAGGCAAAATAAATCCCTGAGACATCTGTAGGTTCTTTATTTATAGGAAGAGTTTGAGAATCTTTGACTCTTTAGATTCACAACAGCTCTGGGGTTCAAACCATATTTGTGTCGCAAATATTCTTCAAGAATGTTAGAATTTGGTGTGAAACAAGACATTGAATCCAGAGTCCAAAACAGAGACAGTAGACTTACAGGTTGCCCTCTTAGTCCTTGTGGACCCTGCGGGCCTGTGGCTCCTGCATCACCAACTTCCCCCTTTTGCAATAAATGGTAAACATGAAGTTAATTTTCTCTTGTGAGTTCATGCAATCTTATGTCATTTTCCTTAGAGATTCTACAGTCACACTTTTCAGGTCCTATTGGCATCCCCATATAGTCCAAGGTAAGTATCTTCCTCTGGACCTTGTTACATACAGATAATAACAAATATAGTAGAGATTTTGGCACTGAAAATTAGCAAAACCAGGTATGAAGCACCAGGAACAGAATCTCATATTATTCTGGCTTTTCTAGGTGTGAATGTGAGCTTTATTTGTACTGAATTCATATATTTATCTTTTTATTGATATGTCTTTGCCTACTGATATAGGTGGCCATCTATCCATCCATTTTCTATATGTCAGTCTATATGTCTTTCTTTCTCTGTATCCATCCATCCACTTATAAGGTAATGGCCAGTCAATACCACCACCAACCATATCAGAAACTCCTGCTGGAAACAATCACATAAGGAGAGATTCATATAAGAAAACCCAAGCTGCAATCAAATGAGATGTGCTCTCTGACATTCACCTTCATTCCTGTTGGTCCAGCTTTTCCTTTGGAACCAATTGGCCCTGGAGGCCCAGGAACCCCCTGCAATAAGATCAGGACTAAAATCACCTCGAGGGCCACAGAGTTAACTATCTGACTCTTGTTATTATTGAAATGGTCTGGAACTGGTAATATACTCACAAATCACCTTTAATGTTTTATACAATTAATTGTATCTTTCAACAGACAAAATGCTTCCTATGCACATTTAACCTCTGAGCTGGGGAGGGCGGCGAGGTAGCAGGGAGGAAGAGGGAGGCATTCTGTGCGAGAGGCCACATCTGCCAAGTACTGAGCACTGGAGCAATGATCTGGCTACTAGGGGGAAAAACACCATTTGACTAGGAGATCGAGAAGACAAACACCTGGACTTTCACCCACTCCAAACAGAAAATATTATCAAATGAAAATGAAAGCAATACAGTCGGTTTATAGGGCGTTAGACTCTTCCTGATAGGGAGAGTAAGAACAGAACTAGGACATAGGCCATCCTGGAGCTGCTATTATGAATCTCCAGATCGAGATGCTTATCCCTAACTTAAATCACGCTGCTCAGGCTTTAAGCTATATCAGATGCTCCCATCATTAGGAGGCCACTCCTGATCATCTGTCTCAATGAGATCTGACCCTTCTATGAACCACTGGGATCCTGGGTCAGGAGTAGAAGGGGCTCCAGAAGGAACCAAGCTGGGAGCCAGTTTGGCCACTTCCTATCCAGAAGACAAATCATTTTTAAACCCTTTGAGCCTCGGTCTCCTCATCTATAAAATTGGGATGGTAATGCTTCCTTTTATGTTTATGAGCAGTAACTTAGTCTTGTATACCCCTTTTATAGTTCTATTTTTTCTCGCACTATAGGTAAGCCACCATCAGCTTGTGTTAAACACCCTTGGGGCTCCGACCCAATCTCATCGATCACTATATTCCCACAATGCACCTACAGTAGAAGGGGGTACACCCAGTGATCAAATGAGCTATTGCTAGAAACCCCTGATACCCACCAATCCCAGAGCAAACAGTGTAGCTTTATGTTATTAGTCCAGAACACTCAGGCCATTGTTAATGAGCAGCTCTACTGTAGCTTTTAGTTTTTCCAACCTACCTCAGCACCCGGTAAGCCTCTTTGTCCAGAATTTCCTGGTGGTCCTTGCCTTCCTCTCAGTCCCTAGCCCAAAGATGAAATTAAAGTTCAACCAATGTTTATGGAGCTATTTATTTCCCATGTAACCACAAAGCCACCTTGGTCAATGATGGGAGCATAAATCAGGGTGCCCTGACCCACTGCTCTCATGTTTATTACACACTACTCAGCAGCATCTGAAAGGGAGCACCCCAGGCTCACTCCACGGGAAGCACTGGCTGTGGGCCTTCAGCATCTATACCTGTAACCACCTCTGCAGTTGAATCTGATGAGCCCTAAAATTTCAGAACATTGCTTTTATATTTTCATATGCCCAACTAATTTTAAATCCTGAAAGGGGAATGATAGGGGCTGTTAAGATACTGATCTCCTTTGGAAATTCAACCTTTGCTTTATAGATACAAGGGCTGAGGACCAGAGGGCACATTTTGATTTTATCAAGAACCAACAGGCCTGTCCTCAATAGTACAATAGCCTAATCTCACCGGGCACATTGCTGGGGAGGTACCATTTTCTCCCCAATCCATTTAACTTTACTGATTTCAACACTAATCTTTCTCCAGCTTTTCTGAGAAATGCTTTCCTATTAGAAGCATGGATCGTGGATTCTATACTCCTGCGTGAGGCATTGTAATCACCTATTTAAATAGAACATTATCCCCACATCCCAGTGGGAAGTGAAATTAAGTAGAGGTTTTATTGATTATCTTGCTCATGGTTCACAACACAGCTTGTTCCCTTTGACTCAGCAGTATGATAAAGTGAATATAAAAGAGAAAGCCAGGATGCCACAGTGGTGGGGGGTCCAAATTTGAATTAAGCCAGTGATCAAAAGAAAGGCAAAATCCATCTCTCAGTTGTTTCCCTCTATGTTCAGACACTATTTTCTATCATAAAATAAATACAATCTCTAATTACACTTTGATCACCCATTTCATTCTTTTGTACCTTCGTCAAGTCAAAAAACAACAGAAACCTTTCAAAATTATTGCCTGACACTCATAGAATTTTTAAAGTTATGGAGAATGGTTCAATGTGTTAGCAAGAGATGTTGTTTTGAAGTTCTTCCATTTGATCTTGGGAACAATTTGGCCTTTAAAAGAAAGATGTAGGACATGTTCCAGAAGGATTTACAGAATGACAGATTTGGGTTATGCTTAGAAGACTCCAAAAGAACTGGTTGGAAGTTCACATTTCCAGTTATCACTGAATAGTTTACAACATCCCACTTGAGGGTAAGTCCCTTCCTTGCCTTAATGTTCTGAACATCCCATGCCTATTAGCAAATTGCTCTATGTATAACAGATACTCAATAAACACTTTGCTGATTTTTCATGCCAAATTTGAGTACTTTGAATACACAGCTTCAGAGGCAGTAATTAAGAGCATAGATTTTATAACTAACCTGCCTGAGTTTGAATCCCACCTTTATCATTCACTAGTTGTGTGAGATTGGCCAATTTACCTAACTTCTCCATCCCCCCTCCATTTCTCTCTGTAAAATAGGGATAATAACCCTCCATTGAAGGATTAAAAAGGTTAATACAAGTGTTTAGGACCATATTTAAGACATAATAAGAACTCAGTAAATATTAGCTATTGGAGTTTAACCTGCCCAGGAGAGAAACTATACAATTTGCTTTGGAAGGCCCAGAAAAGAGATATCCAAGGCCATTCTGATATATGTTAAATCCCTACCCAAGAATCTAAGGATAATTTCAAACAAATAACTTTAGCACTAAAAACAAGTTCACTGATACAACCTGTGAGCCTGGGTATCCAAGCTCTCCGTGGTAACCCCGTTCACCGGATTCTCCACGCACACCCTGTCAAAATAAGCAAAACTTAGTGAGTTCACCAGGCACCATTAGTGTTCCTATTGAAGGCAACCAGCCTTTCCTGCAAGATGTCACTTGAGAGCCACAAGAGAAAGACAAAAAAAGATTTTGATTGTCTGTGCTCTGTTCTCTTGGGATTGGAGAGGATATGGAGAGAGGGGGCTCCACTTATGTTGGAAAACCAGATTCTTACTGTCTTTCCCAGTCTTTGCATGTCTCCTTCCGATATCTTAGCTGGTGATAGAAGCAAAAATACTTTGTTTAAATAACCCAAGCTCTCATTTAACTTAATAACAGGTCCCTAAAAGCCCATCCATTCCTTTTAAGGGATATGGGCTAAGTGCTCGCTGGTGTTAAGGACCCTTAGCCCATGTGAAGAAACTCAGAAGGTTGAACACAGCGACAAGCGTGACATTCTGGGCCAAGACACATAAAGCACATGGAGAAATGGCAGAAAACTGGCTTTTTAAAAAGATTTTATTTATTTATTTGAGAGAGAGAGAGAAGGAACAGGTGGAGGGGCAGAAGGAGAGGGAGAAGCAGACTCCCTGCTGAACAGGGAACCTGATGTGGGGCTGGATCCTGGGACTCCGGGATCATGACCTGAGCCAAAGGTAGATGCGCAACTGACTGAGCTCCCCCCAGGTGCCCCAGAAAACTGGCTTTAAAATCCTACAGATTTGGGGCGCCTGGGTGGCTCAGTCCTGGGATCGAGCCACCATCGGGCTCCCTGCTCAGTGGAGAGCCTATTTCTCCCTTTGCCCCTCACCCCACTCATGCTCTCTCTCTCTCAAATAATAAATAAATAAAATCTTAAAAAAAAAAAAAAAAACCCTGCAGACTCTTACAGCATTAAGCTGGCTCTCTAGGCAAAGGGTGAGCTGTTTACACGATTCATCTAAGAACGGATTTAATTTCTCCCTCAAATTAATATTTTCACTTTTACAGAGAAGACACATTTTCTAAGATTGAAGATAAATCCCATTTTGTGAATTATTCTGCCTTCTTTTTCATGTTCATGTGTTGGGAAGATTACTATTTATTCATAGATTTGCAAAGAGAAAACATCTTAAACTCAGAATTAATCACTATGGATCAATTCCTCATGCTTCTTAAGTTTTTAAAACTATTCAGGTAAATGGGAAGCACTTCTCTTAATCATTACTGCTATATTATTCTGCTCTTTATCAGTTGGTTTCTAGATTTATAAACATAACTAAGTTTTATTTTTTATTTTTTAAATTCAATTAGCCAAAATATAGCACATTATTAGTTTCAGATGTAGAGTTCAAAAATTCATCAGTTGCATATAACACTCAGTGTTCATCATATCACATACCCTCCTTAATGCCCATCATCCAATTACCACCCCCAGCCAACTCCCCTCCAGCAACCCTCACTTTGTATGTTTTAAAAGACATGTAGCTAGAAATTTTGAAATAGGTTGTGAAATGTTTGCACATAACATTACTGACATTCACAGTGCAACATTCTGAAAACAGTTTGGCTCTATGGAGCTAAGTTCAGACACTTTTATTATACCTCCATGTCTGTACATTTATATTAAGGAAATCATTTCAGCAAAGCAAAAGCAGGAACAAAACAAAAACCCTGTAATACAGTTTTTCTTTACATCGCTGACCATGATATCTAATATAATAGAAATTACCCAAATGCTTAACATACGAATTGTTTAGCAAATCATTGTTCTTCTACAGAGTATGCTGTAATATATTAAAATGATAATAGGAAGATTTGGAAACAGAATAGCAGACATAAAATAGTATACCCATTATAATAACTCTTTATTATCTATCTAGTACCGGAAACACACAAACATGAAAATAATTGCTGGAGGCTAGTGGGCTTACGGACACATAAAAAAACGAATGATGTTCTTAATTTTATCATAATTAACAAGTTAAAGTTTTCCCCTATTACCAAAAAAGCTCTGCATTGATTTGTTTGCCATAATACAATGTTTTCCATTTAAAAAATCTTCTTTAGAATTCCAATTTAATATGCATCGTGTAGATGCCAGCATATCTAATTTTATAGACAGTAATGGGCCATATTTTCCCCACGTCCAAGGGATGCTGTAATTTGGAATTCAGCACCTCTGTAAACTATACTCTTCCGATTGTACTTGCTCATCTTTAGCAAGTTACAGCCTCAAAAACATAAATGCATCTATATGACCAATGTTCCAACACTGGGTTAACTAGCAAACTATTGACATGTTGGATAAGCCCACTTCACTGTGGAGTCTGCAAATAGTTAGGATTTTATCTCTTATTTTAAAAAATCAAAGCTTGAATAGGAAAAAGAGCAAACAATGACAGGGATTCATCAAGATTACAATGTGCTAAATGGAGAGGCTTCCTATGAAAGGCAGCAGTTTGCACACATTTTTCTCTGCTCCCAAAATGAGAGGTCGCTGTTCTACAGTTTTTCTCGAGAAGACAACAGTGCAGAGGCCCAGAGAACAATCGGTCTGAATTAGAGCAGGAGGACAGAGGGCCCAGGAAGGAGAGAAATCCAAGAGAAATAAACCCGATGTGTTTGAATATATTGGGAAGTTATCAGTTTTCTCAGAGCTTTATAATTAACTGGTAATAGGCACATAGAACACAAAGCAAATAAGAAGAGAGGGTGCCTCAAGGGAAACAAAAGTTACATAGCTGCAAATAATATTTGCCTAGTCATCACATGAACAATCAACTGACTTGACCGAAAGTGGAGAAACTAAGTGTATCTCAAGGATGAGCTGGAGGTAAGTGTATGGAGAAGGAGATGGACAGGTTATGGAAAATCTTTATCCCACAGAGTCAGGAATCAAGAGAAAAACATCCCAAACTGAAAACCAGGAAACACCAAAGTAAGCATGCTGTTTAGAAAAACAGCAATAATACCAGAAGGAATAGCCCACAGAGATGAAAGTAAGTGCTCCCGAAGAGCTGGAAAGAATGGACAGGGATATATTTTTCACTATAAGCTTAATGAATGCAGTTTGACTTTCAATGTGAGCACAGGCTTCACTCTGATTTAAATTAAATTTAAAAAAGAATAACACAGGAGATGGGGTCACATAGGGAAACAAAAATAACCATGACCCAACTGAGCAGAGAACCCACTGTGAACTGAATGGATATTTAGATAAACTACACGTAGCATCACAAAAGAATTAAATAATTCAAGAGCAGGAAATTCCTTCCATTGCCTAGAGCCACTTAATTATCCAAAACTTAGCCAATTTCTTTCTGCCTTGTGGGGATAAAAACAGTAGGATGAAATGATAGTTCAAGACATTATGTATTTCACAAGTTTTAAAACCAAATTAATAGTACAAGAGAATATCTATTTAAGAATTTATTTCAGGGCACCTGGATTGCTCAGTCATTTAAGTGTCTGCCTTCGGCTCATGTCATGATCTCAGGGTTCTGGGATGGAGCCCCACATCAGGCTCCCTGCTCACCAGGGAGCCTGCTTCTCCCTCTCCCTCGGTGTTCTCTCTCTCTCCCACTCTCGCTCTTTCTCTCTCAAATAAATAAATAAATCTTTTTTAAAAAAAGAATTTATGTCAAATCCTAAACATTTTGTGAGAAATAATATTTTACTTGGTGTCAACAAAACTTGTTTGGATTTTTGAGACTTGGAATTTCTCAATATTCATCATTTTCTAACCTGTTTGGTCTGAAGACTAGAGGTTCCATCTTCTTTTGTACCTAGGAGGTCAGAAGTCATTGCCCAACACACACACACACACACACACAAGCTCAGAGTTGACATAAATCAATCTTTGACTTTTCCTCCATCTCTAAATCATGAGAATGCTAGAAAAAAATACCAGCAGAGCATGACCACACTGTGATGGAGGGAAGTCTACATAATAAATTTATTTTGTGAAAAAATTTCCAAGAGCATCCTGATCTTTGTATTTGAATCCTGTCTCCACTGATTATTAGCCATGTGGTCTCTGACAAGTTTTGCTAAATCTATATCTTCTCTCTTATCTGTAAAAGGTAACCAATTTTGCTCCTAACTCCTGGGGTTGTAGAAGGGTTACTTGAGGTGTTAGAAATAAAGGTGTAGCACAGCGGCTGGTGCTAGATAATTGCTTAGTAAAATACAGTTCCCCGGCAGAGATGGCCCCTATCCCACCCTCAAATCACATCCTTCCCATTTGGATAAATGCAAAAGCTCAATCTTTTTTCATCGTGTAGGGACTATGAGGTCCCCTGGAGCACCCATAGGAAGTCCCAAGTCTTTAAATGGAAAAATCATTATTTCAGAGGTAAAACCATTCACTAAGGTATTATTAGCTTTTTTGCAACCTAAATGAAAGATTATACTATGTTGGAGGGGAAGCAGAGAACCATATAAACTTTTTCTTCTTCATGGAAAAGGTCTCGATGAAAACTCAGTGATCTTCCTGCCACCTCAGACAGCCCAACCAGAACTCCCCTGGACCTCAGAGAGAACTATTTAAAGTAGCCATATCTGTGGAATAAGAAGCAAGTCTTTCCAGAAAACACTGACCTTCAGCCCTGGCACACCTCGTCTTCCTCTTGACCCCTATGAATAGAAGGGAAGCAAAGACCTTAGAGAAGGAAACAAGCCAACTTTCCCCACAGCTGACCTCTCTCCTCCACAAAAGCAGGTGAAATACAACCCATGGGTGATTGTACTAACCTGAGGGCCAACATTTCCAGGTTCCCCCTGAGGTCCATCGAAACTAGAACGTCCCTGAAAAGGAAGAAGTAAAGGGAATATGCATTTAGATGTCTACATCCTTCTGGATTTGTTCTTCTGACATGAGCTCTCCAATACAGAAGCCACTAGCCACAGGTGGCTATCAATTTTAAATTCATTAAAATTAAATTAAATTAAAAATGTAGTTTCTCAGTTATACTACCCGCATTTCAAGTGTCCAGTAACTCCACATGGCTAGTGGCTACCATATTAGACAGCACAGATACAGGATATTGGATCTCAGAAAGTTCTATTGGTCAGTACTTCTCTAGAAGCAAAAGGATTAATTCTGGTGTTTTAAAATAGCCATGTTGCAGGCACCTTTTCCCAAAGATTGTTCATGTAACAACTCTTCAGGGTTCCTCATGCTGGGACAGTAGTCAGACATATTCTCCAATAACCTGTGCTTAATATTTGAAAAATATTGTACTTCCCTTTCTACCCACCATATAGGATGCAGAGTAGCAGACAGAAACAGAACGCAGAAGAGCAAGTCTCTGCACATGCAGACTGATCAATATAGACAGATGATGACAGAGGGAGAAGTTACACATAGTCAGGATGAGGAAACCCTCTAGTGCTTTCACTTCTTTAAGGTCAGAAATGAGAAGAGGAGTGATGTCCAGAGAAAATGAGTCCATCTTTCAGGAGAAATGGAAACCACCTTGGAGGGCGCCTGGGTGGCTCAGTTGGTTAAGCGACTGCCTTGGGCTCAGGTCATGATCCTGGAGTCCCGGGATCGAGTCCCACGTCGGGCTCCCTGCTCAGCAGGGAGTCTGCCTCTTTCTCTGACCCTCCCCTCTCTCATGCTCTCTATCTCATTCTCCCTCTCAAATAAATAAATAAAATCTTTAAAAAAAAAAAAAAAAAGAAACCACCTTGGATCCCAAGTAGGGATATTTTAGATACTCAGTAAAGTCACATGCTAACTCAGTAAGAACACATAAACAGGGAAAGAATGTGAAATACAGAAATAAAAACATTGTGCAAAGCTGTTCTTCCAACTGTTATTTATAATAGATTAAATTCTGAAACAATATAAATATCCCACAATATGAGGGAAGTGTTGATAAAATTGGATAAAATAAGTTGGTAGAAACACTTATTGAAAGAGTATGCAACCATTAAAAATTATGTTTCTCAAAAAGCTTATGAAGGAGAAAAAATGTGTCATTACATTCTTTTCAAGTATGTTAAATTCTCTGAAAGAATAATTTATCCCAAATATGGAGAAAGACAAAACGATGTTTCCTCATTTCTTTATACTGTATGCAACATGTTTTAATAAGCCCGGGGGATCCTTATCTGACTTTCTCAGGGAGAGTAGCTTTGCCATCACCAAGTTAGGAAAGTTCGGTAAACTGATGTTTTTCTTGGCTACCAGAACTATTAATTTTTTCTCTACATTTTACTTTTCTGTGTTCCAAATATCTGTAGTGTTACCTTTTTTTAAGATTTATTTATTTATTTGAGAGAGAGAAATGAGGGGCAGAGGGAGAAAGAGAATCCTGGAGCAGACTCCCTGCTGAGCTCGGAGCCCGACACGGGGCTGGATCCCAAGACCCCGAGATCGTGGCCTGAGCCTAAATCAAGAGTCCGCCGCTTAACCGACTGAGCCACCCAGGTGCCCCAGTAGTGTTACTTTTATAATGGGAATTTTTTATAGATATATAGTAGGCTGTATGAGAGAGGAGGCTTCAGACAAGGCACTCTCATGATTGGTCTAGATATAAAAAAGATTCTTTCTTAAAATGCTTATCATTTTCTCATTTCAAAAGTAGACAGTTTTTTGCAGCCAGCATAGCAAAGGAATCATTTTGGCAGATGTTGGAATCATTGGGTAAAAGACTGTCGGGGAAACAAGAAATTTACAGGTTCGGAGTATCATTGCCAGATTACTTGATCATTACAAGGAGGGAAAAAGTATATTTACAATGGATAAGTCTGGCGAACCTCATCTTCATCAAGTGACCAAATTAATCTACCAGTAATTAGACAGCCAGGCACAGTGTCCCTCCTGGTGACTAAGAAGGGTACTGCCTAGGGATGTCAGGGTGGCTCAGTCCGTTAAGCGTCTGCCTTCCGCGCGGGTCATGAGCCCAGGGTCCTAGGATCGAGCCCCACATCGGGCTCCCTGTTCAACAGGGAGTCCGCTTCTCCCTCTCCCTCTGCCCCTCCCCATGCTTGTGCTCCCCCCCCCCCCCTCTCTCCCTCTCTCTCGCTCTTGCTCTCGCTCTCTGGCAAATAAATAAATCTTAAAAAAAAAAAAAAAAAGAAAGGTATCACCTTCCTTAATCTGCCAAAAACGCTTAACCTGAATCTAGTCATGAGGAAACTATCAGACAAATCCTAATTGGGGGATGTTTAGCAAAATAACTGGTCAGAAATGTCAATGTCATTTGACAAACAAATAACTGGACAACAGCTGTGATTGAAGAATACAACTGAGGCAAGACAACTAAATATGCCCCGTAGTCCTTGATTGGGTCTCAGAAGAACAACAATAAACATAGACATGAAGGGCATCATTGGGGCAAGTGTGGAAATCTTAATATTAGACTGCATATTAGAAAATAATTTTGTGCCATATTTAATTTTTTTGAGTGTGATGACTGTATTATGTTTATATAAGAGAATGTACTTGTTCTTAAAAGATACTTGTTGAATATTTGGAAGAGAAATGTTGTAAGACCTTCGATTAACACTTGATTAATTAAATAATTAACTAATCAAATGGCTCAGCAAAATATTTCAAATATTACCTATGTATTTGTATAGAGAGACATAAAGTAAATATGGCTAAATGCTAACAATTGGCGTTCACTATGCTGTTCTTGCAACTACAACTTTTTCTGTAGATTTAAAATTTTTCAAAATGAAAAGTCGGGGTAAGAAATAATACAAGTTCATCATAGAATATTTCAACAATTCAGAGAATAAGTTTAAGAAAAAAATGCATAAGTTCTGGGTGTTTATCCTTCCAGAATAGATAGATATAGCTACATTCTATCAATTGGACTCTTGCTGAATACAGGGTTTTGTATTCCCAGTTAATATTACATCATGAATGTTTTCTTTGTTATGAAATAGTCTTCTAAACTATTTTTCATGGCTTAGTAATATTTGATCATGTGCCATTGTTTATATAAACAATCCCTTATCATCGGACATTCAAACAGTGTAGTGATTTAAAATCTAATAATCTAATCTCCATCCTTGGAGCTAAATTTTTGTGTTGGTCCATGATTAGCTTCGAGATAAATTTCTAGAATGGGAAAGACTGGATCAAAGAACATACGCACCTTAATCCGTGGCAGACACAGTTGGGGGCTACACAATTCTCTTGCCCCTTTCTTTCTTGCTAAGAAAATCTGTTTCATTTGGGACACCACGCCCAGCTCCAAGGGATAAATTCTGACAGGTCTGAACCAGTCACGGAAATCTCATTCCCTCTGTCAGAAACTTGCTTCTCTGGGTTTCTTAAAATGAGGCAAGGGCACGTGGGGAGCACAGGAGCCAGTCAATGAGCCAAATGAGCCAAGAAGAGAATATTGCTGGCAGTGCCCTGATGAAAGGAAAGTGCCTTTCCTTCTGGCATTTTATGTAAAAATTAAGACAAAATGCTTGGGCTGCTAAGCCCAGGGACCACACTGAGGATGGCACCGTGGAAGAAAGGGGCTGAGTCCCTGATGACATCCCTGGCTTTTGATGACATCATTGAGCTAGTGTACCAAACCAGAAATCACCTTTCCCTGGATTATCAAAAACATGTTTATTAGCTAAACACTGCCAGTCAGGCTTTGTCACTCATATATTAAAATAAAAAATTGTATATTAAAATATATAAACCCATGTTTATTAAAACATATAAACAACAAACAGCAGTCCTAGCTGATGTATGTTGCCAGATTGCCTTCCAAAAGGGTTGTATTGGTTTTCCTTCTCAGAAGTGGAAAAGCATGATGGGTTTTCCATCCCTTCCCCCATACTGGGTATACAATAAAGTTTCTGTTTCACTTAAAAGACTGCTTCGGGACGCCTGGGTGGCTCAGTCGGTTAAGCGTCTGCCTTCGGCTCAGGTCATGATCCCAGGGTCCTGGGATCGAGCCCCACATCGGGCTTCCTGCTCAGCAGGGAGCCTGTTTCTCCCTCTCCTTCTGCTGCTCCCCCTGCTAGTATTCTCTCTCTCTCTCTCTCTGTGTCAAATAAATAAATAAAAAATAAAAAAATAAAAGACTGCTTCATTTGGGGGACTGTCTCCATCCAAATTGCAACATAGAATCTGCTCTTTGGTCCAACTCAGAAACAAATACAGGTATCCTCCCTCTTTAAAAGTATGTGTTCATACTTTCTTCAAAAATATTTGAATTTCAAAAGAAATTCAAGGAGGATTTTCACTTTTACAGAAAAGGGCGAAAAGTGAAAACAGCACTCAGCATGTGTTTTGCCACCGAGGCTTACAAAGGCAGCGCGCCCTCCAAACAGTGAGAGGCCCCGCCAAGCCACGCTCGCTCCCTCCCAGGGGACCACACTCAGCATCATCTCAGCATCCAGCCGCCATAGCTTTGAACTCTGAGCATCCGTGCATCTCAATTTATTTTGTGCATCCCTTATGAAGATGTGTCCTAAGGTATCAGGAAAGCCAAAGAGAGGCTTTGGCTTTTTGGGGTCTGGGAACACTTAAAAATATTTCTGTAGAAATTAATGGTAACTGCTTCTTCGCTTACTCCATTTCTGTTTATGACTGGTTTCGTAGGAATGCTCTGCTTGTGCTTCGAGATAGCCAAGGAAACCTGTACCGAGGAAAGACTGCCCCCTTGAGGTTTATCTTCTAATGGCACTTAACAGGCTAGAATTTCAGCTTCCGCAGCCGCAGGCTTATGTAATCGGTGAGAGTGACTTTTATTACCCAAGGCTATTCAGAGAATACTGAGCACCCTTCTTTGAGCTCAGCATGGGAGTAGAAACCACGTAGAACACAAGTGCAGGATAACGTGGCACCACTTCAGAGGGCCACAATTTTGGTTTGCACACACAATTCAGGGATCTGCTGTTCCAAGTTAACCCTTAGCTATAAAGTCAGCAATGGAGACAGACCTCTGAAAACTGTGAGCAGGACGTTCTCCCCATCGCTGTGATGCACACAGTACTGGACAGTTTGTCTAGAGGCCAAAGTTCTTTCCTAGCTGTAAAACCACGAGCAAACCATGGAAACAAAGCTCAACTCATATACCTTCCTTCCCATGACAACCATTAACTCATGGAAACTCTGAAATGGTTTCTCTAACCTTCCCACCTTGCAGATGAGGAAAACCAGGGCCCAGACGGGTTAAGAACTGCCCTGCTGTTCTCTTAGCTCAATCTCATAACTGATTGAGTAGCGATTCACAGGGCTCTCTGATCTCAACTCACCCAAGAGAACCCTCTCAATGGATTTTGTCCAAAATAACTATAATAAACAACACGATGAGAAATTCTTGCAGTAAGGAGTGACAGCTTTCTGGCATAGCTACATAATACTGATCCTGTTACAAACTGGATTTTACTCAGGTTCTGGACATATATAAAATGGATGTGAATGAGTCACAACTTAGGGAAGAGAATCAACATCCTAAAGTTTTGTCAAAGGAGGCAAACTGGAGTCCAAAGCAAATAGAGGTTGTAAAAATTTTGCTGTGCAGACCCTGTTTCTGGAAATTGGGAATGATGAGATGTAAGGACTGAGACACTTGGGTTACTTTAGTCCCATTTTTCAGTCGTGCATTTTAATGACTAGGACATAAAACATCTAAATATGGCTTCCAGCCAGTTAGCAGCATCTGCGAAGTTAACAAGCCTTCCACCTTTGGTGAGATCTTCTGTCGTGACATTTCCAATCTTCCAAGCTAAACAAGGATCTTATCTTTAAAAATGGTTAGTACTCGATTCACATCAATCAACATTCGCAGTGGTGGAAAGCAAGTCAGCGGTGTAATGGCCTGACCGCTTTTAAATCAAGACATCATTATGAAACTGGAGAATTTTTAAACTGAAAAGATCTTAGGCATCACTGAGCCTGATGCTTTCATTTTGGAGATGAAGAAACCAAGGATAAAGGAGACTAAGTAATTTGTGTTACTAGTGCTGTGGGAAGTGAGATTTTTTTCAGGAAAAAAGGAATGACTAGACAAGAATGCAAGGACGAGGCTATAAGTGGAGATTAGCATTCAGAGCTCCTGTATCCACGGGCAGTGGAGTCCCACAGGTTTGCTCTCTATGCTGATCCAGTCGGAACGCTCAAGCCTTCTTCACCAGCTACATCTTTCCCACATGTACCAGCATCCCCAAACAAACAGAGACCATCTTACCCAATGTCCACGCCTTCCTTTTTCTCCCTTAGGGCCTTGGATGTAACTATCTGCTCCAGGATCTCCCTGAGAAAAGAAAAGGTTGCTTACCTCAAATGGATGGGAAAGATAGGAAAAGAAATTAGAGGAAATATGATTTTTTTAAAGGCACCAAAGTAGACTTTTTAATTGTCTGGGCCTGCTCAGAAATCCCGAATACCCAATGCAATTAAAGTTGTGAACTCTTTAAGAACCCAAATGTTCTATAAGATGGGTTTTCTCACAAATCTCTTATTTGTTGCAAGGCTAAGATAGGCTGAACAGATGTCTCATGATGAATAATTAATTGCTGTCTTTGTGTCTAAGCAAGCTGTTTATAAGTTCCTGGATTAAAACAGAATCCTTCAACCAGCACTTACAGGGTCTCCCCTTAACCCAGGCTCTCCGTGCTCTCCAGGAGGTCCAGGTGGTCCTGTCAAGCCCTTAAATCACAGGAAAAAAACATGTGTCACTTTAAAAGATCCTTTATTGCCTAAAGGAAAGAGAACATTAAGAGGGAAAATGAGAATCACATTAAAAGACCAATTTAGTACTTGAACTTTAAAGCATTTGCAGCTAAAAAGGTGAGGTTGCAATGCAGAAAAGAGCATACTTTTTATTGGAAGTCTGTGATATATGTGTCCCTAGGTGGGCATTACCTCACTAAACCCTTACAACTCAAGAATTCCATATTGCATGCAAGTAAGCTAAGGCTAAGGGAAGTTGGACCCACCTCTCCCTACTACCAAGTCCCTGATCTTTCCACTTCTCCCTGATACTTCTACACAGAAACACACATAAGAAGAAGGTTTCCCTACCACAGACATGGGCAGCACTGACACAACAAGATCTCATGACAAAGGGGCAAAAAGAGAGAAAAATATTTCTGGAGCTCCTACTATAGAAAGGGAACCAGTGAGGTGAAGCAACTTGCCATAAGACTATGACGTAATAAGCAAATGGTTGCCTCTCTTACAACCTGCTGTTAATGGTACCCCTTCTGTGTAGTAGTTCCCGCAGAGTAGGGAAGAGCCCCCACCCCAGGAACCTTCCTCAAATTGTGTTATGTGCCTGGTTCTAGACGGTATATGCCACATTCTGAGCATAATGAAGTGGGACCCATCTCTGAGATCTGGGAATGGAATGTTCTCTAGGCTCTTAAAAAAATGCTAATTCTTTTTTTTTTTTTAAGATTTTATTTATTTATTTGACAGAGAGAGAGAGAGACAGCGAGAGAGGGAACACAAGCAGGGGGAGTGGAGGAGGGAGAAGCAGGCCTCCCGCGGAGCAGGGAGCCCAATGCGGGGCTTGATCCCAGGACCCTGGGATCATGACCTGAGCCGAAGGCAGACGCTTAACAACTGAGCCACCCAGGCGCCCCATGCTACTTCTTATTATTACTTATAACTCCACCTTACGTCTTTCCTCGCCTGATATAATGATAAAAGGGAGTTGCTTAATACTAAATTCCAGGGCGCCTGGGTGGCTCAGTCGTTAAGCGTCTGCCTTCGGCTCAGGTCATGATCCCAGGGTGCTGGGATCGAGTCCCACATCGGGCTTCCTGCTCAGCGGGAAGCCTGTTTCTCCCTCTCTCACTCCCCCTGCTTGTGTTCCCTCTCTCGCTGTGTCTCTCTCTGTCAAATAAACAAAATCTTTAAAAAAAAAAAATACTAAATTCCAACCCTGCTATCCAATTTACTAGCTAGGCAAATTTCTTCGACTTCTCTAAGACTCAATTTTTTTATTTGTGAAACAGATATACCCATTTTATCAGGCTATTATGGAAATTAAATGGAATAATAAATTAAAATGCTGAGTACAGAGCCTGGTATTTGGTTCTTATTATGATGTGCCCAACTTTCTAAGTGTTTTGCTAGATACGCTCTACGAGTAAGAAGCCCTTAACATGCGTTTATTGAATTTAACTAAATTAGATGGAAACTGAAGGCTCTCTGGTCTTGAAAGAAGTGTAGTGTCCCCCCACCTTCTCCAAAATCTAATCTCCAAATTGCAGCTTATCAATTAAACTTACCCCAATAAAGAACCCTTTCTTGTGACTCCTTGTTTTACTTATCAGGAAATCAATCCACACCTTGGGGTAAAAGCATTACTCTAATTCCATAAGGGGCACACAAAAACATAACCCCACCCCTTATCTAATCCAGTCAATCAACAGAAGCTGATTATAACAGTTCTGAGATGGATCCCTCTGGCTGGATTCCATAATTGCTTAATAATATCTGCCTTGGGCACAGGAAGGCAGAGCTGTCGTACATGCACCAGGCATCGGCCTTTCCTTACATAGAAATATAATATGGGAGGGCGCCTGGGTGGCTCAGTTGGTTAAGCAACTGCCTTCGGCTCAGGTCATGATCCTGGAGTCCCGGGATCGAGTCCCACATCGGGCTCCCTGCTCAGCGGGGAGTCTGCTTCTCCCTCTGACCCTCCTCCCTCTCATGCTGTCTCTCTCTCATTCTCTCTCTCAAATAAATAAAATCTTTAAAATATATATATATATATAATATGGGAAGGATGTAGAGAAGGGAGAGAGCACTACAGACTATGATGTAGGAGGGTATCCTGAGGGGGGAAGAGAGGAGCTGGAAATCAGAGAGAAAGTGATATTCAAATAAACACTAGAGATGGAAGCAGGGAAAAGCCACTCGAGGATGGGGTACCTAACATGAGCTAAGACACAGAGGTGGGCATGCACAAGGAATTCTTAGGGGACAATGAGTCGTACAATCTGAATGGAAAGAACACTTTTGGACTGACAGTAGTGAAGGATGTGGCTGAGAGGGCTGCAGTGTGAGACTGAATCATTGGCGACAGGGAGCTTTGCAAAGCCCGTGAGGTAGGGAATGGTGATTACTGTTCCAAAGGCTAAGGAAGCTGGTTTCCATCACTCATTTCACTAGCAGCATGGGCGGGTTTTCACTAAAGTTTCCAAATAGCTAATATTTATTGCCCTTTAACTCCCAATCTAGAACTTAAACCACTAGAGGATTATTTCCTCTAGAAACTTTAAACTGTCAAGCTCAGTTTACGCAATAGAAATATACTGTCTTAAAAATAAACTGTCAAGCTCAGTTTACGCAATAGAAATATAAGAGAAGAATATCCTCACTTTTTACACACATACCCAATTTCCCCTATTTCCTTTTTCTCCAGATGACCCCGGGGCTCCACGATTACCCTAGAAAAAGAAAAAGAAATATACAAAGAAGTTTTGTACATCAAGTCACACCAGAAACTTTTTTCACGTAGTTTTACATTCTAGCCAAGAGCAGAAAGTTTCTTTACCATCTGACTTGTATGTGACAGAGTAGATGCCCTGAACAATCCTTCCTTTGAAAAACAGTATAAAATTCCAGATAGCAAAGTTTAAGATACTCCACATACATTCATGAGCTGATAAAGAACAAGAGAAATCCTTCGAGTTCAGAGTAAAGAGAGGGCGCCTGGGTGGCTCAGGTCATGATCCTCGAGTCCCAGGATCGAGTCCCACAACGGGCTCCCTGCTCAGCGGGGAGTCTGCTTCTCCCTCTGACCCTCTTCCCTCTCGTGCTCTCTCTCATTCTCTCTCTCTCAAATAAATAAGTAAAATCTTTAAAAAAAAAAAAACAAACAAAACAAAACATAGTAAAGAGAAAGAAGAAATCCAGAGAAGTAATAGCTATTGGCTGTCCTCAGGACTTCTGATCACTCCGTGAATGCAATGTGAAAAACCAAATCTCATCATTTATTTTGAAGTGATCTCAGGAGGACATGCCACCAAGTATGTGGCAGAAACAACCTCAACACAGGCCTTAATGACTTCTCACAGATGAAGTTCATTTAAAAATGAATTTAAATCAAAAGTCACAAAAAAGGGAAAAAAGAAAGAAAAGAAAGAAAAATTTTTAAAAAGGAAAAGGAAAAAAGAAAAAAGAAAATCAAATCAATCAATCAATCAAAAGTCACAACACACATGAGGGAGACACCATGAGGGAGAAGCCAGCAGAAAAAACAGGCAACAAAATCAGATTTGTAATGACTACAGCTATTGGAATGATCATATGCAGAATATAAAATGAGTATATTTCATACATTTAAATAGGTTTTATAAAAAGAATGGGTAAAATAATATGCAGCTGTTAAAAAAGAGACCAAGCAGAATTGAGAAAGAATCAAATAGAACTTCTTAAAGTGAAAATCAGAATAATTGAAATTAAAAATCCATTTGACAGGTTAAATGGTATATTAAACACAAAAGACATAAGATTAGTGAACTTGAAACTGGAGAAAATACTCCGAATGCAGTACAGAAAGACAAACAGAAAATTTTATGAAAGAGAGGTTAAGAGACACTGATGATAGCATAAGGTCTCACAAATTTCTAATTAGACTTCCACAAAGAAATAATAGAGAAAATGGGAAGGATAAACATTTCAAAATGAGAATTTGCTAAGGAGTTTCCAAAACTGACAGAAGGCACAAATGCTCAGATTCAAAAACCTGAAAAGCCCCAAGCAGGATAAATAAAAAGAAACTCACACCTGGACACATCATATTGAAACTGCAGAACACTAGAAAGAAAAGGAAATTTTTAAAGCAGCATATTTTTTTAAGATTGCTGACAAGAGTAACAACAATGAGCTTGATGGATACTTTCTTAATAGCACTAATGAGAGACAGAAGACAATAGAAGCCAGAAGACTATGAAATTCCATTTTCTAAGTGCCGAAAGAAAATTATTTCCCCAAGAACTTTCTTTCAAGAAAAATGGTAAAATAAAGAGATTTTCAGAGAAACAAAAACCAAAGGAGTTTATAAACTCCATTAAAAGAACTTCTAAAACTTGTACCTGAGGCAAAAGAAACAAGATCTTTCATGTTCCTTTGAAGGCATCGGCAAAAGTGACAAATATGAGGGTGAAGCTGGATAAGCAATGACTAAGTAAAACAATAATAATAACAATATCTAATTGATAGAACTGAACAAAAATAAATGGGAATAAGATACTGGACAATAACATGTTATTATGGGAGGCAGTTGATTAGAGCTATGTTTCTAGGGTCCTTATATTTTGAGGATAAGGGCAAATAATAGATTAACTTTAGGCACTGTTGAGTATGCATGCTAACATTTCTAGACTATTTCATGGAAAGTATAAATAGAGAGCATAAATACCAAGCTAGTAGAGGAGAAACATAGAAATGAGAAACTTTCTATACCTGTTCCCCAACCAAGCCATCAACACCTTCATCACCAGGGCTTCCCTGTGGAACAAAGGGAGATGTAACTGTTAGAGAAAAGAGGACCAGGTGTACGTGCTTATTGCTTTGATGTTAATTTCCTTGCTAATATTTGTTTTTAGTTGGGAGAAGAATCTAGACCTTCCAAAGTGACATTTATATACTGCATTCATATATTAAGAAACAATGATCATTTTCATTCCCAAAATAGTCACTAGCGTTATACACGGTTTTTCCTGACAGTTTTAGGCTCCAGCGAAAAAGATAAGAAAAAAAAAGAAACTCAAATTTTGAGTGGGTAGAAAGAGGGGCGCCTGGGTGGCTCAGTCGTTGGGCGTCAGCCTTCACTCAGGTCATGATCCCGGGGTCCTGGGATCGAGCCCCGCATCGGGGTCCCTGCTCGGCGGGAAGCCTGCTTCTCCCTCTCCCACTCCCCTTGCTTGTGTTCCCTCTCTCGCTGTCTCTCTCTGTCAAGTAAATAAAAAATTAAAAAAAAATTAAAGAGAAAAAAGAAAGGCTTTTTTTTTTTCAACTTTTGCACTGGGAACAAGTAGTAACTCTTTCACAAGACTGAAAGAAAATTTCCCACTGGTTGTCTGCATGTTAAAGATGGTTCTCTTGTCATTGGCTTTTTTTAATTTAAAAAGACTGGCAAATATGCCTGAACTAATTTGCATAATGGAAACTCAGCCGATCTCAGATTAAGGAGGACTTAAATGGGAATGTATCCATATGTATGTATTTGGGGAGACTTACCATTAGAAAACTCCTTAAGAATAGAAAGCCTGAAGCTAACTGGATAAGAGTAAAAACTGGCAGCTGCAGAGTGGCATCTCATCAAGTATTCCATTGCTTCCAACTCATAGGCCCTTTGTTTTGCCAACTATATCAGAATGACAGTTATATTTATTATAGGGGTGCCTGGGTGGCTCAGTCGGTGAAGCATCTGCCTTCAGGTAGGGTCATGATCCCAGGGTCCTGCCCTGAGTTGGACTCCCTGCTCGCGGGAAGTCTACTTCTCCCTCTGCCCCTTCCCCTGCTCATGCTCTCTCTCTCTCCCTCCAGCTCTCTCTCAAATAAATAAAAATAAAAATCTTTTTTAAAAAACCATATTTATTATAAAGCATCTTTTGGGGGAAAAAAAGTCCACAGTTTCACAAGCCAAATAAAATGCATATAACCATGTGTGGAATAGTTGATTTACTCCTACTATTGGTACGAGGAAATCAAGTTTCAGGCACTTTTTTGTCAGTCCGTCAGCTGTCAGTCTCAGACAGCTGCGATAGTGCCTGAAAACAAGCACACCAAACTCGCAGACTAAAATTATGTGATATATTTGCCACGGCCATAAGGTGAATCAGTGGTACCAGGAGACATGAGTAAAGAAGCTCTATCAGCCCTTGTTGTCTTGTTCATCACTTTGTAGACACTGCCAAGGATTATGTGGGGAACAGAGTGAGTACCTACAAAAATATTTTTTGAGTGCATGAATGAGCGAATGGGTACTTTGCCTCTGAATCTGAATGTAAAGTCATTCCCTTACTGTGCCAGGTCCTTTCCTACCAGCCCTGTCCTGGCATCCATCTCCCATTTGATACTCACCTTGACGACCACACCTTGAGTTCAGAACCAATGTTTCCAGAGCGTCACGTGACAAATATGGTGGCTCAATTATTATAGATAATTATACATTTTCATATATGTCCCTGCCTTAAACCATTCATTAGCATGGCAATTTGGCTATTAACATCATCTGACATTTCCCCTTGTCAAAAAGTTTTAAGTCCCACCTCGCTCAAGCAAAGGAAAAGCAAGTGGACTCAGTACTGTTTCCTAAAGAAATTGCTCTCCAGTTTAAGCAAGAGGAAGGAAGGTCACCTACCTTCTCTCCTGAAAATCCTCTTGCTCCCTAAAGTTAGGAGGAAATAAAAAAAAAAACTGAGCTTGAATAAGATTTTTAAACCTTGTTTCACTTAGGACACCATATATTCCTGAATTCCAAGAAAATGCAATTAGTAGACCAAAATGAAGATTTCTTCTCCAGTGACTATAATCGCTGGAGACATCACAGCACTCTGATTACTACTGCTTCCCTTTGCCTGTGACTTGGAAAAATTCATAGATGAATTTTTAGGGGTGAGTAGAAAATGGCAATGACCTGCCACTTATTAATAGCACAATCATATTTTTTCAAACAAAAGTGAGAATATACTGTCTAAGAAGCATGAGAAGGCTCCCAGGAACAAAGGACAAATTAATTGAAAGAGTAACTTGTTAGAATGTACAGAATATGGTTGCTATGGTCAGAAAAACCCTCTATAGGACTCGGAGATTGTAGAGAAAATTTTCTGGCCTTATTTAAGGAGAGTCTCTAATCCTGGAAGGTTAAGAGACATTTATGAAACCACTGAAAAAGAAGCCCTACCCATTATTTCTTTAGGCTTTAAAATTTCATTATTCTCAAACCCTCTTCCAACTGCCAGTGCTCAGCAGGGTCTACTTCTCCCTCTGCCCCTCCCCCTGTTTGTGCTCTCTCTCTCTCCCTCCAGCTCTCTCTTAAATAAATAAAAATATTTTCCTGAGGGCTTTTTCTGGTACCAGAGCCTGTCCATGTGCAATGCAGCTCAGAAGTGCTGGGGAATTAATACCCACTGGGAGCAGCTTGCAAATAATGCCTGATAGGATTTGGTGTATAAATACCCCAGCTCTCTGCCCCCTTGGATGGGACAACGTTGAGGTGTATGTTCCAACCATGTGTGGAATAGTTGATTTACTCCTACTATTGGTACGAGGAAATCAACATACAACACTGGCTCACACAGTTCCTCAGCAGGATTAGGCTCCACCTACCCACAGTGGTAATCTAATTGACGCCATACCCTTTTAGGTCACCTTGCTTCCTTAATTTCTCTCTTGTCTTGCTAGTATTTACTGAGATCCCCTCCCAATAAACTATTTGCACTTGATTCCTTTTCTCAGGCTCTACTTCTGGGAAACCCTCAGTCTGAGAAAGAGCTAAGAAACTATGTTGAAGAAGTAAAATGTTCCTCAAACTCAAGGGATAAAACAGGGACAGCGAAAGAATTCCACAGCTGGAGGTTTACACTCACCTTAGGTCCTCTCACACCTGGGCATCCTTCCTCACCTCGGGGTCCAGGAAGGCCCTGGGGGCCTCTTTCTCCCTATGGAATAAAGACACACATGGAGACAGTCAAGCAACCATCACCATCATCACCCAACCAATTTAAATCAGCAACGATGACCATCAGAATGACTAAAATATGACACTGTCCTTACAACTACTTCTATATCTTCAAAGGCTTGATCAGATTACCTACAAGACAATCACAATGTCCATCGGTCAACTGCCCATACTGATAACCCCAAATCATACAAATCCGAATTATCTATATTTTTGATCAAGTCATTCAAGCCACACGGGCAAAACTTCAGTATTCAAGCAAACAGAAGGTGTGTCAGAACATTTCCTTCTGGCAGCTAAAATTGGATGAAGGTTTCCTTGTGGTTCTGCAAAGAATCAACCATTATTTAACTCTTTCTCTTCTAGGTGAACTCCTGTCCATTCCTAAGGTATAGATCGTATGTCACCTCCTCCTCTAAGAAGCTTTGTCTGTTACATTGTGTGTTATTCCCAGCTTCTGTGTTATATTGTCTCCTGCTATTTGGAGAACTTCTAGGAGACAAGGACAATGTCTCTTTTATTTATCTCTAGGTTTGCAGCCCTGAGTACAGTGTCTGGCACACAGCGTACATCCAATCAGGATTTGAAGAGTGACTTCCTAAATCACATTAGTGAATATAACCTTTGATCTAGGTATTGGATAGGGAAGGGAATGGTAAATATCATGCCTTTGCCAAATTGATTAAATGTAAATTAGAGAGTACTATATATCCCATGAGCTTTCATCAAGAGGGTCTACAAATGTAATCTCACTTTGATTTAATGAGGTTGGATTACTTCATGACATAAGCTGCCTGGGATAGTAAAAGAGAACACACTAAAGTGAGAAGCACTTTGGATCAAAAATGAAAGGACCTGGGTTCAAGTCCTAGTTCTGCCTCCACCTTGCTTTTTCCTCCATTTATAAAACGTGGATCTTGGTAATACTGATGCTAACGACTCATAAGATCGTTGTATTGAATGCATGAGACTCTGTACTGAGAGTACTTCACGGGTGCCTGGGTGGTGCAGTCGATGAAGCATCTGACTCTTGGTTTCAGCTCAGGTCATGATCTCAGTGTCGTGGGATCGAGCCCTGCATCAGGCTCTATGCTCAGCATGGGAGTCTGCTTGGACTTTCCCTCTTCTGCTGCCCCTCCCCCCTGCTCATGCTCGCTCACGCGTTCTCTCTCTCTCAAATAAATAAATAAAATCTTAAAAAAAAAAAAGAAAGAATGAAAGAAAGTACCTCACAAATCATACAGATTGGACAAGTGAGGTGTTTTGTACTTAAACAGCAAGAGATAACGAGAAAAGCGCAGGTTCTGGCATCAGACTGACAGGGGTCTGGGCACAACTCAAACCTTCTCTATCTGACCTTTTAAGTCACTCTCTCTGAGTTTTGAACTCCACATCTATAAAATGAAAGTATTAGCACATATCAGTAGGATTGTCACGAAGATGAAATGTCATAATGGGTACGAAATGCCGAACGCAAAGCCTCACATACAGTAGAGGCCAAGTAAATGTCTATTTTCCCCCCTCTTCCTCATCTATCTGCATTTTTAGGTTCAATGTGTGGTGTTTAAGTTTCATCTGGAAAATTTAATTTTAAGATATCGCTTTACTATTTTGTACTACACAGTGTTGCCAATCATGAATAATTGGTTATTGCCTTCATTAGGAAATAGTTGCTATATACAAAACAAATGTCCCTAACAAAGGGACACAAAGGGAAAATTCTTAAAGTTTATTTCTAACAAAACAAAACACTCTTAGGATGGCTATTATCAAAAACAAAAACAAAAAGAAACTAGTGTTGATGAGGATGTGAAGAAATTGGAACAGTTACGCACGTTTCATGGGAATATAAGAGTTCAGCAGCTGTGGAACACATATGGTAGTTTCTCAAAAAAAAAAAAAAACTAAAAATGGAATTACCATATAATCTACCAAATCTACTTCTGGGTATATACCCCAAAGAATTGGAAGCTAGGTCTCAAAGAGATATCTGCACACACATATTCATAGCAGCATTATTGACGACAGTCATAAGGTGGAAGGAAGCCAAGTGTCCATTAACAGATAAATTGATAAAGAAAAAGGGTCCTTATACACACAACAGAATACTATTCGGTCTTAAAAAGGAAAGATATTCTGATACGCTACAATATGGATGAATCTTAAGGATACTATGCTAAATGAAATAAGCCAAAAATACAAATACTGTATGAACCTACTTAATGAGGACTTATTTTGGTCAAACTCATAGAGACAGAAAGTAGAATGGTGGTTGGAAGAGACAGGCTGGGGAGACGGGGTCATCAGGAATTAGTGATAATGAAGACAGGGTTTCAATTTTGCAAGATGAAAAGCATTCTGGAGATGGATGGTGGTGGTGGTTGGCAACAACATTAATGTACTTAATACCACTGAACTGCACACTTGAAAATGGTTAGGATGGTAAATTTTATGTTATGTGTAGTTTGCCACAACTAAAAATTTAAAAGAAAATTGTGAAGAAAAAGAAAAAAACCTACTCTTATGACTTCTATTCCCAGTTTCTAAAGTTTCAGTTGCTATACATACATAATTAGGTATGAGTTTTCCCAAAATTACTCCTTGGAAAAAAAGATATTCTTAAACTTGAGTTTTCACAAAGTCCTCACAAAGATTCTCATATTTCAGAATACTCTCTCCATTGCTTAACTTTGAACAGCACAGTGTTGACACCCAGTCAATGTTAATATGAGATTATTTATGGGATCCTTATGGATGTCACCTACCAGATCAGGTAAAAAAGAAGGAAAAAAGGAGGTAAAGAAATCTAACAGAGATAATGTGTTTGTCGTATTTGACAGTGAGAACTCACAATTTCAAATGTTAGATGTCATGCAAATAAGATTTTTAAAAATCACTTTTCAAAGCAATAGAATTCATGATTACACTGTGAAGACCATAAAAATATTCTCACAAGAAAAATGAGGCAATGGGTTTTTGAAACTGAAAATAAATTTTCAATGACAGACTTTATAAACAGACTTAAAAAGCAGTTTATCTTAGAGATGCCTGGGTGGCTCAGTTGGATAAGCATCTGACTCTTGATTTCAGCTCAGGTCATGATCTCGGGGTCGTGAGATTGAGCCCTACATGGGGCTCCATGCTGAGCATGGAGCCTGCTTAAGTTTCTCTCCCTCTCCCTTTCCCTCTACCCCTCCCCCTGCTCTCACTCACTTTCTCTCTGTCACACACCCCCCCCCCCACAAAAGTGGTTTATCTGAAACAATTTAGACAGAAGGGAACACAATATACTCTAGAAAACCAGGGAAGGTGTTTCCAAAACAGAGGCTCCAGGAATGCTGGGAAAACTGATATAGAAACTCCATGGGAAGAATTTGTAATAAAATTATTTGATAAAATATGAGAAAGAGAAAAAAGCAGAATTTCTTATTCTATCACTTTACATAATGAAAGACTTTAAAATGTTCATGTGTAACTAAATAAGTTAAATATTATAAGTAGACATTTGTCACCTATATCCCTCAAAGTTTATATAATCCAATTGGGCAAAAGCATTTTTTAGAATGTTCTCATGAGAAAACAGGAATCACCCTTTAATGGGTACCTATGTCAAATTGTTTTGAAAAAAAAATTGGGCTTACAGGGCTTTTCATTCAGATACTAAGCTCTATCCTGTTTAAAAACTGGTCTCCCACTAGTGGTTTAAAGCTATCAATCATAGCCATGATTCTGTGGAAAGAATAACATGATCAAAAGCTGTTCAAATGCTAGGCTGGTTCAAGTTATTTTTGAGAAATGAGAATAATAACAGTAATATCTTATTTTGTAGATGAAATGAGGAAATGTATACAAAATGTTTAGCCATGCAACCAGCACATATGAAGTTCTCAACAAATGTTAGCTAGTTTTGTTACTACTGAAGTTACATTACTGTTTTTGGGGACCCTAGATAATCTAATTTGGTATATAAGGCTTTGATAGGTAACCAATGCATATTTAAACCACCATCTCATACTAGGTACATTTTAAAAATATATAGAATTCATGAGTCTGGCAGATTGTCTTTTCCAAAGATGGCCACAACAAAATCTACAGTGCTCTTCTGGATATGATCTTGCCACATCCCCATCGAGAAGAAGGGTCTAATCCCCATCCCCACCCACCTTGAATCTGGTCTGGAGTTAGTGACTTGCCTGTACCCAATAGAATGTGACAGACAAGTTACCACGTGACTTCTGAGGCTCCCTCAGAAGCTTTGGGCTTCAGCCTTGGTCTCCTGGAATGCTGCTTCTCAGGACGGTCTGTCCCTGGTGGGTGCTCCCTCTCAGACCCAGCTGCCATCCCTGTCCTTGGACCACTATGGCCCATCCATCTGCCACCCCAGCCAAACTCCAGAGCATGAGAGAGGAAGTCATCTCTGCAGTGGGTCCTCCAGCTGCCTGGTCAGCCCAACTGAGATTTCAGACACCTAGCAGAGAGCCACCCACTCTTCTCTTCTTAGTTTCCCCACCCCAGAGTCCATGGCTATAATAAATTGATTGTTATTTTACACCACTGGGGTTTTGCAGGGGGTAGGAGGGGGGGTCAGGGGAAGAGGAGTAATAAATAACTGGAACAATGAATTAGCTCTTTGTTGTTATATGCTTTCAATTTGAACCTACAAATTATAGCCCCGTTCTGAACCTGCCATCTGCAGAGAGATGTCTCAGCCATTGGGCAGACCAATCTACCTGCTCTGGGGGAAACAACATTAAAAGTCATTCAGGGGACAACATATTTTGCAGTCACCTTCTCTTGTGAGAAATGCAGTAAAAAGAAAACAACACCAGACCCTAGAGCCATTATACACCCCACACGGCTCCTGAGGACTTGCAGAGGGTCTAGTCCAAACTGAGATGTGCTACAGGTATAACACACACAGGATTTCAAAGAGAGGGTATTTCTAAAAAATATCATCCATTTTTATATTAGTTACATGTTGAAATAATTATCTTTTGGATAGACTGGGTTAAATAAATTACTAAAATTAACTTCACCTATTTCTTGTTATTGTCTTTAAGATGGCTACTATGAAATTTTAAATTATATAAACGTATATATATCACTCACATCATATTCCCAGCTTTGTACTAGAGAGTCTTTATAAACCATCTTGGTTTCAGGATGTTAAGACAGCGGAGAAGGAAGACAAATTTGTCTCTTACTCTAGATGGACAAGGGCTTGGTTTATATTATTTGTCTGGAATTGGTGTCAATGATCCTAATAGGTTGGCCAGACTCTAAATTGTTCTCTTAAATTTGGCCACGCTTATTGAACCATAGGACAAGCAGACAGAAATAAAATAACACTTATAGGACATTTTAAAACATCATAAAAATGGAAAGGAATATTTGCACCATACCTGAACAAAACAGCAAATACCCACAGCCCACACTTCTGAATGTATTTCTAAAATCTAAGACTATAATTGCTGAGGCAAAATAAAGAGAGAAAAGTTGAGCGATTCTCCCACAAATATAATCAAAGAAATGAATTGGCTTATATAGCTCCCAACAGCTGCATTTCTTTTTCTAATTTCTGCTGATTTTCCAAGTTCCAGCAGCCTAAATATTCAAAACAGTAAAACAATGCTCAACTCCAAGGGGGCGATGAGAACATTAAAGCTTGGATATCTCAGCAGTTTGAAAAGTATGAGCCAAGGACCCCCAGGTCCCCAAGACCCTTTGAGAGGGGGTGCTCAGAAAATTAAAACTACTTTCCCAATTACACAAAGATGCTATTATCTTTTCTTACTCTTATTCTCTCCCAAGGGTACAGGAGAGTTTCTAAGAGACCACAAGCAAGTGGTACCACAACAGACTGAACACAGAAGTGGACATATGAATCCAGCTATCTTCTCATAAGACAACTACTGAAAACATGTAAAACAATGCCACTCTTCTCACTCATCTATTTCATTTTGGAAAATATAGTTATTTTCCATAAAGGAATGTGTCATTTATATTAAGGGCTTATTTTTGTTATTTGGGAGTAAAATAAATAAATATTTTAAAATTCTTTCCATTTTGGCTCAGGTCATGATCTCAGGGTCATGAGATGGAGCATGGTGTTAGGTTCTGCACTGGGCACAGAGCCAGCTTGGGATTGTCTCTCTCCCTCTGCCCCTCCCCTCCCTCATGCACGCTCTCTCTCTCTCAAAAATAAAATAAAATAAAATTCTTTCCATTTTAATTTCTAACATGGTAAATATCAATGGATAGAAACTATATCAACAGAAGCTCTGATGTCCTCAATAATCTTAGAGAGTGTAAAGATATCCTGAGACCGAATGTTTGAGAACCAGTGGTGTATACATATCAGCTTTAAAATAGACACCTGTGGTAAAGTGGTTTTCCACAGCTTAAAATGAACTGAAAACCAAGACATTTACAAATCCTTTTGATATTTTATGTTGTAATAAAGATGGGCCCTATTGCATTCCAGTCCCTTACCTAGCAATTCTCTCTATAATATACATTTTCCCCCACAACCAATCACACGATGGCTAACTTTCCTGTGGCCAGGGATATATCCAGGGTTGTAAGCAAACTTTTGGTGAGTAACTATAACTCTATCACCTTTTTGGTCATTCAGGAAGGCATCTGAGGGATCTTGTTACAAGAATGGCCCTGGTTCTCTTCAATTTATTTTGTTAAATTACTTACAAACATAGCTACCTCATTAATAGCAACAAAGTACCTGCAATTCAGCTCATGATTAACAACTACTGTTATATATATACTCACTAGACACAGACCACATTTTCAGTTACCTCAAATTCAGGTTAAAATGACCACCCCTCATCATTAAACACCTTTTAGAGACTATATCTTTATAAAATTTGTACACCTAACATTTGTTATAACAAATAGTTATTTTTATATAGATATTTTAAACCCATTTTAAATGGCAGAGATGAGAAAAATTTTCATGACTTAAGTGCAATTAGGTATTTCTAATATTTGACCCATTTTACCATATTCCTTCAAATAAAAAAAAATAAGATTCAGTACTTACATGTCCACCTTCTTCACCAGGATGACCAGGTAACCCATCAGCACCCAGCTTTCCCTGAGGAAAAAAGAAATCAAAAGAAATAACTTGGATTCTAAATTCTTTTCTTAAATCTACATGAAATAAAAATTGTTATTAGTAGGGGCTTTGGTGGCTCAGTCCATTAAACATCTAACTCTTGATTTCAGTTCGGGTCATGATCTCACCATCATGAGATTGAGCCCCACATTGGGCTCTGCACTCAGTAAAGCTTGAGATTCTCTCTCTCTCTCCTTCTGCCCCTCCCCACTTGTGCTCTTTCTCTAATAATAATAATAATAAATTTTAAAATTTTTTTAAATTGTTACTGATAGATACCTTTGTCTCACTGAGTTGACATTTTATTGAGAATCAACTAAATGTTGAGCACAATGTATAGGGACATGTAGAAACAAATATTTTTGGCCTGTCTTAAAGTGAAAACTTGAAATACCTGTTTGTCTTAATAGTTGGCATGTCAGCCTGTTTTTATTTTTCCAAAATATCGTTTTAAGCCATTTTATTCTGAAAATCTAAACCAAAACTAGTTTCTAATTAAATGTTTAAGGAACACTTCTCCTCTTAAAGAGATCTTTGACCTTGTTTTTCAAAATGTCAGTAAGCAAAGGTGTTACCATCCATGCTACTTATGAGAAATGGTTGTTTATTACTGTATGACTCAGCTGTTTAGTCTCTTCCAACCTCTTTCTCTTCCTCTTTTTTACTTCTTAGATAACACACAAACCATTTCCTCTCAGGGAAGTTTGGCTTGCCATTTATAGCCAGATGCGTTTCTTTAATTTAAAAATGGTCAATAAGATATGGGAGCCATATACTCTTTGGGATCAACAAAGACATGAACATCAATACAACCAACCACTGAATTCTTACAGACATAAAGAGCAGAGAAGTCAATTATTCAAAACAGTCCCATCTTTGACCTTTGAGGCAAAGTCCTTGAGTTGCAAAAAAACATATCAAGAGGTTCCCAAGCTTGATTTCCTGATTCTCCAGTCTGATACTTAAGAACAACGCAAGGGGGAAAAAATCTAATGCTAAGGCATAACCTCAATTTTTCTCAAGAAGTCATTATATACTTTATACTGTTCTAAATCAAGATTGATCTGCAAAGTCAGTAAGAGCTCATTCCAAAAACCTCACAGAAAACCTTACAAAGAGAGAATGGGAAAAGATGGGCAAAGCCAATGGGTTTGATTCAACCTTACATGAGGATCTGGGATGATCCCGCCATCATAAAGCTGTAGTTCATGTGTGAAGGACACCTCATGTCCCGCAGAACTGAGGACCCATTTTTTTTTTTTTAAGATTTTATTTATTTATTCGTGAGAGACAGAGAAAGAGAGAGAGAGGCAGAGGGAGAAGCAGGCTCCCAAGGAGCAGGGAGCCCGATGCGGGACTCCATCCCAGGACCCCGGGATCATGACCCGAGCCGAAGGCAGACGCTTAACCATCTGAGCCACCCAGGCGCCCTGAGGACCCATTTTTAATGAGATTTATTCTCCCTTAAAAGTGGGACCTGGTAATTTTGCTATTGCTTCACCATGGAGTTAATAGAGAGATGCAAAGTGACCACTCGTGAGTCAGCAATTGTATCTTTCCTCAGAGTTTAATGCTATAGAATAGAACGTCAGCTCGGAGGGGAAGAGGCAGTGACCAATGTAAAAAAAAGCAGCTGGTGCGTAAGGGAATATTTTGTAGACAAGTGAAAACCTCTGTGTGGTGGTTGAGTATGTGAAATTTGTCTGTGAAATTATTTGTCAAATAAATGTAAGGAGACAGCATAATATAGTAGAAAGAATGTGAGCCTTGGAGTCAGATAGTCACAGGGGCTTAAATCACAAAGTGCCTCTTGGTACCTGTGCGACTTTGGGGAAGTAATGTTCCCTCTGTAAGCCTCTATTGCAACCTGTAAAGTAACATTGGCCTCAAAGGTTTGTTAGAGGGTTGAATTAGCAAAGGTGTGTTAAAGACAGAACACGGGGCCTGGTATGTAGTGGGTGCTGAAAGGCCATCTCTCTCCCAGCACCATCCATGTCCAACAAATTCTCACCTTGCTCCCAGGGTTTCCACCATCACCGTGGTACCCATCTTCTCCAAAACACTTTATATATATATTGCAGCATCTTCTTTCCACAATTGTGTCCTGAAAAGCAGAACTCATGTAACATGATTTTTTTTCATCTGTGTTAACTGTGTCACATTACACACTAAAGAGACAAAATTCCCTCTGGGTTTTTTAAATTATTAGAATGAATAGATCTAGTGAAGGATGGTGTTAAAAAGAAAAAAATACTTACAAGTTGCTTCAGTAAGATGCTTGGGAGGGATTGCAGTGTGATGCTCAGAGGTTGATTATATATGAATCCTCTGCCAAATTCTAGCTCCTGGAGCTCTTCTAATTTATGCACACCTTCCAGGCCAATAAAGAGGAGCCCAGAGAATCCTTCAAAATACCAGCCAGTGGGAGATTTACTTGCATGTCTTTTGAACACTCTTTGTCCTGGCCCTAGATATTCATGCATCATCCCACCCTTCCTATATCCTTCTTGTCTCAAACTGCATTTCTGACCAATGAAATGAGAGCAGAAGTGACACGTGTCACTCCCTACAAGAAATTTTCAGAGCAGTGCATAATTTGCCCCATTTCCTGTCCCTTGCCACAGGAACAGACCCTCTTTCGGCCTAGGTCCTTAAGTGATGAGAATGAGACTCAAATGAATGGTCATAAGGCATAAGATAAATATATTCTTGCTAGTTTAAGCCACTGGGATTTGAAGCATGAGCCCATCCTACTGATGAAGGCACTAAAAATCATGCGGATTTGCCCACATAATAGAGAACAAATGGACAAGGACACTTTTCAAATTGGCTAGAAATCACCGTTCATAGAATTTCAGAGTAAGTATTTGTTAATATTTTGAACAGTAAATTCACACACACACATACATACATACATCAGCTTTTTGCTATTTTAAACAAGCTACTTAACAATCTTGTGGTTAAAAGAACATGTGTTTACATGTTCTTAGTTATTCCTTAAAATAAATTTCTAGAAATGGAATGCTGATCTAGCACGTAGGCAAAGTTCGCCGTCTTTTGTCAAATACTTCAAATTCCCTTCCAGAAGATTCGCAACATTTTAAACTTCCTATGTGGTAAATCCAGTTGGGAGCAAGTTATCACAGCAAACATTCCAGCACATTGTTAACCAACGGAAAGCATCATCTCAAGAGGAATATACTGAACATACTCTAAGGAGAAGGGAGAGGGGTACAGGGGGCTTGGGTTGCTGCTTATTCATCTTGAGTTTGCCTTAGAGCTTTTATATGACCCAAAATGCGAGCAGAGGAGCAAGGGCACACGGCTATGCAGGTGGTACTGCCCAGCCGAGGAAGCTGGGGGGCCCTGAAATCCAGCCAGCACACTACTCTTCAAGCCAGGTACCCAGGCACAGGGTCGCATCCACCCACAGCATCGGCATCTTGTTCTATTTTCACAAAGGTGCCATATAGACTAGTAGCAGCCCTTGGAGGATGAAGAAAGAGGAAGATTGGTGAGCATAGGAGGAAGGAAGGGCAGTGGGAAAAGCGAAGCCCAACTTGAGGGTGATTCCAGAGTTTAGAAAAAAGAGACGTATGGACCCCTTGGTAGCCTGCAAGAGCAAATGGCACCCATTCATCATGAAGTCGGAGTTGCACATTCAATCCTCAAAAGCAGATGCCAGGCTGGTAACTGGTCAGTCCTGTCTCAGTCAGAGTGACCCTTGGTCACTGTCAGGGATATGGGACCCTGGGGTTCTCTCAGCCCTGATTGATACAAAGCATCAGCCTTGTGGGCACTGAACTCCAACCACCTGGGTTAGTCTATGGAAGGCTTAATGGAATCCAGTGCCATTTGGAAATGTGAAAGAGGATCTCGGTCCCTGTGGGAGGAACAGCCCACCCAGGGAAACTATGAGCACTTGCCTTTGCTGCGGAGAAGCTCAGATGTTATCTTCAGTCTCTGGAAATTATCATCCAGTCCGTCTGTAAACACTAAAAGGACCTGTTGTTTATGAGAGAGAGGAGGGGAGAGGGGAACAAGGATGGAGGGGAGGAAGGGGAGAGGGGAAAGATAAATGCTGGAAGTTGCACATTTTGTAACAATGCAAGGATAAGCTTAGCTTTTCTGGTTGTATCCAGCCTTTCACCCTGCTTCATTTCACCCATTTGTTACTTTATTACACATTCACTTTTACTTCAATATCCCCAAGGCCCCCTGCCAAAAAAAAGAATTTGAACCAGCTTAATGTGTTCCCTTAAAAATATCTTCCAAAAATGGTCTTACAATACTCACCTTTATCAGTGCAAAAATAGCAAAATTTTAATGCATTTTTATAATTAAAGTGTGTCACCTTTATTCACAGAAAATTTTAATTTAAAAGTGAATTCTATATTTTAAGAAATAAATCCACTGGATGCATGATGGAAGGAAAAACTAAATGTAACTTGCAAAGTTTGGGGATGACATTTCCTAATAAACATCACATAAGATCTTTTCATTTCTGTAGGCTTTAGTGGGTATGTAGTTCTTGGGCACCAGGAAGGGAGGACCACTAATAAGCCATTAGCTAGTTACTAAAGATAGTTCAAAGTGCTGACTGGAAAAATAATGGGCCCTACCCTACATGACAATCAGTTATCATAAGGAGCTAATATCTTCCAAGTTGTCTTTGGAATGAATTTGCGCCATGGAAGAATCTGGATCTCTGAACTGTGAGCAACTTGAGGACAGGGATTTATCCTTTTATCTCTACTGGCATTATTTAGCCCAGAACCTCTAGGGCTTAGTAAATATTTGTTGATTGAATGAAAACATATCCCTTGCTGGTCTTTACTGAGTAAGACTATGGTTTTCCTCTATGTGAAATCTCCAGTGAAGAACAGTTTATTGGCCTCCGTTACAAAAGCCTTATCCCTCCCACCCTGGCAATTGGTGCCATATCAGGGGTTCTCAGCATTTATTACCTTCACTTTAGCAGAAGACAGATGGATAGCGTGATCTCCCAGGGACTGCAAAAAATCCGCATCCATATAGTTGCTCGTGGCAGTCTGATGAATTAAGAATGTCTGAATAATATCATCGCTATACTTTTTAAAGCCTGAGTCAAAGATAAGCTGGCCATTTGAGCCAGGGACCAAGTAGCGGAACATCAGGTTGAGGCCACCAGCAGCACTACAGCTGATGTTGGAAAGCAAGGCCAACGGTCGCATCACCTCCGGCAGTAACCCTTGAAGTTTCTGCTGAACTTGCCTTGCGGAAGTGGAAATATCAACTCCTACAGACAAATCTATGTCGCATCCTTCGAAGGTGGAAGAGAAGAAAATCAAATTAGTCATTTATAGATGCATGACTGAGCCCAGAAAACATCAGCCAACCCTGAAAGAAGAATCTCCGGCCAATCCACAGAAATGGAAGCTAAACAATGGCGGTGTGTGTTTAATTTGGTGGATAGCAAAGCTAACTGATAAAACATACAGTGTTTCATACCTCTGTTCCTCTGTAGAGCCTAGTCCCTCTACCTGAAGTGTCCTTTCCCCTCTCCTCCATCCTGATCTGGTTAACCCATACATGTCCTTCAAGTTGCAGTTCCAGAGAACCAGGCCCCTCCCTAAAGCCCTCTCTGACTCATGTCCCCAGGTCCTCAAGTTGACTTATTAAATGCCCCTGTATGTCCATGCTACTTTACTTGAACTTCTCTCCCACTAAACAAAGATTCCTTCATAGTAAGGATTACATCATCTTACTTTCCCAATACCTAATACAGACAGATGCTCATTAAATGTTTAATAAATGAATAAGGAAGGGAATATAAATGAGCCTTGAGTCTCTTTCAGCACATGCTGTACTATTTCCTTCTTCCCCAAAAGTTTCTTTTCTTATTCACCGCCTCTGCATATACCTTATTTCAGGGGAGCATATTACAAAAGATCAAGACTGACAACCACTCCCAATTTTCCGTTTCTTCTACCTGAAAATTATTAAGCCCTCCTGGAAGAGTGTTGTGAGAATTTGAAAACCCACTGATCTTTCAGGCTATACCCACCCACTCACTGGTGAATAATAAGACCGTGCACAAAATTCCGATGGGGAGGCAAAAGTTGGTCACAAATGCACCTGAATTAGAATCTGGACAAATGACTTAAAATGTAACTTAACAGTCATAAAAGGGCCACTATTATTTACTTCTGGACAACAAGCCTAACTCTCAATTGTCCGGGGCAAGCCAAGACATGTGGACATTTTCTCCTTAGACCAGCACACACTGGAGTATTTGGCTCGGAATCAATAAAAACAAAACTGCAGATTTTAGGGGACAAATTTGAAGAAAATAAATAAATACTGGACCCTTTACCAGTGAAAATGGTCATAAACTATGTCTTAAAGTTTCTCAGGGATCTGAGATCCAGGGCTGAGCCATGAGTTTTCCATCCCCTAAATAATACACTCTCTGCTAGCTGGCCAGATATGCTTCCCGAATTGCCAAGACAGAAAATGCCTTCCTCCCCTCCTTTCATATAAAATATCTTGGGTTTGTTTTGACTTTTAAATCTCTAATTGAAATTCACCAAGAGGAGTTTTCACAGATATAAATCCCATTTCTACATCAGATCTCATTTCAGAAAAAAAAGGAATTTCCTTTCTGCAATATGGTATGTTATTCCAACATTTCTAATTTACATTTTCCCCCAGGGACATTTTCAGCTGGCTTTATTCTGCAAATGCAAGAATATGCAAGCATTTTTTTTCCCTGTTAATGTAGAGGGTTGAACCTTGCCAAGTAATCTCTAAGGTCTTTATGATTCAGCTTTATGATCCTAGAATTCTGGAATTAATTAGGCTCCAGCCATTATTGAGGTATGCAGCTAATTTTATCAAAAAATCAAAAGACAAAGCTGAAGATGAATGTAAATCTTAATCTACTATGTGGTACAAAATAATCTGAAAAGAGAAGCTGGAATCCTGTATCTTTTCTCCTGCCTGGAATAATACCCAGGTACATATAAACAAACAAACAAAAATGGACTTTGACTCCTGATAAATCTGAACTACTTAATGTGGGACAACCCATGATCATGCTTATTTAAAAAATAAATTCACACATCCACTCTTTTTGATTGATTTCTGAATTCACCAAGGACACGGCAAAGTGATATCCTTTACACAGTAGAAACAAAAATAGTAATCTAATACTCTAGAAAATCGGCTCCAGCTTTCAACACCAAGGTTCTGGAAAGTTCAAACCCTGACTCCCATTATTTCCCATCTACGTTTCTTACCTCTTTCTTGATTTTCTCATCTGGGAATTAGGTATCATAGTAATAGTATCTGCTTCACATGGGGTTGGTGTAGGAATGTTGGGCTTTATGGGTTTCATTATACACTCCTTTATACGATTTCATACTATACTATGCTTTATTATACTATACTACACTTTACTAGGTATTACTATACCATATTATACCATTGTATGCCATCCGATGACATTCTATACTATATCATACTATATTAAACTCCTCTATACTATACTACCCTTCGTTATGCCTTACAATATCATACCGTACTGTACTCTACTACACTACACTCTACTACACATTATAATATACTACCCTCCTACTCAAAGTGTAATCTGAGTACCAGTGGGATCAGCATCACCTGGGAGCTTGTTAGAATTGCAGAATCCCACCCTGACCTACTGAGTCAGAATCTGCATTTCAATAAGAGCTCCAGGTTATTCAAATGCATATTAAAGTTTGAGAGGCCCTCTTATGCTCTACCATGCTATACCAAAAAGCAATGTAGAACAATATCTAGTACACAGACTCTAGATCCAGACTGCCTCAAGTTTAAATCTCAGCTGTGCTATTTACTTGAGCCAAATAACCTGATTTTGCTGTGCCTTAGTTTCCCCAACTGTAAAATAGTATCTATTTAATAGGGTTATGTGAAGATTAAGTGTTTTAATATGTGGAAGCCCTTGGAAGAGCCCCTGGCACAAAAAGGGACCATCTAAAGTTTAGCCATTCTGATTCTATTGTGATTGTGCTGGAGAATCTCACTCCCCGTGGGTAAGAGGGAGCGTTGTCCATGAAGATATTCTCCAGGTCAGTTCCGCATTATAAGCAAGTCTTGGGGGAAGAGCAGATGCAGACTGTTGGGAGGAAGAACACCTGTCTCTGGACCTTACTGTTTAGGATAAAAACTTGAAGAGATAAAATGGGGTTGAGGATGTCCTCAGCCACATGAAAGCCCCTGGCAACAAAGTAGAGAGGCCTCTGTACAAAGCCACATAGAAAAAAAACTGTGTTCTAGTTCCTAAGAGCACCTATGTACCTGATATTATTCTCTGCTTCTATTTCCCTTCTGGTATGCCCAAATCTTCAGTGAATTTTTCAGTATGCCAAATCTTCAGTGTTTACATATTCCAGTCTGGTTCTTCTATCTACACGGAATAAACCTAAGAGTTGTAAGGACTTTCTAGAGGCAGGTTCTGAGAAGGTTCAGGCCCCTGGGGTCCAGAGTGGTGACAGCCATGAGAACAATTGAAAGAATCCCCAGGGGAAGGTGAACCACAGCATCCAGGGTTCAGGCCGGCTGTCCTCCCCTCAGGGTGACCCTCCTTCCCTCCTCCAGCTAGAAGGATCTGTTTTCTTTTCTTAAGAGAGACAACAGCACCCCTGACACTTACGATGGGCTCATGGATCAAAAAACAAACCCTCTGTTACTCACCTTGCGGAATGCAAACCTTAAGAAGAAGTTTCTTCTCCAAGTTCTGCAGGGACTCAAAATTCTCTTCATAGTACACTTTCTGCGGGTCATCAGTAATCTGCAAAAGCTGAGCATTTTTGGCTTCTCCCACCCCAATGGCAAAAATAATGATGTTCCTGTCCCTGAGAGACTTGGCTGGCACGACCACGTCATCCTGGGCAACCCCATCAGTGATCACAACCAAATACTGATGAACACTGGGTCTCCCTCCTCTTGAACTGTCAAAAAAAGGCAGAGTGAAAGTCAGGGCTTTCCCAGTGTGGGTGCCATCCTTGATCTGCTGAACATTTGAGATGGCTCTGTGGATGTCCGCCTTTGAGGAGTATTGGTCAAGCCTGAATTCTTCCTGAGGAGTTGAGCTGAACTGCAAAAGGCCAATCTGAATTTCATCAGCACTAATATCAGCTTGGTTCACCATCCGCTTGATGAATCCCTTCATCTTTTCAAAGTCTTTTGGGGAGATGGATTCCGAACCATCTATCAGGAAGATAATATCAGCTTGCCTATTCTTACAGGCTGGGGACAAAAGGGAGAACAGAACATTCACTCAGAGTCTGAAACCAATTAATTATAAGTCCCCAGGGACAGTCCAGGGTGACATATATACAAACGAGAAAATATTTTAAAGGGGGTGGGAGAGGAAGTCAATGAGATAAATTTTCTGTGACCTAGCGCAAAGGAGACACAGCTGTACGATAAAGATAGAATCTAACCAGCTTGCTTCATTCCAGGTCATAGTCACTCTGTGTCCAACATTCCCTTTTGGACCCCGGTGAGTCCACACTTTGAGAATGAAGCCTATTTAATTAGATTCAATACATACACTTGGAGGGAAAGAGAGACTAAAGAAGCAACTCTTACTCTCTGAGGAGCAGATGTCCTGGACCACATCTTGTTGGATGGCCTTCAAGGAATCAAACTCAGGCGTGAAAAACGTCTTATCTTTAGCTATCTCCTTGAGCTCCATAACATTAGCATTTTTTATTCCAATAGCATAAATGATGACTCCTTCTCTCCTCAATGCCTCTGCAGGCTCAGCCACCGGGTCTTCAGATTTACCATCAGTGATGATTATGAGATACCAAGGCACACCGCTGCGGGTGGTGTTCACAAAGACCTGAGCCATGCTGCTCAAGGCCTGACCGGTCATGGTGCCACCTTTCCTCTGCTGGATGTCATCAATGGCTGCCTTCAGTCCTGACACACTGGAATACTGGTTGAGGATAAATTGAATATCAATTCCATCTGAGTACTGAACGACTCCAAACCGTACTCTGTCAGGCCCAATTTGGAACCTCTTTATCGCCCCACTCATGAACATCTTCATTTCGAGAAAATCATCATGGTTGATGCTGCTAGACCCATCGACAAGGAAGTAAATATCGGCCTTCTCAATGTGCACACAGTCTAGGCAATAAGAAGAAGGAGCGACCCATTAGAACGGGGGGTGAGATAGCACGGAGCCAAAGCTATTCATCCTGACCCCACCCATATGCTCTCAGCTCTCATTATTCCCTTGAGAGCCAACAGCTTTCTACTGAAAGCACCCGTGACTCTGCTGAGGGATACTGTTTGACCAGAAGCCTGATCAGCCACACAGCAGGCAGGCCGAAATGCCTGAGAGTGAGTCTGGAAGCAGCCACCAACCAATGACTGAGAGCGGAGTAGTGGATACGTACCCAGCTCCCTTGCCCTTTGGGTAGGACAACTCTGAGGTGAACTCTACACAATTTCCCTGAGTCCCCAGCAGAACTGAGCCCCAGATGCCTACAGCAATTACCTGCTCACTAATTCAGCCTCTGTTGGCCACCTTCCTTTCCTTTCTCAAATCTCCACGCCCTTCCTTACCAGTATCCCCAGGGGGCACCTCCCAGATAAATCACTTGCATCCATATCCTTGTCTCAGAGTCTGTTTCTGGTGAACCGCATTTCAGACATGAAGTAAGTAGTACTTGGCATTTCTCAAATGGGGAAGTTGAGGACAAGCTAAAGTAAAATATCAGGACATGTTTGAAGCTAGGAGTTGTCTGAGTCCCCAATATTCCTGTTTCCCATGCAAGTCAGACTTCTTAAAATATGGGCAAAAGAGTACACTTTCTGAAACTTAATTAATTTAATATAAACCTTTCTGTTATAAATGAGCCTTACTTAAGTGAATCACTGTGTATTAAGGCTTAGACTCCAAAGAGCAAAATGGCTCTACATATAGATCCTTTCTCAACCACTTAGTATCCAGACTTGCCCCTTTGCCTCTCTATTTCCTAACCTGTCAAATGGCAATCTTAACACCTACTCAGTAAGATTATAGTGAGGACAAAACAAGATCATAGAAAAACAGCAGAGCTGAGTATTAAAAATTAATGATTAAGATCACCCATGGTCACATAGCAGAGTCCTCAAAAAAAAAAAAAAAAAAAAGACACATAATTTTCTCCTTGCACCTCTCAGAAAATGCGGTCCAGCCTTGTGTTTTTAATCTCTAGACTCCCTTGTCCCAGGGAAGAATCAAGAGCTTTTCATGTTTCCTGGTTGAAAGGGAAGGGGTCTGAGGCAGCAGATGGGCTCCCTTGGTCAGGCCTTTCGGTTGGGAGGACCTTGGTCTGTGTGATACGTAGGACAAACTTACACTTTAAAAAGTATTTATTGTTTATCTGAATGAAGTTCAAATGTAACTGGGCATCCCACATCATATCTGGCAATCCTACCCTAGCGGGGCAGGCACTGGAAGGGGGTGTGACTTGGAAGGGTGTGGAAAATAGTTATCCACCTCCCTGGTAGTGTTTGTTGAATGCTTGGAGACTCGAGGGGGAAGTTATAGAAAAAGAAGGCAAAAATTCAGACCTTACCTGAAGCCATCACCCACTGATAACAGGTAGATGCCTGGCCCAAGTCTGAGAAAAAGACCACTGGGCAGGGAGAGGCATCTCTGGAGCCAGCCCCATGCAGCAGTGGTCCAAAGCAACTCCACAGCAGCCCAGGGCCTTTGCACGGTCCAAAGGATCCCAGAGCCCTGAAGAGCGTCTGGCACTACACATTCATGCCAATCTTGGCAGATGGAAATTTGAGGCAGGAGGGAAGAGAGAGAGAATAATTTTTACAGCCTGGAGGCTGCTATGCATCCATATCTATTACATACACAAAGTGCTTAGCAGAGTATCTGACACATAGCTGATGAGTAATAAATGGTAGATATTAGGATCTAATGGTCATCCAGGACAGATTTCTGGTAAAATTGCCCCAACTTCCATTTACCTTTAACCACTCTAGATTTGGGACTGATTTTCCTGATTCCAGGTTTCATTTTAGCTGCCATGCAGTCTGGGAACGAAATCAACTCTCAGCCCTTATACAAGTCTGTGAATTAGAAGAAGAGAAAAGGAGGCTTCTCTCCTTCTTCCCTACAGATTATAGGGAGGGTGTGCACAAGGAAATGAAATTCATATTTAATGATTTTGTTTCTCATTCTCAGAAAAGAGAAAGGGATAAAAAAATACAGGCCAAAGCGAAAGATGGGAATTTATTTAGATATTTTAAATCTTTAGACCTCAGCACAAGTAATGAAGAAATTACAAGATTATTTAATGATTGTTTTAAAAAAAGGCTCAGTGATTTTCCCCTGAAGATATAATCACAGCCTTGAATTTTAAGTTAATTATCTACATTTCAAGTAGTCAACTTCTATTATCCTGATTTGAATCTTAGAAATATTAGCATGGGTGGACAAAAATAGACAAATGAACAGACAGACACAAAGACACTTAACGATAGCCAGTAAGTAGAAAATTAGGGATTTAAAATTCAGACAGTTTGACTCCAAGGTGCATATACTTAACTGCTATATTTTCTCTGGTGTTTTTTTGAAACTGCATACACAGTAGGAGCTCTTCTAACCAACTTCCTCTTAAACGGCTCACCAGATAATTGACTTCCTCCCTTCACATCAGTAACACATGAGGGATGCTCCCACAATACGCCGAGCGCCCTCCCCCCTGGGAGCCCCCAAGGGTAACACAACACAGTTCTGCTTCACTCAGTGGAAGATGTGAACATTAATAAAGGGAAACATCTCTAAAATGAGACCAGAGAGCAAAAAGGGGAACTCCAACGCCCTACCACTTGTCCATTTCAGGCCCCAACAGAAGAATCCTCAGCAGGAAAGAATCAATTATAGCCCCAATATGAAAAACATGAATAATGCATCTCCTACAAGAAATCAACCGCCCCAGCAACTCAGCCTCAGAAACTGCCACCACTCTGCGCTCTTGCATTTTTCTTGTGCTCAGCCTATTTATGGAAGTTTTGTTACTACAATTACACAACAAATCGAATATTGTACAAATCAATAGGATATGAGTATGAATAAAAGAGGTTTATTATGTCTATGAAAACCAGGTTAACTGCTTAGAAAAGACCCAATAAAAGCAAATTGTTTTAAAGGAAGTTGTTGGTATGCCAGATAGCGCTACGAACACTGAATTTTTGAGACCATAAAAATCAGGATTCTATACTCAGATTGTTTCAAACGTGGCTAGCTTTTCTTCCCACTTTAAAGAAACTGAAACTAGAAATTATAGAAACTATACTATTGGATGTGTGATGAAGAAAACATACAGAACTCCAATCAGCAGGGCTCATATTCAAAGAAGCCTTGGCTCTACATAAAAGACTGGTAAATTAATGTTCATTTATATTTTAAGTTAAATTTTTTTTAATTTCAAGAATGTTCTTATCTTTTTAGAAATAATTTTCTACTTCAAGGAGCTTAAGATATAGTAAATCCATACCTCGATCCCTAAGGCTTCTACTGTAAATTATATATATTTTCATCAAACTGATAAAAAGGGGGCACCTGGGTGGCTCAGTGGGTTAAGTGTCTGCCTTTGGCTCAGGTCATGATCTCAGGGTCCTGGGATTGAGCCCCACATCGGGCTCCCTGCTCAGTGGGGAGTCTGCTTCTCCCTCTGCCTGCCGTTCCCCCTGCTTGTGCTCTCTCTCTCTGTCAAATGAATAAATCCTTTTAAAGATAAAAAATCTCAAAAAATTTTAAAAACTAATAAAAGGGATGAAGACTAAGATAGGAAGAGGGAGGAATGTTCACTTTTTACTTCACATTCTTTTGCACTGTTCGGAATCAAAACAAAATAATGATTTTATAAGTTTTGTGTTCTTGTTTTTTAATAAACTGACTCCAAAATCTTTCCTAGGATAAGGAGTAGAGGAGGCAGGTATATGGAACAAGCAGAGTAAAGATTAAAAAAAAAAAAAAAAGATGAAATTTGGAAAAGATCTCCTACCTTCTTGTGGAGCCTGGCCCATCCCAGAAATGGAAACACCTTTGTCCACAGTCTCAGGGCAGAGTTGGTTCTTAATCTTGTTTCCCACAACAGAGAGTTGCAGAAAGGATTCCAGCGAGATGACATGCTTCCAAGGAGGATATGATGCTATATTCTCCAGGTCCTTACTCTCTGAGGCAAGGTGGGTGCCCACCGCATAGATGGTAACCCCTGCCCTGCGGAGGAGGGAAGCTGGCTTGGACAACTGGTCCTGAGAGAAGCCTTCCGTGATGACCACGGCCAGCTGCTGCACACCATGTTTGAACCGGCTGCCCCTCTCCTCAATGAAAACTTCGTTCCTTAGGAAATCCAAAGCAGCTCCAGTCTTGGTCCTTCCACTTCTTCTCCGGTAGGTTATTTTGTCCAAATACTCTAAGATTTTGGCTGGGTTCTGAAATGCATCCAGGGAAAACTCCAGTCGTGGTTCCTCACTGTAAAAGACCAAGCCAATTCTCACACCATCTGGACGAACGTTTAGAGAGCTGACAGTGGTCTTTAAGAAGCTGACGACCTGTTGGAAATTTGATTGCCTGTCCCAGCTGAATTCCTCAATGAGAAAGACCAAATCAGTTGGGATAGCCGTCGGACATGCTATAAACAAAAACAGAAAGCAAGGCTTTAGCATGAGAACAGAGTAATAAAGACAATACTCATTTGGTACTATGCTATATTTTTATGTTGTATTATGCTACATTTTTATATACTATAATAATATATGTAGTATTACAAACTCTAATAAATATGTCATACTAACTTATATTAATGAGTTTTAGAATTTAGTGGAAGCCTTTATGACCGGTATTTGGCATGATGGTCAGAGAACACAGGTTTCGTACCTATCACAGAATTTTTCACTGGGAAGAGTATTCACATCACTTGCAAAATACGTAAATATATGCATATCCGCAAGAAAGTGCTTTAAGATCATTTTTTCAATTCGTCAAAGTCCATTAGAAGCATCTGAGCCAGTCTTGACTAGTTTTTTTTCTTCATTTTTCTAGTTTCAGGAAACACTAAGTCAAATTCTCTATGATAGGCCTAAAACCTCCTTCATTTAATAATTTTTCCTCTCCGTACAGATGCAAATAAGAAATTGTGACTATTAACTTGTGCATCTTTCTCTGATAACTCTCATGTCACTTCAACAGAGGCAACATGAAACATTTCAAGTGCCTATGAAAAATCTTTGTCCACAAATTGGGCTAACTGGCTTTTTCATTCTGCTATAAAGAACCTTCACTTGAACCTGCCTCAAATGGGAGAATGGAGCTGTACCTGCCTAAACTCCCTTCCAAGAGGAGTGGAGACGCCTTCCTCCAAATTTAAGACAGTGCCTAATGCAGGGAAACCCACTGTGTCCACATACCAAAAAGGTCCAGATCTGTTTTGACATATGAAAACAGAAATCTCCCTAGCACAGAGCCAAAATCACACATGCAGAAGGCTGAAGCCAAGGTATAGACAGCGGAGTCCTGTTAAACAAAGTTTAGAGAGGCAACAGAATCACCTTCTGACTTATCTTTGGCCTCTCGAGGTCCTGTAATTTCCCTTTTTTATAAAGAACCAAAAACAATCCTAGATTTAAAAAGAGTGTTGCCCCTGATTTTGCCAAGTCGAAAACACTTTCTAGAGAAACTCCAAGCATCTTTGACTTCTCCCTTCCTTCACCTGTTGGTACCAAGTGTTATTACAGTTGACCCTTGATCAACATGGGTTTGCCCTGTGCTGGTCCTCTTACACGTGTGGGCTTTCTTTTTAAGAGTTGGCACCAAAAGCCACAAGGCAGTTATTTACAACTGCCCGCCCAAGTCTCTACAGATACAATCAAAGGTGCCTACTAGCCTCTGAGTACGAGGGAGGCCCTCGGAGGCCGTCAGCAGCCCCCAGGGCCCTGGGACTAGACAGGGCTGCAGATTGCCCTGTGTGTCCGTGGGGTGGTCAGGTAAAGTGCCAGGGCTGGGGCAGGAGGCTGGGCTGAAGCAGAGGAACATGCGCAGAAGGCAGGGACGACACTGTGCAGGAAGCCCTGAGCCCCTGGTATACCCATACCCTCCCACTTGGTTCTTCACTCACCAGGGTCTCAGACAGACCCTTTTCCATGGTGGTGCCCCTGCCCCTCCACCTTCCGGAGGCCAGTGCACTCATGGAGGGCCACAGCTGCCCATGGCCACAGGCTAGAGCTACACCTCCAGGCAGATGGGGCAGGTATACTACACCTCAAGGCTACTGCCACCAGCCACGGGCCCACCTGGCAGCTGCCTCTACCAACTAGAAACCACCAGGCTGTAGAACATCGCCATTCCCATGCCAAGCCTACCCTGTGCAGCCATGGCTCAGCCTGCCTATATGCAGATTTGTTCAATAGATATATGTACAGTACTATAAATTTATTTTCTCATCCTTATGATTTTCTTAATAACATTTTCTCTTCTCTGGCTTACTTTATTAAAGAATACAGTATATGATACATATAACACATAAAAATGTGTTAATCCACTCTTTCGGTTATCTGTAAGCATCTGGTCAACGGTAGGCTATTAGTAGTTAAGTTTTGGGGAAGTCAAAATTTACATGGAGATTTTCAGCTGTGGGGGTAGGGTAAGGGCCCCTAACCCCTGAGTTGTTCAAGGGTCAACTATATTCTCCTTTCAAGTTGTCTTCAAGATTCATTCCCTTTCCTCATCATCAGAGCCACCATTGGTCTAGACCCAGGTGGCTCCTCCATATGTGGATAGATGACAGCTCAGCCTTACAGTCTTTCTGAGTCTGAGGTGTCATGTGGAATTCAGCCTGCCCCCTGAAGCCTTCCTTAAAGACCATTTTGGTCATGTCATTTTTCCTGCTTAAAAGCCTATAGTTACCTCCCAGGGACTTTGAGACCCTTGGGGTCCATTCTACCTCATCAATCTCATCTCTCACTACCTCCAAACCCTCCCCCCTCCTCCAATCGGCTCCATTTTTCTCACTTTCTTCCACATTCATCCAGCCCATTCCCACTTCCACACCCTCACTGAAGCTCTTCCCCTTACCAAGAGTAGGCTCTTCTCTTCTCCCTGTATATTAAGACCATACCCATTATTGAGGGACCAACACAATTCCTCCAGGTCAGATTCTCCATTACCTCCCCTCCCCTTCTATTCTACTTCTACTTAATGTAATGTCCATAAGGGGCTTCTTAGTTTCTTATTATCCCTGCTTGGACTTTCCTCATCTTGTCTCACATGTGTTTGTCTCTTCTGACTATAAAATTCCAAGGACTTTCAAGCTTTACATGTTGAGAGGTCTGGGCAGAGTTATGATAGTTCAGAGAAAGGAGGGATTTATCCCTTCTGTTGTGAGGATCAGCCAGAAGCTCTGCCAAGAGGAAAACTTAACTGAAGGATAAAGTTTTGTCTGTGGGCATTCCAGGCTGCTGGTACGGTGTATTCAAGGGCAGAGACAGTGGTGGGAAAGTATGACAGTTATATAGCAAATGGTGAGCAGTTCAGCTTGGCTAATGGTTAGAATGTATAAAGGGACTTAGCAGGAGATGAGGTCCAATGGTTCTCATCCCCAGGGGACATTTTGAAATATATGGCAGCGTTTTGAATTGTCATTGGAGATGCTACTGGCAGGGACCAGGAATGTTAGACCTCTGACAATGCACACTACAATCCTACACTATGAATGCCTCACTCAAAATGTTAATAGCACCTCCCTTGAGCATTTTGAACACCAGCTTCTCTGGTGAGAAGCCTGAATGCTCCTTCTCCTAGAAAAGGCATATGGTAACTCGAGTTATTGTTCAGAGATATTAACTCCCTATATCTCACTTCTATGGGGGAAACATACTTTCTTACGATGACATGACTATATGACTTGCTTGACCAATGGGATGTTAGCAGATGATGAAGCAGAGGTCTTAAAAGTGCTTATGTAATTAGGTTTTCTCTCTTGCACCTCTGCAGTTACCATGGGAATAATGTGTCCAGACTAGCCTAACAATCCCAGGAGGAAGATGAGAGCTATGGAACAGAACCAAATGTAGATCAACCAACCCTCAGCCAAATCTCAAATCTGTGAACAAGCTCAGGCAAGATCAGGAAAGCCATTCAGTTGAGGCCAACAAAGATCAGCTGATCCCCAGCAGATCAGCGAAAATAAATGATTCTTCTCAGCCACTGACTTTCTGGATGGCTTCTTATGCAGCCTCACTGTGACCACAGTTAACTGATATAGGGTGTATGCCCAAGGAAGCCCCATGTCTCCTCCTCTTCCCCCTGCACTGGTGCTGGTATTGCAGTACTGAGGAATCCAGAATGCCCCCCTTCTCTGCTCTTTCCCCCAGAGTTTCTGAGACCTCCCAGCGGCTCACACATGTAGGGACCAAACCTTACCTACTACAGGCTCCTTCTCAGACGCAGTCCCAAACCCGAGCTGCCCGGTCCCTTGGATCACCACAGCCACATCCTGCATCAACTGTCTGACTCCATCTTGTCCTTGCATCTCATATACAAGGGGTGGGGTTGCCATCCCCTCCAGTTCTCTCCTGTCAAAGTCCTGTACACCCACAGACATGACTTTCACACCTTTTTCCCTCAAAGTCTGTGCGGCATCCCAGACCTCATCCTCAGATTTGCCTGAGGTCATGACCACTGCATATTGCGGAACACCCTGGAGAAACCGGCTTCCTGCTGCCTCCTGGAAGAAAGTCTGATGAAGATATCGCAGAGCTTTGCCCGTCCTCCTGGAGCCACCCTGGAGCAAAAAGTGGTCACGGACATGGGCAATCATCTCATCCCGGGTCTGGTAGGTATTGAGCAAAAATTCGATGTGGCCTTGATCACCATACTGAGCCAGCCCAATCTGGTACTTGTCCCTGCCAACATCCAGCAGGTCAATCACTCTGGAGATGAAATTCTGCATCCACTGGAAACTGGCATGTGATGTGCCCTGTGAGGTGTCGGCAAGAAAGACCACATCTGCATAAGCTTGGGTGAATTCTGGAATTGAAGAGAGGAGGAAGAAGGAAAAGACATAGAGGAGAAAGTAAATCAAATCAAGATGTCATGAAAACTGAATACAAGGATGCAGGGAATATAAGAGGGACAGGTACTATAATTATGTAACAATGTGCATATTATTCTTCCACCTCCTCTGTGTAAACCAATCACAAGACTCTCTCCCTCTTCCACCCTGCTGTCTTTGTTGTCTGCTTTATTAGACTAAAGCACCTCTCACCTGTTCTTCTTCCACCAATGGAAGAGGCAAGGGAAATGGATATATGTGGAGCAGTTATTTTGTGCTAGCAGTTTTTATACACATTATTTGATTTAATCCCCATAAGCCATCCTACTAGGCAAGTGTTATTATCTTCACTGTACAGATGAGAGCATTGAAATGAAGAAGTAAAGCTGCTTGTCCACTCTCACCTAACTAGAAAGTGGCACAGGCAGGACAAGAACATAGGTCTTCTGGGCTTCCTCTGAACAACATGGCAGGATGTCCTTCTCTACCCATGAGAACTGCATTCATTCTTCAACCCCCAGCTCCAATGTTCCTTCACCTAGGAAGTCCCCCCAGGTTCTCCAGAGATGGCAGCCAGCTCCTTCTCCTGCCCTTCCACTATACTCAGTGCATCCCGGCTCATACCGTAATTAGGTGTCCTGGTTGGAATGTTGGGTTTTGATGCCGCTTCTTACCTTTTATCTTACCCTCCACTGCTGAGCACAGAGTCTGAAGAATGCCTCCTGAGAAATCCTGAAGGGTGTTGAAGTTTTCGATGTTGAAGAGATACTTCTCAAATGGCTCACTGGCTATTTTTTGCAATTCCTGGACATCTTGGACATTGACCCCTACCACATAAACAACCACTCCATCTTCTTTTAACTTGTTAGCTGCCTCCTGAACTTCATCATTTGACTCCCCATCTGTCACCAGGATAACTATCTGAGGAACCCTGTCCTTGGCCCGGCTGCCAGCTGCCTCAGTCAAGTAGTGCCTCCTGATAAACTCCAGGGCACTCCCTGTGTTTGTGTCTCCTGTACGGTAGGGAAGATTCTGGATCTTCTCCAGGACCACACTCTTCAGAGGGTGCTGGTTCAGCTGAAAGGCTGGGTAGATGTTGTCATTATACTGAGCAAGTCCCACTCGGACCTGGTCACTGCTGATGTCAAGCCCCAAGATGACAGAGTAAAGGAAGTTCTTCACTTTTTGGAAGTTCTGGGGTCCAATGCTGGTTGAGCTGTCTACTAGGAAGACAATGTCTGCTAAGACTGCCTCTCTGCAAGCTGCAAGAAAGAGGACAAAAGTCATGGAGTCTGTGAGTCTTCACTCAAAATGTGTAGAACCAATGGGGCTGGATGGTGTACAGAAAGGAGAGCAGGGCCAGTCAGACTAGACTCTGTGGTCCTCAGATACCCTAAATGACAGTGCTCAGAGAAGTGACAACATTTTTTGTGCTTTTCCTTCCCTCAACTCCATCATCTCCTGAGGCTTCTGTCTTGTTCTACTGATACATGTAATCTTGGAACATACTTGGACAATCCCTTGAATCTCATGAAGAAGAAAACCCCTTCTATAAATGTAGTAGCATGCTGAGAAAGGAGTTGTCCTCTTTCCGGTGGTAATAAACTTCATCTCTACAAGAGTACTGGTACCAACAGGTCAGAAAACTGGAATACATCCTGCATTCCATTATACACATCATTATGGCTCCACCACTTAGGAGCCCTGTGACCTATGTATCACCTACCTTTCTGAGACTTGGCTTTCTTCTCTGCAGCACTGAAACTTTTATACCAGCCCTCACACTCTCACAGAGTTGTTTGGAGGATAAAATAAGATAATCTATTAGAGCAGACATTATTTGTGCTCTGCCAAAGTCCTTTTGAATTCTTTGTTACCATTTCTGTACATTGTATGTTGGAGGACTTCCCTTCAGCTACTGGAGCTGCTTTGCCTACAATATATGAAAGCCTAGCTGAAGCATAATTTATATTCCTGAGCTCTCCTGTAGGATCAAGCTAAAACTACCCTCTGGAACTTTTGCCTGAGATCACATTTTTCCTTTCTTTTCTCTACTCTCTGTCCTGCACCCCCCACATCCTTACCAACCCTTTGGGAGCTCTTCCATAATAAATAATGTATATCCAAATCCTTGCCTCAGGCTCTGCTTCTGGGGAACACAATCGATGACACTTGTCCTATTGGAATGCATCTGGTCTTAAGATCCTGGCATCAAATCCTAGCTCTGCCACCCAGTTATATTACCTTTGGCCTCAGTTTCCTCACTTGAAAAATGCAAATAATAATAACACCAATTGCCTTACATATCTATGTAAAAGTAAATACTAATTGCCTTGTGTACCATACACATCCCTAGGGGTCTAACAAAGAATCGCCTTATGTATGTATCTATCAGTCAGTTGGGCAATGTAAATAGGTTTGGCAAACTATATAGTACCAAGCAAATGGTAGTTAGTGTTACTAAGTATATAAAACCTTTTTGTAAACCCTGAAGTGATACACAAAAGCAAGGTATATAATTTGGTTGTACAAACGCAACACTGACACCATACACTTGCAGCATCAAATGGGTGAAAAGTTTTAGCACCTCTTCCAATTTACCTGCCTTCTGTAGAAATGCCACAATAATGAATAAGTAATGAAGGCTCTATCCGCTTATGCATTTTGATGAAAACCACTAGCAAGCTTCTCTTCCTCTGCTCAAAGGTCTTTGCTTTCTCATAGAATTAAGTAATTAACTCATAAAGGATTTCGGCAAGTCTCTGCCCCGTCACCACTGACAGACGTACAAAGCTAATGAGTTAGATCATCACAGGTAATGATCATAATGCTATCACCTCTGATGGGCTGAGCACTGCGATAAGCACCTGACTTGCATAATTTTATTTAATGATTTCAACAACTCTCTGAGGCAGGTACTACCATCCTAGGAAGAAAACTTAGATGCAGAGAGATAAAGTAACTTGTTCAAATTGACACAGTTAAAAAGTGGAGAAGTGGGATTTGAACCCAGACCGTACTTTCCCCTAAATTCATGCTCATAACCAATACTTTATACCAGCACACTGGCAATAAACTAAGCAATAAGCAAGCTTCCTGGAAGATCTGTTGCCCCTCTCCCCTCCTCGACCCCCCATCCAGGCAACATGGATAAGTTCAATCTAGGAAGAATATCATTCTCGGAACAAATATTCTTCCTCCAAAAATGGACTTCCACTACCTCTGCATATAGAACCAGCATATGGCCCATGATATTTATTTAAAAAGATGGTAAGTCTCTGGTCAATGATTGGAGAGGAGCATAGAGTACAGATAGTTTAGTGAGACTGTAATATTAAAATTCAACATGCATACATATGGAAAATAAGGAGGACAGTGGGAGAGATGAAGAAGAGATAAAGCTTTGAGCTCTGTGATTTCTAGATCAGAAACAAGAAGGGGCAAGTCTTCTGTACCTGGAAAGACGTTGTCAACAGGCTGAACTGCCTTTGCCAAAGTGTCACAGAGCTGTTGCCGCAGCTTCTGAGCAAGACTGCCCAGATCAGAGAAGTTGGGAACAAAAGAGGCGAACTTCTCCTCAGGACTGCTCGCAATCCCCTTGAGCTCGGCCAACACCGCATCTTTGACACCAACGGTATAAAGCCGGACGCCCGCCCTCCTGAGGGCCTCGGCGGCTTCCTGCGCACCGTCCTCAGCTGGGCTGCTGATGATCACCAGGGCCGTCTGAGGCACGCCCTGGCTTGCCCGACTCCCTGCTGCTGCCTGGAAGTGCTGATCTAGAAGGAACCGCAGGGCCAGGCCCAACCTGTGGCCCCCAGGCCGAAACTGAAACCTCAGAATGTGTTTCAACACATCGACTTTGCGGGGGTAGGTGGAAAGTAGGAACTCGGAATGGGGCATGTCGCCGTACTGAGCCAGCCCCACGCGGATGGTCTCTTTGCTGACATTGAAGCTGTTTACCACGATGTACAAGAAGTTCCGCATGCTGCGGGTATGTTGGGCGTTGATGTTGGCGTCCACTAGAAACACGACATCTCCCACAGACGCTTCCCTGCAGACTGGGGAAGAGAGTCAATTCAAGATAGAACAGCACAAAATTGACAGCTTCTGGCAGTGACTCTATCTCTCCCCATTCGTTGCCTTCACAGCCTGCAGATCGGCCTGCACAGCTCTGTGACAACAGCTAATATGCATCTTCCTTTGCTTCCTCATGGCCACCGTCTACCCTTGTTCACCCGCCACTCTCTGTTTCATTCTAACAGACATCTGACCCCTTCAGTGAGATCCCTGACCACGGCCCTCCACCCATCCCTTAAACTTAATAAAAGAAAATATTTTCAACCAGTAGATGATGCTTTTGGTGCCCCGCCTAGATCTTTGCTGGCTGGCACACCTGCTTCAAGGGCTACAGTTAACTGCTCCCCTCTGACACTTGGTCTAGAGACCTGTCCATGCTGAAGGGAGCAGAGCAGCCACATCTGGAGACATCTGGAAAGTTATACCACCTGGGTGGCCAATGGTCAATCATATGGGCTTACAAGCACCTGGCCCCCTTGCCTTACTGAAACAACTCATGGTGCCATTTATGTTCCAGCATCTTCCATGGCTCAGGCCAAGGCTGGATGGTACCTGAGGCTACATCCTTGCTTGGCTTCTTCACCCCCAGCCTGTCTCACTTCTCTTATTCCCTTACAGGTCTGTCCTAAAGAGTACTCCCGCACAATAACACATTCACCAAATCCCTGTCCCAGGCTCTGCATCTAGAGAAGCTGACCTAAGACCTCTGCTTTCCAGCTTTGACCTCTGGCACTCCCTAGCTACCACCAGCCCCTTTTAGTTTTATCTCGTGGCATTACCATAAGCGTGGCTCCCATTTGGCTCCTTTGGCTCCCTGAACTCAAGCCTGCACTGTACAACTACTTCCAAACCCAATTCCAACCCCGGAAACACAACCCCAACAGTGGCCAGAGCGAGTGGTGCTCCAGCTGGGCCCACCCTGGTCTCCAGCATGGAAGGGATCAGAAGCCAGCTGACTGCAGGACTTGAGCCAATAGTTCATCTTTCTGCTTCTCAGATTGCATCTCTCTACTATAAGGGCTTGACCAGATGACCTGGTCTCTTCCAACTCAAACATTGCATTTCTGTGACAAGAAGTAAATACACGAATTAAATACTGTGCTCGTGCGGACCAAAAAAAAAGGGAAGAGGTGATTATGATCTCTCTGTTTGTCAGTAACCATCATGACATTTCCCCCACACTTCGCAATGTGATTGTCCGTGCTGATGGTAGGAGAACCCGTGAATCAGTGATGAGAGAGAGGAGAAACAAAAGCAGAAACCAGCTGAAGAGGATGTTAGTTTCAAGTGGCTCAACAACCAGGGAATGAATATCCCACGCTGGTTAAATACATTTTGCTTTTGGTCTTGTGCCAGGAGAGTTAAAATACTGGCTGGGGCTGGCCCCACACTCACTCTCCCCACTCCATTTTGCTCTCCGTGGTCCAAGCTCCATGTGGCTCCTACATGCTAGTCCATCCACTGAGTTTCTTTCCCTTTCTCTCTCTTTTCTTTTTTTCTAATAAATTTCCATAGAATCATGTTCTTTTATCTTGGTTTATAATGTAACATTCATCAATGTGCTTATTCAACTCATGGCGATCTCCCCAACTAGACAGTGGGCTCCATGCAAACAGACACTGTATCTTTCATTTGTTTGTCCATCACTCAGGTGTCTAGCATAGAGTAGTCACCCAAAAAAATATTTAAGGAAGGAAGTACTCGGGAATGAGAGAAGGAGAGAGGGAGGGACAAAGGAAGAAGATATCACAAGAATGGAAATATTGAACATTAATGAAACCAAATAAGGGAATCAGAACATTTTAGAGCTAGAAAGAATCCTATGAGATAATGTAATACAATACCATAGCCACGAGGCACATGTGGTGATTGAGTACTTGGAATGTAGCTAGCACAAATGAGAAAATAAATTTAAAATTTTACTGAATTTTAATTTAATTTAAATAGTCACATGCGACTAGTGGCCACTGTATTGAAAAATGCAAGTATAGAAGAATGTAAACCAAATTTACCCATCTTGCAGATAAGGGAAATAAGACCTAGAAAGCAAAGTAACTCACGTAAATCAGTTCGAACAGCCAGTATTAGAAACCAGGTCTCCTGACATCCAGTTCATACTCTGGACTGCCATAATGAAGATTAAATTAAAAATCCATATTATAGGAAGGCAAAGACCTTGTAAGAGTTTAGGCAGAGAAGGGCTGACGAAGGGTGGTATGCTCTAGGGACATTGAATCACTTCTAGGTTCCAGAGTCCCACTTCTCAGGAGTTTGCCTAATCTTGATCATAAAGCCAAGTGGAATGATTATTGAAAAGGCAGATAATAAATGAGCTCATGGCCCTTTAAGCTTTACTTCCCTTTGGTGCTCCAGAATGCAATCCTGTTGAGAGGAAAGAATTCAGTGAGTGCTCCAGGAATGGCTGCCTGGTTTGTCCCCTTAACATCTCTTTCAGAAGAAATCAAACACAGACTTGAGAGTGTTTCCGTGATCTTTCCAAACAGGAGAAAACTCACAGCTGTGGAACAGTTTTCCAGGCAAATAAGTATGGGTTCCATGATGTGCACCTCTAGAGATGTATTACCTTTTCATACATTGTTACTTTTCTTAACCCCTCCACCAGCCCTTTGTCATTTTAGAAGGTGTTCGAAACATGAAAAGACTGACTGTCACAGCTTCTGTTCACAAGAGCGGGGAGTCAGAGCTGGAGGGAAAATTTAGAGAGCTTCATGGGTTTTTTTTTTCCAACAAATAACAGTGTATGTAATTATATATAAATATTTAAACCTCAATACTGTCTCAGTGGGGCTTCGAGCTACTCAAACAATCTTCTCTTCATGAGACTTTCAGCATGAAAAGTCACAACAATCTGTTAAAATGACTGCAAAAAAAATTCCAGAGGTGTCACTGGCGTTTAGCGAAGCTATCCATCTCATGATGACAATTACCTCACAGAACAGCTCTGCTAAAGGAGACAAAGCAAAATGCGGAGTCAAGAGAGCAGGCCGATGTTTACAAAAGCATTTGAGAGCCTGGTAATACATTCAGAAGTATAGCATTTTTTAATAGCTATTTTATTTATTTATTTATTTATTTTTGTCATTTGAGGTTAAGCTTTGAAAAAAATCAAGTGCCCGCTGTTCACTAAAAGCTTCTAGATTCTAAGCTCTCCTGAAAAGAAGCATTTCCCTTCCATTAATTATGAAGCTTCTGTGCTATTTTCTTTTAAGATTGTCACTACCATAGGTCCCTGGCAAGGTCATCATTTTTGGCTTAGAGAATCCGATGCATTACCAATTCTCTGTGACTTGATGAAGCCAAAACTAGCTGCAAGAATGATGAACTCCCAAAACGCCTTCCGAGTCTCCATTCTGGATATGGACCTAGGGGAAAAAAAGAAACCTCATAATTAAAATTCTGTCTTCATACATTTTAAATGAGTGCATCATATCATATGTTAATTATATCTCAAAAAGTTGATTTAAAAAAATATATAGAACCATGTCTTTCCCCAGACCAACAGAAACTTGATACAAAATTAAGGGCTTATTGCTACATTGTTTCAATTATTCAGGGAAGATGGTCTTGGCTAACCCAACTCAGGAAGAGTTTTGTAAACACCCAGAGTGTATACCTCAGACTTCACTGTTTAAAATTGTCCAGATAGGACTATAAAAGGATAAAGCATATGGGGCATGGGTAGAATTTCTGTTTCACACACTGAATTCGTTTGGTGGAACATAAACATTTCTGGATGATTTTGCTTGTATTTTTATACAAGCATTGGATGACCTTATAAATATTTGTGGCATGCAGAAATATTCAAATATCTCAGGAGCACATCTGCCTGATAAAATGAGGATAGCCTGAAAATATTTTATATGTTCCCAGAAGAAGCCAAATATCAGACTTCCCTCCCCCTAAACTTGGATTCATTCCTGAAGGCCTCCATGAAAATTATCCAGTCCCAATTCCATTTCTGTTTTTTTGACTCTAAAGAAGTCCATGTGTTTAAAAATAAGAAAATCATGACATTCACATTGAATGAGGTTTCAACTGGAACAGGGAACACCTCCTCTTTATCTTCTTAGCCAGCCATCCTCAGCATCCTCAGGGGGTTAAAAGTAAGGATTCTTGATAGACTGTCTGAATTTGAATCCCAGACCCTCTACTTAATAGTTGATCTTGGGCAAGTTGCTTCACTGCCCTGTGTCTCAGTTTCCCCATTTATAAAACTGGAACAAGAATGACATCTACCTCGTAGTCTTGCCATCAGGATTAAGTGAGCTCATTACTGAAAAACACTTCAGCTATGCCTGATACATAGAAATCACTCTTAAAGTGCTTGTTAAATAAAATAAGTCTTCTTGGATACCCACCATGAAGTAAAGAAGTATTGCCTCTAATTTGAAACTCAGAATCCATAGAGGTAGACGAACACTAATACTCTGCATTGTGCACTAATAAGGAAGTTATTTTGTTTTGTGTGTTTTAATTTACATTTTTTACTTAATTCATTTAATTTTCACTCTCAGTTGATTGCTACTTTGTAAGTTACTATGCTGGTATCTCCAGGTTCTTCACTTCAAACCTGGAAAAGGCCAGCAGAGCAGACCTTACTCAGCTCATCTTGTTGATGGAAATGAAGAAGTCGGGCCCCAGAAAGGTTAAGTAGCATGACAGCTACAGAGCCGTGGACTGCCAGGCTCTGTCCCATGTAACCCGAGTCCAGGTACAGCTTACGACAGGAACTCTAACCCTTCAATGAAAATCCCCAAGTCCAGACTGTCACTCAACTCTCCAGAGCCCAACTCATGTAAAATGAAGACCTGTGAGCAATTTACCGTGGGGTAAAAACGTGAACTCAAGCCCTAAGTTCCCGTATCCACCAATTGGTCTTCACAGAGCACAGTTTTATGTGCAAAATGCTGTATTTGGGTGCTCCAGAGAATGGAATTACAAACCTAGCTTTTATGTTTAGAGAACTGAACAATCTATTTGGGGGGAGGAACTTTACATATGAGAAACACTAAGAAATTCAGGAAACTTTAAACGCATACTGTAAATGCATCAAAGAGTTTAGGTGAGTATCCTCATTGTGTCTACATCACTTTGCAGTCTTGGGCCCTTTAAGAGGAACATTGTATGGAAATCATACCATGATGCCCAGAAATCCTAGCTATCCAACAACTGAAGCTCTCTTTCCAGAAAGTGTAGGTGGAGGGGCACCTGGGTGACTCAGTTGGTTAAGCAACTGCCTTCGGCTCAGGTCACAATCCCAGGGTCCTGGGATTGAGCCCCGCATCGGGCTCCCTCCTCAGTGGGGAACCTGCTTCTCCTGCCGCTCGCCCTGCTTGTGCTCTCTCTCTCTCTCTCTCTCTGTCAAATAAATAAAAATAAAATCTTAAAAAAAAAAAAACAGAAAGTGGAGGTGGAGCCATCCTATTTCCCTAAGGACACATTTCTACTGTGCATGCTTAATTTACTACTTAGAAATGACTCAAGGATGTGAGATAACCACATCTATTTTACTATTTTATGGTAACAGAAAATACTGGGAGAATCCTTGACCTCAAAGGTCAAGCCTTAATTCTGGTGTCAGCTTGACCATTTGCTTTGCGGACTTGAGCTAGCCAGTTCACCTTTTGAGGTTTATGTGAGGACTCTCAAGGGATTGATACTGATCTGGGACACCTACTACATTGCCCACTATATTACAAACACTCTCCAGGGTACTGGTCCAATAATTTTCCAATAATAGATGTGATATAATTGGATTTCTCTGTTCCTCAGTTTCTACATCAATCTCCCACTAATGCCTCCTCATGAAGGTATATAGGTAATTTGAGGGAAGATACTTTAAGACTGTAAATATCTTATTCCCCAATAAACTCTCATCTAATGGCAAAGTGAACGAATGCATGATCATAAAGAATAGAGCTTGAGAGTAAAGAGCTTGAGAGTTTGAAAGTGCCAGGAAGTATGATCCAAAATAAATTCAGATGTTATGATTATGGTTATTATTACTATTGTTACAGTAAAATACCATACCATAACTTTTTAACTCTTGGATTAATAAAGTTGGATGAAACAGAAAACCTTGAAATAGGGTATCTATATTTTCATATTCTGTTATATCCTAATTATTAGTATTAATGCAACTAATCACAAGAAATGAGAAGTATTTTTAGTTAGTTGTAAATAAAGTACCAGAGCTTTTTATGGAAATCCAGTGGAAAAGCCAGAAGTTTATAAACATTTTACAGCTGTGCATATGTGTATTTACATTGATGAAGAGAAAAAGGTCTATAGATTAAGGACTTAATACCTATATTTTATATACTATTTCATGAAGATTTTATATCTAATTTAAGCTGCTGAAGGGGTTTTGCATTTGAATATGTAGGGTTCATTGTGGAGGCAAAAAAAAAAATATGAAGCCATTAAAAGAAGAGCAATTAGGTAGGGCTAGCATAGAATACTGATTCTTTCTGGAAATAATTCTAATGAGTGTGGGGTAGAAAGACACTTCTCTCAAAGTATGCTGAGAGAAGTCAAATAGTTCAATAGTTGACTAGGACAATCTATTTTCTAAGACTGATTCATTCAATTAAAAAAAATTATCTTGCAAGTAACCACCATAGTAATAATTGATTTAGGGGAGAATCATCAAATGAAGCTAAAACTATTGGGTAGAAGCATATTGGGGAACAAGGTTTTAACACAGTCTCAAAGTATCTCCTAACAGGGGCACCTGGGTGGCTCAGTTGTTAAGCGTCTGCCTTCGGCTCGGGTCATGATCCCAGAGTCCTGGGACCGAGCCCCGCATCAGGCTCCCCACTCTGCGGGAAGCCTGCTTCTCCCACTCCCCCTGCTTGTGTTCCCTCTTGCTGTGTCTCTCTCTGTCAAATAAATAAATAAAATCTTTAAAAAAAACAAAAAGTATCTCCTAACAAATTACTTGTAAGTTACAAAGGGCAAAAAAGTACTTTTACAACAGAGAAACATGGTGGACATGATGTAACCAACAATGGTAGGCTACATCAATATCACATACTTCTTGATGTGATGCATGAGAAAACTACATCACTTATATGGTAGTTCTCCTCCAATCCCATGACTTAAATCTAATAATGGGGAAACAATCATATACACCAAAACTTGGAGAGAGTCTAAGAAACAACTGACCTGTGCTCCTCAAAAATGTTAATGTCATGAAAAAAACAAAGAAAAGCTGAGGAACCAACTGAGGTTAAAACAGTCTAAGGAGAAGTGGCGATTAAAGGCAATGAACAATCTTGGATTAGAAAAAAAAAAGTCTATAAAGGACATAAAGGGAGAAAACAGGTAAAAATTTAATATGGACTGAATGTTATATAATAATTCTGTATCAATGTTACATTTCCTGAGTTTTATCATTGTGTTGTAGTCATGGAAGAGAACGTCCTTGTTCTTAAGAAATATACATAATATGAGGCAGAGGGTCTTGAGGTCACCCACTTACTCTAAAAGGTTCAGCAGAATTATAATAATTCATAGAGAGAGGAAAAAAGTATTGCAATACTCTTGCAACCTTTTTATTGAGTGTTTACTGTTTACCAGTTAATATGCCAGGCACTAGAAATAAGATGAAAGAAACAGTTCTTCTCTTGAGAAGACTTGGAACTCTAGTGGAGAGAAAGAGATGGATATATTGTAATATTGTGGGATGAGCAAAATAATATAGAAATCTGTACAAGGTGCTGAGGAACACAGTGGGTGAGCATCTCTCTTCACTTGGTGAAGGCTTCACAGAGCAGATGATGCTGGAGTTGAGATTTAAAAGAGGAATAGAAATTTACAAGTAAGCAAGTGGAGAAAGGGAATTCCAGGTATGGAACAGCACGTGCAAGGACTCAGAAGAGGTATTGGACAACCCAAATAGGGCTCATCCAAGGCCTTGAGAGCTAAAGTTTTGGAGTGCAGGGAACCTGGGCAAGCCTTCTTGGAGCTCAAACACCAGGTGATGCATAAGCTCTGAGGGCATACATCTAATGGAGACCTTTGGTTTTCTGACATGCATGAACTCAGAAGGTGGGATAGAAGAGGGGACCTGGGTAGAGCTTCTCAGTCTTCAACCATAAACCACCTTCATGTCATTTAATTAAACTAGCTGTGCTTTATATACCAGTCTCCTTCAAGTTTCCTGTTCTCCCTCTATTGACCCCTTGAAAATAAAATGAAAAGATGCCATCTTTAATGTTCTACGCCAGTGGTTTTTAGATTGAGCATTGTATCAGAATCACCCAGAGGACCTGTTAAAACCCAGCTTCCTGGACCCCATCTCTAGAGTTTCTGATTTAATAGGTTTGGGTGGTGAGAACTTGCATG